TGAAATATTGATAAAACACTAATGAGTTATCTGATTCAAGAACTTTCGGTACTTAGTGTCAAATGCTATTTTTCAAAGATCTGCTGGTTGATCAAGCTTCATTGGCAGAATATAGGCAACAGCACACAGATGCAAGACAAGCAGTGCAAGACACGCGGTGCTCTCAGTTTTGTTCTACGTTAAGTACCAACAAAAACCATGCAAAACCAATCTAGATTCAAATTAATTGCAATTGAAAACATTCCAGCTGCCACTATTGCAAGCTGTTCAAAAGAGCCCCTCTTAGGCACATAAAAGTTTGAGTAAATAGACCAATTTGAAATACAGCCTCGTTTTGGATAATACTTTTTATTGCATGGAACGACTATTTGAGCTCATATAAGGACTTACCACCATTCTTTAGTCCGGGTACGTTTTTGTATATTGTTTATGTTTGTATTTGATATTTTGTGACGATAAAAAGCATTGAAACTGAAACGGGTACTGACTGCAAAAGTCTTTCTGGGAAAACTTTTCACCTAAGACATTGGTCACGGGACAATCCCTTATAAAATTCATGAAAACTGAAATGTATACAAAAATTCTGGTCCTTGACCAAATCTGAAGTCAAAATATTAGTTCGAGAAGTCTTGAGTATTTTTCAAAGCAAAGGTGTATAGCAGCACGGTGTTTTGACTTTCTACGTGCCTTGAGGTTGGTTTTCACATCGTGTAGTTCATCGTAAACATGACAGCAACTTTGAAAGTAAATTGATGTTTGTATTCGACCTTTTGTGAGGGGAAACATGTCGGTTTTTTATAACTAATCAACAAAAAGATTGGTTGAGGGAAACTCTTAAGCACGAAAACAATGATATCAGTATAAGTTTCTCCTTTAGTTTTGGCACTAGAATTGACGATCACGTCTAGACTCAATGAGTTAAATATTCAAAGATTCATAATCTGATGGCTTTCTTTCTTCTCGCCTTACAAATTGGTAGCAGCCAAATGGTGTCTTGAGTCTGACTGCGGAAAGAAAATGTCAATCAAGGTTCCCTGTTTATTTATGAACTTAGAACCGCAGACAGTCTCCGCAGACAGTCTCCGAAGATGGGAAAATCAAAACTTTCTGATTCCTTGAGGGCGAAGCTATGGTCACCGATATTATTTGATAAAAAAAAGCACGGGGCAATTCGTCTGCGATGATCGCACAACCGTACTATGTTGTGATCGTCGATGAATAACACCAGCCTTAAAAACCTGTGAACAAAACAGCGGTCTCGCCAAAGTAAATTTTTCAATTTTAGGAAAAATGGAAGATTACAAAAATAGCACCACCTACCTCTAAAAGCATGATGCAGCCGTTGGGTTTGCCAGGAATCCTCCATCAACAGGAGATGTAGAAGAATGTCTAAATATGGTCTCAGTTCATAGGAGTAAGTGTATGATATCTGAAAATGCAAAAGGCGTATCAGCATAGTGCTTTTCTACATTGCTTAATATGCCGTGACAAAAAATGCTTGGAAAAAAGTGCAGAATTTTCTTTGAAAATTAAAAATCACATACCTGGAATAAGACTTCAGACAATGCGATGAGGGAGAAGCTGAGACATTCCCAACTCAAAAACTGAAAAAGGAATGTATAAAGGTAAAGTATAAACGAGAAGCAATGTGTCTAAAATTCTGATTTTCAATGTTGATAGTTCGATCAAAAACTTCCCGCTTGAAGCAGAATTTGGAAAGGTCTGTGAGTCGTCAATTTCATGTCAACATTGAGAAGGAAACCATTTTTATCCTTTACCTTGAGAAGACAAATTGTCTCTTCGGATGACGCACTTTCTTCGAGCAGCTTTTTGACATAATTGCTAAAAATTGAAAAGCATCCTTTAAAGTGATCCATAATCTAAACATAAAAACATGTAGCTGAATGACAGTACATATTCCATGATCCATCAACAGCGTTGGTAAAAAGCATCCTTTAGAATTTAAGAACCTATAGACTGACTTTCTTTGACTAATACCCTATATTAGAGAACCTTTTAGGCTGAGAAAAATATGAGGTTCTTTATAGATAAATAAAAAGGAAAAAATATATGGAAATGATAGAAGGATATAAGCTGTTTACATCGTGGTTTCTTAAAGAAAATGATCACAGCAAACAATCAAAAAACAAATATTTACCTTGTGTAGATTAAGCCTTCAACATCCTGTGGGATTGGCATTATTGGATGATCTATTAAGCTATCATAAAATCTATTCGGCTTCGGATCATTGTCCTGGAAAAAAGAAGAACATTCACCGTTGGATCTTTGCAGAAGCCAAGAGAAGGACCAAATAATATGAATTCTTCCGAAAGCCAGATTGCAGCTCGCCACAACAAGTTGCATCCAATCTTTTGTGTTGATCTTAAACCATAGTGTGCAGACTCTTCGGAGAATGAGGCAGATTTTTGTAACCTCCCTTTCACGCGGGCAAAGGGCAATAAGAAAAAAGCGACAATGGTCTAACTATAACAATCATCTTATTAAAATAAATAACGGGAAAAATCTAGGCATTTCTAAATTTTAAATAGGTACCTCAATTGAAGACTTCATTGACTTTGAAACATCGCAGCTTCTTATAAGGATAGACACAAGAGAATACAGTTTGGTGAGTTCACTATACGGATATCTAGAGGTACTGCTTCTTTCGTCTTCAAAGGCCAATCGAATGAACGTCTGTAGAACGCCGAGATCAAGCAACTGTTTCCGCTGCGAAAAAAGGAATGTGAATAGATCAAAATAAATTCAGAAACCCAATCAACACTGGCCACTTATCAAAATAAGACGTTCACCAGTGTAAACTCAAAGAGCTTATCAAACGATTAGCTGGACTAAGCGGGAAAATAACAATGAAGTCACTGAGGCAAATGAATATTTGGAGATTCTCAGCAAACATTTTCATTCTATTCAGAGCGAAGGCCTATCATTCATTGAAAAACATCTTGGGCAGATAGTTTAGTTTGAATTGAACTAAAAAAAATAACAGCGCAATTAGTCCCCTCTAAACCAATATTCCAACTGTGAAAAATCGTTTCACCCACGCCGCTTTGATCACTCAACGACGTTCATCATTAATTTAAGTGGCAAATTCTTCTCAGCAATGCTCAGCTTCTTATCACACAAAAATTAATCAGCAAGGCAAAAAAGCGAAAAATTGGCTGTTTCAATCAAGGATCAGATCTTACATTCTACGCTTAAAAAACACTAAATCAACAACAAAAGGTTTAAAAATGTCCAGCTTATATTTGGCCAGAAATGGTTGATATAATGTTTCGATAAACCTTTCTTTTGACGAAGAATTTGAAGAAAAAGGATTTTACCTCTGGGACTCCAAAGCCAACGTACATGACGAAGAGCTGGAAGTATTGGACAAGGTATTTGCTGCTATCAGTGACATCTTTGTTGATCAGTTCAAGAACACATTTCAGGATGTAATCACTGAGAGTGGAGGTCTCCGGGTCCAGTCTTATGCCTAAAAAGTTGTTCAAGAGAAAACTGATTAGAAAATACGATGAACAATGCAAAAGAAGAGAAATAGAGTAATTGCTACGATGGAGAAAAATATTTGCAGTACCATGAGGGTGGTGGATGTAAGCTAAATTAACAAGCAGATGTAAGCAGAAAATTAACAGGGTCGAGGGCAACAGTCGTGTCGGCCTAATATAATCAATTGGAGATGACGTTAAAACCTTCAGCAACTAAAATTATGTTGCACTTACTTGTCAAAATTTCGATGGGGCGGTTTAGCAGCTTGGCATTCCAAAGGCCATCTTGTCTTGTTGCATGGGCAAGGTAAACAATCACTTTTGCGAAAGCACTTCTTATCTACAAATCAGATCTCGAAGTCAGCCTCAAAAACGGGCAATTCGGATTTGTAAACAAATACTGACAGCTAATATGTAATGCCTTAGCGAAGTACAAATATTACCGAAAGATTATGTTAAGCGTTGAAGTTAATGGGCAAAAACAAAATTAGCTGCATCCTTCATCTAAAAAAGCAAATGTTCGCGAAGTACAAAACATCGACGCATCAACAAATAGTTGCAAAAACTATTTAGCGTTTTCGCATTGTGCAATTCCATTTACTTTCATTACAGTCATAATGAAAATATAAAGGTAACTCTTTACCTCTGCAACTGGGCAGTCGATTAAATATTCAACCATCCTTTCAGGATGTGAGAGCAAAACCTCGATTGCGAACCATTGTCGTAGCTTCGCACTCTGCTTCAACAAACCTGACAAAACTTCTCCCCATTCCGAGGCAGGCCCTCTGCAATAATGAGGCGATAATTGAAGCAATTTACAATGTATAGCAAGTTAAAATAGATGAAAAAAGATTTTGAAACAAGAAATTGGCAAGCACTTTGATGCTTAAGAATTTTTACGTTAAGAAAGCTATCATTGCGCCATCAAAAATACTTCAACAGCATAACTATACAACTTTTAGCAAGTCAATTTCCAGGTTTTTTAATGAAGGTTTGAAAACTTCACAAATAAAGATACCTAATATTTTTCTTCGTATGGAAGCCAACCATAAACAGGAATTTACATAGAAGTTGCAGGCTGAGCAAGGCCAGTTCATCTCTCTCAGCTTGGCTGATCTAAAATGACACCAACACAAGCTAATCAGTTTAGGCCATATTAAGCAAGGGTCAGGAATTAAGGAGCAGGAGCCGAATCATAAACATTCATTTCTGACGACGCATCACCAATGATGGTAATTCCGATAACGAATGTTGGTATTGTTTCGTTGATCAAGCTTTCTTCCGGCTTGACGATATCTTAAAAAAAGCCGTAAACCAAATAAGTTTTTGGTACCGCAAAATTTCAAGATGGCACAAAATAGCAGAAACAAAGCATACTAAACTGTGCTTCCGCTATTTCGAGCCATCTTAAAAAAAACTTAAAATTTTTGAAACAATTCAAAAACACGAAATCGAACAGAAAAATTCATCGAAAATAAAACCCAGTAACGGGATCTAAAAATTCTAATTTGGTTTGCTGCTTGCTATTGCTTGTACTACCGCCGGGAAAGGTAAACAAAATTTTCGGATGAATCTTCAAAGAACTATAGGTAGGACACGCCCAAGGCAATCCATGAGACAAAGCAAAGCGATTTCATCTTGACAGCTGGGTACAAACTATTTTGAGGGATAACGAAGCAAATCTCTCTGCGAGACGCAACATGGCTAGGCATTCTTGGCGAAAATTAAAAAGGATTTGATCAAAAAAATGGAAACAGGCAACATAGTGCGCAAACATTCGTCTATCCAAAACCGGGTGTTCGATTCGTGACAGGAGAAAAAAACATGTACAAGAAACAGGAGAAAATGTCACCTTTGATAGATAATGTTGGTTCATGCTCTGGAATGTGGCCGTATTGGACATAACTAGCTTTTTGATAAATTGAAAATACTCCGCTGAAAACTGGGTTCTGTTGTGCATAAACAGTATATTTTGTCTTCTCACTGATCTTTCAATCACTCCAGGCATCTCCATTTTAAAACCTACAATGCAAAGCAAAGACTGCTGCTAAGGCAAAATAAAAATAAAGAATTCTCAGCAATACATTTTCAGTTGAAATAAAAACATTATTACAAATTATTAAAATGGCTGTGGAAACAAGAAATGTTCACATTTGGTTTCAAATTAGCCGCTATTCAATTTATCAGTGAACTCCAAGGGACATCAAACAAACCAACATTGTTGACTGTAGGCTTACATACCTTTCTGTGGGTCAGTACGATCTGCTTTACCACAAACATCCAATCGTTCGTAAAATAATATATAGGCATTCCACCATCTTTTTTGTCTTCGATACGACATTCTGCGGAAACATAAATTTCTTTATTCGTAATACAGTAATTGTTCCTCATTTAAATTTTTCGAATAGGACGTTTCAGCAAAAATAGACACAGCAACCTGAAAACAATTTGAAAAGAGCACTTATATCGTGGAAACACCAACAAGTTGACAAATATCTAAACTCCTCTTACCTTTTCAGCATATGATCAAATACCTCACCCATGTATTCACCGCCGAAACATTGGTTTTTCATCTACAAAATGCAAAATGTACATGAGAACAAGAAGGTGTCAGCCAATGCCAAAGTGCAAAGGGCCGCAGAAACAACGAAAACACTGAAGTTTATTGATGAATCGCAATGCCATCAATTTATCAAAATTAACTTTGATTAAATTAAAGCCATTATCTCCTTATATAAATATAAATTAAAGCTATTAAATGGGGTTACAGATATGGGGGGCGGGGGTTGGGGGGGAGTGCTAATAACACGACGGACATTGGAGTCCTGGAACAATGGTCATCAAGGGTTTTATGTACAGCAATAAATAGACGAAGCGTCTATTTGGCACAAAAACATGACTGATTGAAAACAAATACAAAACAATATTCACCTCGTCCTCATCCATTATACATTCGGAAACATCGCCATCATCGAACTTGTACCATCGAGATTCCCCATCAACTGACGGCCTTTAATAAAATATAAAAAGGAGCAAGGCAATAAGAACTCAAATCATTTGAATTTATCCAAATTGCATTTGGCTTAGCAAACAACTAATTACGATTTCACTTAATGTACTACGACAAGCGTTTTCAAATGTATGGACAACGTGGAAACATCATTACAAATATTTTGAAACGACAGTTTTATTCGAAATCTTGCTGCTAAAAAAGTTGTCATATACCATACAGTAAGATTTGCCCTGGGTTAATAGATGAGAAACCATTCCCTGGGTTAATAGATCATTGTTATATTTAGGAAAATATTCATCAAGCTTGTGTTGTACAAACCTTGGAATTATATAAGAGTAGTAATGTCCCCCGCTTGCTTGTCCACTATGTACAACGACACCAACAAGATTATACACTGTGCTTCCAGGTACTTCAATCGTTTCCTTTTCAACATCGTCCTTGTCTTTCTCCTCACATCTATCATCTTCTACAATTTCACCCTCAATCTTCGCTAGGCCTTCCACAGTGAAAGGTTCCATGTCGAACTGCCTTGGAAACTCAAAGTAATCGTTGAACTTTATAGCACAATCTCTGTGGAAAAAATGCATGCATGGTGCATGAATAGTGTACTCGGTTATATATTGAATCACAGCAGGCAAAGGACAGCCACAAGGAGTCAAGAATCATAGTGACTGCAAGGTGCCTGTCACAGGGGTACTATGAGCTTTGAAAACTGGGTGAAAACACTAATGCAGACTTATGAAATTTATATACTGGAAACAACAGCAACAAGACAATATCTTTATTTCTTATTCAATCAGATAACTTAACTAGGTTGGACTTTTAAGTAAAATATTTCTGTCCAAAAAATTCTGACAAAGTGTACCCAGAGTCAGTTAGAAAATGTCATGTTGCTGTTGATAAAGACAAATTGAGAAACGTACCTTTCCCAGTCATAATCGAACCTTTTCAAGTGAATAGCTAAAACTTTAGGTAACTTTTTGATGCACATGCGCTTAACTGTGTCAACCTAAAAAGGGAAAAAATTCAGTTTCTTGCTTCAGATGAAACCAAACAAGGTCTTTCCAATCCTGCCAGGCTTTCTAACATAACCATGTAAATATACAACGAAAACAAAATTTTGAGAGAGAGACGGCCAGCAATTGGTGTCCCCAAATAAACTAAATTGGTTTGACAAAATGATATCATGACATCAAGGATTCTCAACCCTATGCAAGAAATTATACTCAGTACCCAAAGTTTTGCACTGATCCGTAGGCGTGATGACAATGTCAAAACATTTAATTTCATAGAGACGAATAAAGAGACGAATAAAGAGACGAATAAAGAGACGAACAAAGAAACGAATAAAGACACGAATAAAGAGACGACAATAGAGAGGATCATTTGGCTGACGCACCTTTTTGTCACATCTTTCGCAATGGTAAGCATTTGCACCCTCGAGCAAATCACCTTTAACATACTGTTCAAGTGAGTCGATCAGGGTGTGGTGATTTCGAACGTCAACATTCAAGGCTGTAAACGGAGTTTCCCTTGAGTACCTTCAAAAGAAAACAGAGGTATATATCTCATCGAAGATGTTTTCTACTGACTTTGATGAAGACCCAGGCTAACGACGACCCAGAAACAAGAAAATTGTTCAGAAAGCTTCGCACAGCAAATCTATGCCAACCCTGGCAAAGAACAATGCATGTCCCTGGTGGAATGACCATGTATTCATCACTGCACAAAAACGCCTTTTTATAAATTGTCTGTAAAAATTCTCCAAAGAATGGGAAAACTGTGAGTCGTTTGAGATTTTTGACAATCATTTTTTACAATGATTATGTGCAATCTAATGTACAGAAAAATCAAAAGCTGAACTAAGGTTAAGGAGAAACGGCTTTCAAGGAAAAAGATTTTTCAAAAGCTGTTCCAACAAAACAACTGGCGCAGTATAGGCGGAGTAATAAAAACAAAAATAATCTCTAATTTTGTTCACAGCATGACATATAAGCAAAACTAACATGGAGGTACGTCGAGAGAAGGAATTCTTGAAATTCGAGCCAAAAATAAGTCTTACCTGTGAGGACATGTTTTGCATATTTTTTGGTCGGCGAATGATCCACCAAGGACTTCGGTCAACATGCCTTTTTTATTCAACGCTTTCAGTCCCTCGTCCAAGTTCTCCACCAAGGAATTGAAAAATTCTAAGGCGTCATGCTGCTCTCTCAGGTTAACTGGCTCTCCCCATAACCTTTAGTTTAATTCAAGAAAATTAAGTATGAGAAATAATTGATCAAAATGAAAGTCTGCTTTTACCAGAGATATCTCTGAAGCCATGAATTAGCCTTGCGAATTTATGGTGTATGCAACTCAAAAATCGATTAAATTACACAAAATGTTATTATGCTTGATTTGCCTTGTTTGTTTCAGTAGGTAACCCTTCAGCAAGTCCTCCACCTAATATACAATTCTGTGATCACAAATAATACAAAAGCAGAATAATCCAGTAGCAATAAATGAAAAAGCTGATTAATTTTAACATTTTCATTCCTAAAAAGTAATCTAAAATCTATCTAATCTAGCAAAAGACAATACTAAAATAAATTTACAAAAAATCATGAAGGATCTGAAACAGAATGCAGGTTTATAACATTAAAGATAAAGAAATTATAACGGAAATACCTGAACGTTTTCCAAAAACCTCTCGGAATATGAAATTGCAGCTTGCTCTCCAACAAATGCCCAAAAATCCCCTGAACCTGCCGCAAAACTTTCTGGTTATATTCTTTTCGCTCTTGTTCCTTTGTTTTTTCAACTTCCATTGAAGACTTTCGATCTGATTTTTCAACATCTTTGTTATAACTCAGAATTGAAAAACTCTAAAAGGAACGGAAAGGCAAAAAATCAAAACACATCGAAAAATGATGTAATCTGATAACGGATGATGAAACAGGTGGACTTATCGACGAAAGCAGCTTGTTGCATTTGAAAGATAAGGTGGGTTGAAAGTTAAACAAAATAATTGAAAAGCAACCTCTAATATGGAAGGGAGATGGCAAAGGTGTCTCAATTATCAAGAGGTATACAACTGGAGATATAGGTTGAAATATACTTAGGAAACTTGACAACAAAACAAACTTCAACGAGAGAGGGATATTGAAAGGCAATGGTACCTCTTTGTCGGTCTTCTCATCTGATTCCAAATGCTCATCTTCGTTTTCTAAAGGACCCACGTCAACCTCAAGTATACCCGCTCGAATCTCCGGAATCATGTAAAGCTTGAAACAATAGGAAAGCATGAATAAGGGTAACTTGAAAAAGTAACTACAGCTTTACAAGACTAAGACATCTTGCAAACCAAGGTATAGATAAAGTTAATTTGTACATATTTATAATATCGTGGGTCTTTTAGACTTTTCTTTTTAAATAATGATGTAAACCATATTCCAAATTGAAGGGTTACTGCGAATTGCACATTATTAAAAAGTTTAACTAAGGTTTTTAAGCAAGAACTAAAAACCGATGGCAAAACATAAAACAGCAGCATTACCTGTTGAATGACTGAATTCATGTAACACGTGGCCCCAGCATTCTTCAAGCCTACAAATCCACGTGCTGGTCTTGGGCCAATAGGTGGCTGATATTCCCATTCTGTTAGTGGCAAATCAATGCCTGAAAGGAAAGTTTGCAAGGTATTAAGTCAATACAACAATTGCGATGTTATAAAATGCTCCTATGGTACTATGGTATTTAAGTCTGTTTCGGCTTCAAAAAAAGAGACAAACATTTGAGGTCAGTTATATTCTTAGGGCTCTACTTCAAATTACCAGTCGTCGTGCACTTTTTAAAACAAATACATAAGTACAGCGGCTGGAATGATTAATTTCCATTCTTACAAAGAGAAACTTTTTTATCCTTTGACTCCCACAATTCAGCAGAAATTCTTACATTACGTACTTTATAATTCACTGCCATCAAATATGCAGTGATATTATGAAAGACATTTATGGGTAAAAAAGGAACGTTTTTGAATTAGCATAGCAGATGTGTGAGACTGACCTTCGTAATACATTTCGATCAAAATCTGGCTGAGAATTCGAAGGTTTAGAACACATCCGGAACAGAGAGAAACTAGAAGATCTAGGGCTGTTACTATTGTTCCCGGTGTTTCGCAAATCGGATTCACATGGCGAGAGAAGATGTCACCTGAAAAGGCATTTTTAATTATCATAATATGGATTTTACAAATATGTCAGCAAAGGCAAACAGAATCTATAGAGGTTGATAGAACTTTATAATCAAAACATGGTCACCTATTGCATATTTATATTAACTTGCTAAAAAAAACAAAACGCATTTTGAAATGATATTAAAAGAAACTTCAGAGATGTCTTGTCAAAGGCAGCCCTATATAACGTAAAGAAAATGATCTCTGCTAACCAACTTTGCGACACAAGGAAATAAAAGATCAACTAAAAAGAAGTGACAGAACACAATCCAAAACCTAAGACTACTCAAGTTGTCTATAGTGAAATTTAGACACCTCCTCTCTTTGCTTCTACAGCTAGTCGCGAGCCAGAAAATATGAAATCATCAGTGAGATGCTGAAAACAAAAGAAAAAAGCATTAATAATTGAGACATGCTGATTGATTAATATATCAGTGAAGCAGAAAATCGTGACAACAATATACTAATGCCCATACTTTGTAATAAAAATATTTCGTTGATGCCTACCAATATTTCATTGACCTAAAACATATTCACCTATTCTGTTTGTTCTGTTTACAAATTCTACCTACTTATTGTCCGCTAAGAAACTTCCTATCTCTACCTACTTAAAGGAGCATATGCACTAAAATTCAGGAAACGTTACCCTGAGTAGTTTGTGCCCATCTGGATCACTTCCAATAAAATATCTCTTTTGCGGTGTCTGATATGATAAAAGCTCTCGAGTGATTCCTAAATGCCCTTCCAGCAACTCATTATTTACAATCTCTCGTCCATCGTCTGAATTTATAGCCTTTTCCTACAAAATATAAAAGAGCAGTCGTGCAACTAAAAATAGCTTAATGCTTGAGCAGGGTTGGACATTTGGTCAAATATTGGGGGGGGGGGGGGAGTGCAAGCCTATTGTTTTAATAAGATGACGTCACATTTCCCCATTGTTTTAGAACAAAAGACGATTGTCCTCCAAAATATTGTGGGAGGGATGACCGCCCCCTCGCCCCCAGATGTCCATGACTGTGCTTGAGCCAACATTCTAATGAGACATACTAAAGATGTTAAATGATACGCGCCCCAGTTAACGATAAGGAAATTTGATATGCCATTTGAGAAGCACTGTTACTAAAAATCCTCTTAGCTTTTTAACATTGAGACTTATGGAAAGCTTTTCATCAAGACCTATGGTACTGTCCTCACTCCTTAAAAACCAGAATTACTTTGAATATATTTGAAAACCAGACATAAAGTATAATATAAACTCACCCATACAGATGCTAGCCACGAGATCTCTTGGCCAAGGATGGCTTCCGAGTTGTTCAGCTGCAGTTCGTTAATGCGACCAAAGTTTAGTAAGCGACAGAGAAGACCAAAATACTCACAAGAAGCTCCAGCATGTTCAGAAGCAACAGTCTGAAAGTCAAGTTTCAAAATATATTCATTCATTCTAATTATAAAAAATACTTTTTATTGGTCTGCCATAAAGTGCTCGATGCCAAATAAGCAAAGCAGTACATGCTTTTGGTGAATAAAACATGACAGTTCTAGGTAGCAACTTAGAACCGTCTTGTTATATACACCAAAAGCGTTTTCATTCTTATAAACAAAGAGAAGACCACTATTATCACAAAAGGGAATATACTTCATAACGAAGCTAATCACTTTGTTGCATAAAGGAATTTCAAAGAAACAGAAACTTACATCACGAACAGTGAAAAGAAGTTGAATAAAAAAGCGTATGGGTTTGTCTCCATTTGTACATTTGGTTGCCATAAGGAAAAATTGTTCTGCAGCGGTAACTCGAACGGTCCTGAAAGGACATAAAGATATTATTGCTAAACAAAAAGTGAAAATTCAAATGAAGTGCATATCATGTATATTTCTTTCAGCTTCCAATCTCCTCGGCTTTCTATATTTTTTAGCTGTTGATTTTTGTTATGAAAATGTTAGCCAAATTAGAGAACATTTTTCTTCATTATCTTAGACGGAGAACCACCAAAGTTCCATTATTCTGGAGGCTATGGTACTGTCCCAAAAATCTGTGTGCCTTGCAGACTCTCCTCTCTGCATATGAAAGCTAAAATGCCTGGTTTGGAAAGGCAAACTGAATTTTTCTATTGATATGTATTTCTTTAATGGTCTTGGTTTTCTTTACCATACAAACAGAAAACATATTTCTGTGCAACTTTTCTTTTATTGAGAACATTTCGGCCTAAATTTACAAAGTGGAAGGCACTAAAATCACGGGTAATAAAAACATCATAAGCTAGTGTACATTAACGTTACACATAGCAAATAGACATTAACCTTAAATAAATCAAACATGCAAAACAACCAGCCTAATCGTACCTGCTTCTGCATATCAGAATCATATCATTGATAAACAGCTGCCATTGTCTGTCCTTTGTCAAAGAATCGAGAGCCGACGGAAAAAGCATAATCGCTATTGTTAACACCTCAAGAGCCTCTCTTGCAAGTGCGATATCTTCAGGCTCAATCTGACACTGCGATCCCTGCAAAAAATCAACAGGAGACGTTAGAACAGAATCCATGAAACATGGAATAGAATAAGACAATATAATGGCGAGCAGTGACATAACCGGGGCAGGGTTCGAGCCGGCGACCAGCGACTCTGTACGTTGTTTGCTCTACCAATGATCTAACTGGTCACTTTTAAAAATTATGTAGCATATTTCAAATAGAAAAGGACCTCAGACCATTTATACTTCATTTCTTTGGTTAACTTCATCAAATCTTGCCTTTAACCGTCTCCTTCAGTTCCTTATTATAAGTGACGGATTAGAGCAACGATATAAAAATCAGAGGTCAGTTTAGCGATACCTTTTCGAATGCTAAGTGGACTTCTGAGAGTGGAGCTTGTGCCATGACAGTAAATCCAACTGCAGAAACCCATGCTAGCCTTTGCAGAACTTCAATTACATTCATGTCTGGAATGCAGGCAATGGCCTAAATACAGAACAGGAATCTATTATTAAAGGAAAAAAGAGACGTAATTTCGTTCACAGATGAACTCACACGTGCTGAAGGACACGGAGAGCAACCTAAGAATGCTATAATAAAACCAAGTCATGCAGCTTCCCATCTTAACTTTATGGCACCATATCCAAGGCCCTAGCTTGCTTTTAACACAGATTTTTGATAAAAGCTCGGAACCTGCATTCAAGAGTAGTAGAGATTGGCGATAAAACCAGATCAGAAAATAGAAATGCGTATTATTTAGCAGATGAAAAATGCATCAGGAATGCATTAAAAGTACTGAGACAAAAGTGGATCTGGATATCTTTAATTGAAAACCTTTTTCGCCACATGGCAGATCTCCTTCCCTACACACTTTAAGCATTTGGGGAGTTGCAAATTTACATTGGCTGAAAATAATCTTAATAGGCCATTTAATTGAAACCAAATAAACATCATTATTTCAATTATTCAAGCTTCAGCCAACATTTCCAGCAACTTTTATTGCCATTTTGATGATGATTTTATTGACCGTAAACATTGAGGAAGGAAATTGAATATCACGTGATCAAAAGAAGATTATCGGGATTTTACATGAGCAAAGAATAGTGAAATAAAACAAAAAAACGAGATTTAGCACGTGACAATGGTGCTTGAAAGAAATCCCAATTTTCAAAGAGACCTAAGGGAAGATAATTTTGTGTTCTAGATCAAACGTTGGGAGCTTACTCTCTCTTATTCTAGATCAACAGTTGGGACTTGAGCCAAAATTCTTAAAAATGATTGCAATGAACAGGTCTCTTCACAATGAAGATTCTTGAGAAACTAAAGGAGGTCGTATGAAACATCCCGTTTTGCAATTTTTCATGTTCACAAGCACATTTGCATGGTACTGGACATTCCTCTTAGTGGGACAAAACATATCATCAGCATGTTGTACAAACTGCCCGACAATAACAACATAAAAAATCGTAGACATCTAACTAGTGGTATTATTCCTAAGAGAAAAGCCGTTGACAAACGCAAAATAACCAAGAATAGAAACAGGAAAGATAGCTCTTATGCAGACGTCGAAAACTGCTACGGTAAAAGCACCTGTTGGGACAGCGCAAGTCCAAGCTTATAAGCGATATTTCTGACAACACACTCTTGGCATAGATTGGGAATGCTCTTCAAAGCCGACTGTAATACCAGCGCAGCACTGTGCTGCTGAGCTGTGATAGTCAGTTCTCTTCCAGGTTCCTTTTGCAGAGCCTCGGCAACATGTTGCACCTGTGCATAGCCAATCACAGTGAACATCAGCTTTGCTATCTTCAGCAGCGTTTGGTATGCAGATCTAGGGCAAAAGTACGAATATAAGAGAAAGACAGAACCCACATTGTGGTGTAAGTTTATTCGTAGTCTTTTAAAAACAGATGCATTAAGGTTATACCGAGTGAACGACTGCAACAACTAAACCTAAAAATGCCTCTTTTAAGTGGTTCTTAAGTACAAAATCTCGTTCAAAAAACAGAAAATGCTCTATCGAGCTCACCCATAGCCAAAAAAAAGAATAAAGCAAATTTATACATAAAGCGAGAAAAATATGGCAAAAAGAATACCTTTGCATCAATGTGTCGGCATTTGACATAAAACTGCTTTTCGTTAACATGTTAATAACGGCTTTGATACCCCCAGCAGAAATGAAATTGAGCTGAAAAAACAAAAATACAAGTACGTCAAATTAAACAGTCTCCTATAAGGATAAAATTATCAAAATGAAAGTCCTAATGGAATAAAAATGAGTTGCATTGTCAGTAATTCACCAGCGAACTTTTCGATAGTCTAACTATATTCCACGATTATCTGATCATCGTCAAACACTTTCAACGTTTATGGTGTAGAATGCAGAACAAACTGAAAATGAATACCTGAAAGTTTGTTGAAATTTCATTACAGGGTTGTGCAGATGGCATTAGCAAAGAATATACAACCTGAAAAATAATAAAAGAAAGTGTCAAGTACTAAATTAAAATCAACCAAAATTGAAAGGGACCCTTCGCGGCTCCAGTTTGCAAAAACAACAACAGGATGAAGCTATTCAGCTGGGAAGCAATATTTCGATGTTATTTTTGTCTTATAGATGATTAAGACATCTACTCAACTGGTCTGCTAAGCTGGCAGTAGATAAAAGATCTCACGACCAAGGACATAATGGAAATTAATGGCCAGTCACCTTAAGTCAAGAATCAACATTTAATGTATCGTTCTAAAAGGTTGTGGATACAAATACCCCGAAAAAACAATTAAGAGGTACCCAACACTAGCAGGTTCGGTTTAACAGCTGTCCAATTGTCAATGGCAAAAAACTTAAACATCAAATGTAAAGACAAAAAGTTCGTTACCTGCAAATTATAAAGAACGTTGATTGGTGTTGGAGTGAAAAACAAAATATCTAAATTAACGTTTGATTTTGATCCTTTCAGTGCTCTATCTTCACATATTAATCTTGTTTTTCGTATTGTGTCGACATCTAGAAATTAAGATACAAAAAGTTTGATGCATTTACATAAAATTTCTGGCTCGTTCGAAGAAAAGATTATATAATATTTAAACCTTCTTTTACATGATATTTTTTGGCTGTTTACTGCAACACTGCATAAACTTTTTAATGTGAAAATGTGAATTATCTGGAAAATTTTAACATAACACTTTCCTAGCTGAACGGAAGTTTGGGGTTCCTTGTTTAAACGAACAGTGTCGTCTTCAAGGGAGAACAGAAAGGTCGGGGATTATACTAAAGCTGTCCACGTTTTGAAATATTTGTCTGAAATTTTGCTTGTCAAGATGGAAGGAATCGGTTTATTCGGGGGGAGAATGCTTGTCAAGATGGAAGGGATCGGTTTATTCGGGGGGAGAATGCTTGTCAAGATGGAAGGCATCGGTTTATCTGGGGGAAAATTGTCAAGCATAAAACCATAACACCCTCTTTACTTACCAGTTGGGATTATGTTTAGAAGGCTGAGTGCTATATCCCTTAGCTCAGGGATGTTGTGTTTCATGCCAAGATCACCAAGAAGAAACAGCGAATTGGCAAACTTCATCTTTGACATAACCTACAAGCGTAGACAGTGTTATAAAGAGTGCAAAAGTCATGACTTAATTATATAAAGCAACAACAGCCAAACGAAAACAGAAAGCTCCAGCTACTGAGCTAGCTGGCAAGCTCAACGCTTTAAAACCAACATGGGCATTGCTGCAAAAAACAGTCCTTTAATGTCAAACGGAGCGTTACTTACCACGCCAGGCAAACAATGCTCAGCTTCAAGGTTCGGTCCCTCCCCAGGTTGTGGGGTAGGCGGTGGAGACGAATCAGACGATGAATCAGGGGAAGAGGGGGAGCTTCCACCGACTGCGCCAAGTTTTACTGTGATTATCTGAGAGGCAAATAAGATTAAATATATTACTAAAAAAAAACAAAATATAAGATTTCCTTCACCTCTACTGTTCAGTCTTCAATATTACACAGTGAATTTGGTAGGTTCCCTCAAACATTTTCTATGCATCCATTTGAATCAATCACTTTTCACTACCATTTTTATCAGTAGCAAGAATTTTTCTACGATATCCACCCTACATCTCTCCAATCTACTACGTATCTCTGGTATACCTGCACTTCATAAAAACTATCTTTCAGTTAATCGGCAGGAACTGCACTTATCAAAGGCAGAAACGTGTAACCTATCACCCTTGGGTGCTTTCCATCTAACTATACAAAATATTACTGTGTTTGAATATGATGCTTTGAGGGTAAGATCAGAGTCCTAAGACCAGAAAAGACAAAACTTGAATTCTCTTGGCAATCATATGCCTGAACGAGCCATTATCAATCTACCGCAAATTCACAAAGTGATTCTTTCCGTAAAATAAAGTATACACTCAGTACAAATACATTCAACACATAAATTGTTACCTAACATCTAGCTTAACAGTATACAGGAAAAAAAGTATACATGAATACTAGGAAAATACATGGAATAAAAGAAAAGGCCATTCATCATTATTAGTAGCACTGACTGCACGTTCCTAAAGCTTGACGAATCTGTAATTTCTGGTTATCTTACCGTTCGATCTTTAAAAGGAATTTGCCCAACTAATTTTCGATCATCCGCAGTCGAAAGGATTTCTCCATTGAAATGCAGCTCAAGTTTCACATTTATCGGCGACATTTTTAATCTGCAAGAGCAACTTCTTTTAACATTTCTAACACCATAAGAACGAAGGGCTGGATGCAGCAACCAACCCTTTATTATTCAACACTAATGCACCACTATCATGCTCTCCATCATTTTGACAACTGTCTCATCACACATCACATCGACTATTGTCAATAAATAGATCTTCAATAATGTTGTCGACACAAGATAATTCTTTCATATGAGCACAGGAAAATTGAAGTTTTAAAATATTCTCCCCGTTACACACTTGTAACAGCAACTTTCTAACTGGCTTTGTCACATTCTTTAAATACAAGGTTTTTATAATATATTTCTTCACACGAAAAGCATTGTTCATCTACCTTTTGCACCTATTATAAATAAGGAGGTCGAGGTTGAAATTCCATGCAGAATCAAGCTCTTTAAACAAAGTTAACAATTACGTATATCCTTCAAGATCGCACTTTCAGCACTTCTTTTCTCGGGGAATTTTTCAACTTCTCAACAAATAGCATCTAAACGATAAGATTTAAGAAAAAAACAATAAAATACTATACAAGAACAGCATACCGATTGTAAATAATTCGTCGAACAGAGGCCAAAGACTCGTTTGTGTGTGACCATATTTCAAAATCATCTGATTGTCGTGCTTGAGGAGAAAATCGTATGAAAAGTGTGATGTGCTTTCCACGACAGGCCCTGTCAATGTAAAGGTGCAAGCAAAATACAAATCTTTTCAATCCGAAAACTTTTCTACTGAAAATTAGTAATATTTACCCCTAGCACACCTGCATATTATAATATCAACACTTATGTCAATGCAACAACTGTCTCTCGTCTGTAGCCCAAAGCTGGAAAAAGTACCGAACAACCGGTCGAAGGGACAGTTTTAATTATTCGCATTACGATGTAGACACTCTTTGAACTTTCATTGACTTCACTAAAAAAATTATACTTGATCCTTTTTACGAAACCGTTGGTAACGCTGGCAAGTTCTGACAACCATGGTACCATAGAGCAGGGGTTTAAAGCTGATTTAGTTATTACAAAACGCGGTTTAAATCGCAATTTGAAAGAGAGCACCCAGGAGAAGACTGCAGCGAACTAAGACCAAAGCAGCAGGGGGTATTGAGGGAGCAACTGAACCGAAGACGGAATCACATAAAATGTCAGTGAAAAGCATCAGTTGTTCCATTGCTTCCTTTAGTGGATAATATAATGGAAAAATGTCAGAATGTTGATATTAGCGATGAAAATAAATATAATTCTCTTTTAATTCTCTTCATGGTATCGTCCCCATAGAGAAGTACAGTAATTGGGGTAGTATAGTCAATGTAAAATTGTTTTGTTTTTAATTTCTATGAATAAAAAAAAAGTTGACAACTGTTGAGGAAGACAGGGCAAATGGAATGGAAGATTTCACTCAATGAGCCGAAAAACAAGTACAAAGTTCACAACAGAAAGAAATTCACTATAAACTTTGTCAAATACTTATGATCGGCACATTTGTCGGGATTTTTACGCAATTGAATTTCACAATAGAGCTGGATGCTCTTGGGAATAAACAAGCTTCGGCAGAAGGAGCGGTCTCTGCAAAGTCAATGCAGGTGCTAAAGTTTATAGCCTTAAATTTTATGAGGTATTGAGATGGTTATCGAAAGTTATAAACAATAAAACTTCGAATATCATTCATCAGGAAGAACATAGTTCCCTGGGTGCCTTATAAATATTACCAGCCTAATAATGATTAGATTTAAAAATTGAGGAAATGAGAGGTACAGATAAAAACAGATGCAAAAAGGGTCTGGTTGGCAAACACATAATTTATAATTACGACGACAAAGTCCACGCCGTCGAGTAACAAGGTGTAGTACTGAGATGCTATGGCTTATTAGGAAACTATGGTTGAATGGGAAAGTATAGCGATAAATGAGCAGACAAATGGCTAACAATCTCGTTCACACGGGGCTGTGAAGGGGGGGGGTTAAGGGGTCTTTACCCACAGGTTAAAATAAGGCTTTGTAATAACAAAAAAGGAACCGACCTTTCGTGAGGAAGAAACGATCTTTCATCGGGGTAACATTTATCACATTCAGCGACGTATTCTTTCAAAGTTTTTAAACAGAGAACAATCTTCCTGGCTTCCCGAGGAATTGAATTTTGTTCCGATTCGCTTATTAGAACATCATAAGAAGGATTCAGCCGATTCATGCAATCCTTAATAAACTTGTTGTGAATATCTACCTAAGAATTAGAAATTGTTATATGTTAAAATTAATTTTTTGCTAGAGCCACGAATTAACAACTGCAAAATATGCCACTGCATTAACAAAACATGCGAACCTTGTGTATTTCTATAACCTGTAATTTCAAATGATGATTGAAAAACTCAAATGATCAAATGATAATAAATTTTTTAACTGCATTTGCTATACTTTCAACACACTTCTTGACAAAATATGAATAAACTTACTGGCTTTGTCTTAAGATCAGTTCCAAGGTTTGTGTAAATCTCCTTTAAAATCTCGATTGCTTTGTTTGCGATCTCAAGGGGTGCGTTGAGAATGATCTAAACAGAAAAAATACAGAAATATGGGCAACTTGAGAGCAACCATACTGGCACATTTGTCCAAAGAGATTCAAGTAGCATTCAACCATAATAAAAGATTTAAAGAAAAGATCACTCTTGGGTAACGTAAAGAACTACATTCATATCAACGTAAGGTTAATCAGCGCTTTTTAAATTTTATGTAAGTTTATATTGTTAAGTATATAAGATAACAAAATGCATGCCTATGTAACGTGATGTATGCCTGGGTACTTAAGATTTTTTAACAAAATGCAGTGAATTTAAATTTCATCCGATCAAGGCAAAATCAAAAACCAAAAACCACTTAATGATTCGGGAAATTTGAATTGACGAAAAGCAGAATCCGTCTACCAGAAATTGGACCAGAACGACCCACCTTTGAGGAAAAGCACAGGTTTGTGAAAAATTTTTGGCTGTTAAAAGAAACTACTCCAAGTTCAAAGACAGATATATTTACTATCTAAAAATGATAACTGGAATAGCATCAGAGATTTTCTAGAATTTTAAGGCTCCGGGTATCTGAATATGATGCTTCTGTTACCTTCCATAGGTAATCATATCCCACAAGTTGAGTGCTTTCCAGCACATACGTTCCGTTTCGCTTCTTTGACAGAATACCTTCTTTTGTATTGACATATTTGAAAAATCTTTCAAAGCACCTTTGAAAAAATTAACAATGTCACAATTAGTTTTTACACGATAAATGCTGATTCAAAGAGGTATCATTAATACAATAAAAACGAAAGAGACGTTAAACAAACTATTAGTCTAGTTATTCTATTATGCATACGACACAAAATCATTCACTCTTTAGAACTCTTAGGACACTAAATTTTCAGGACGAAGCCTATCAAAGACTCAATCATTTTTACTTACCATCTTGTCTGATTTCATTCAATCTATACCTTGGTAAAAGTTTTGTCAACTTTAGGTCAATAGACAACACTTCCTATTTTCCATTTCACGTTTTTGAGAAGGAACTTAAATAAATAAATAAATATTTCCTCGTTTTTTCAGTTGTAATTTTTTTTGTAATTTTTTTGTAATGATTAAAAACAGTTCCAGCGTGATACATCTAAGAAAATAGACGAGACACACGAAAATCCACATGGGGAAATGTGAAAAAACAAGGAAAAATGCATGGAAAAACACCGTGCTGCAATAACTACGGTAGATTCGCTTGAACAGTCAGCTTTGTCACACGCAGCAATCTCAACTGGAAAATATATCATCTATAGCTGTCAACTTTAGCATAAAGAATAGCAGACGAACCTCGCAAACGAGAATCGAGATCAAAATTTCAGTGCGAATCGAGGCATTCGTGATTTTCAATACCCTCTAGTTGCCTTACTCTGCCTAGTATAGCAGGATTGCATACCTCAGACCGTGTTCATTCAGTTTACTTGCATCCAATTTGAAAACATTGTCTTCGAAGAACTGCTTGCAAATTTCGGGGTCCAGATCTGGATCATCGCTCATCACCTAAACAGTAACAAATTGATTCAAATTGATTCAAATTATCAAGCATCAAAATACAAAAACAGATTAAAGTAAGCCTACGAGCACTTCACAGATAAAAGGCCTTCCAGTTCCGACCCACCTATCATCGGGGCGGGTAAATGAAGACGCTCTACGGATGATCATCTCTACGATTTCTAATGAACTGTGTAAAATAGTTCACTAAAGTGCCACGCAGCTTGTTTTGATTGCTTTTGTGCGAGAGGTTTTCAGATTCGCGTATGGTTACATTATTGCGGAAAAATAATTGCCCCTGTAGTGAAATGTAATAGATTTCCTTCAATAAGATGGAAACTCAAAGTTTTGCCAATTTTGTCAAAAATACACCAAGAAGTAATCAGCTTGAAATTACAAGCGAAATTGTCACAATGGTATTTAACAAATTGAATGGATGGATTTTTGCAGATAAAAACTGGGGTTCTGAATAGTTTCTCGAATATGTTTGTCAAGGGTTTGTCTTGACTTCTTTAATCAATCAAAAACTTGGATTGCGTGTATTGTAAAGGGGCTTCATATAGTTATGAACCAGTGATGTCCTTAAGGTCTCCTAAGATAGTAAGCTTGCGACATATACATCAAAAGAAACAAGCTAGCCATGAGCATGATTTCTTTTACGCAACACATGCGTTTAAAAGAAAATGTATAACCAGCTACATTCCAAAAGAATTCATTTTTACTACTGCTGGATGGCGTTTTTTCAAAGACCCATGAACGAAGACAGCAGACCACCTGCTGAGCAAGATGTCCGTTTCTTCTTCAACTTCCTGAATACTACTTTTATAAATCGGTTAGCAATGCAAATCGTTTAGCCGAAAGACATCACTTAGATTTTAATCGCTTTCGGGTCATCTTACTCTAAATCAATGAACATAAATAAATACTTTGCTTACCTTTGAGAACCAAATGAAACACACATCGGTGTCACATGCAAACACAGATCGAACCGCCAAACAAATCCAAATCTAGGGTAGAAATTATTAGGAAATTATCAAGATAGTCCCTGCCTATGTCACGACTGTAAATTATGGAAGGAGAAATTGATGAGAGAAAAATAAAGACGGAATTGTCCTAAAAACTGTGGCTTTACAGTTTATGAATAAACTGGCATATCAGCATTAGATCTTGTAAATACAAAACCAATGAGTCATCCGTTTGACAATTCAGGTAATCTATATATGTAACATCTAAAAAATTCACTATCCCCATCTAAATCTCTAAGAAAAGATGCAACACAACATCTTTAGCAACAATACTTAACGCAGCAATAGTTTGTAAACTGAACAGAACTCTCAAAAACATTTCCATTAAAGGTCTCTACTTTTCATTCATGGATTACAGAAATGCCGCTCAAAGCTGTTCATTGTTCGCAATGTTAACATGCTGGAAATAGTTCGTAGTGTAATTATTTCACAAGCTTGGCTTCAAAGTTCACTACAGCTCCACAGACGATTTAAAGAGGGTTCAACCACGATTCTACGTAAAAGCTACCTCTGTTGTTATCATTTTGAAGTTTTCTACCAAAACAAGGATTTTAAGAGGGACAGCAGGAGAAAAAGATAATAAGAAAAACCAAACGATAGGAAAGAAAAGTATCTCACCTGCTTGGCCTGAGGTTCACAGAGCCACATTTTACCATCATTCAAAATGAATCTACAAGTAGAAAGAGGTCATCTTAGAGCAAAGTAAAAGCTAAATATGTTTTGTTTGCAAAGTAAAAATCATGCATGACTTTCAAGCGAAAACAGTAAAAGAGCACAAAAATATTAGCAAAGAAAAGACATGTAAAGCAAGCTTACCTAAGAAAATCCAATCTCTCTTGTATCTGTTGAGTATGTGTGTATCGTCCATCGATAGCCAATGTTTGTGGGTCAATGTTTGGGTCAGCTAGAATCAGAATCATTATTTTTACAATTCAGCATCATGAAACAAATGTTTCTAGTCATAGATGCATGACTGTAATTGCAACGGCGCTTCTACACTGCTTCATAGAGAATTTGGAGTTGTGCGGCCTTGCAGTCTTATTCTACCATCATGCCTCTTAATTGAAGTACTGTTTTTTATGGAAACCTGTTTGGCCTACTTATACCACGAAGGATATGAGCACTCAGATCAGCTGGTAAATGAAAGCAACAGGCTGGCCCTTTAACTGTGTATCTTTGATAAAAGAATGATCGATAAGAATCGTCAAAGCATTCAAATGCATCATATATTTGTGATGAATGGGATCTGTTGATTACCTTTGACTAGCTCTCTGACGTTTTCCATATAAGTAGCAAGGTTTTCGGCAACAAGGCTCACAACACTGTAGGTGCTCTGTATTTTTTCAATGACAACATTCCTGTACTGTACATGCGGATTCTGCATTTGACCATAGCCCTACAAAGCAAAACAGTGGCTGGTTATATCTTTCTTGGCTGGCTGGCATACAATAGCTGGTTAAACAAACTGACAGACAAGCTATCTCTGCCAACCGATTTTCTTCATCAACTAATCACAAGAAAAACTGGCAAAAAAGTTTAGTTCATACTACCATTTCCTGTGAAAAGATTTGAATAATTGTTAGTAGATACGGTATTAAAAGGCAGAGAATAAATTACCTCATAAAAGAGTTCACAAATTGCCTTAATCTGCTTCAACGCTGGTATCACCCATCGGCCATTGCGTAGCTCGTTTAAGCTATGTTTGATCCACTCCAGCTTTAAATTATCACGGTCTTGCGTCTGAGAAAAGTAAAAAGCGTTTGGGATGTGCGTCTAGCAACCAGATGCGTAGCGTCTACAGCATCAAAAAAGATGTGTAATTCACAAGGCATAACAGTGGGTATGTCCTAGCAAAAAGACTTAATTGCTACGAGCTATGACATTTTCACGGCAAGCTTTTTGGCCACCAACAACATTATTCAGAAAACTCAGAAAACATAGACTGGCATTAAGATTGTCAATTTCATAGAACAATTGTAAGGTATTTAGAAGAATGCAGGTGTATCAGGAAAGAGGTTTGGGTCACAGTGGAAGTGCAAATCAAAGGTGTAACCTGCGAACAGCTGAAATCGAGAATTTTGATATGAGCCACGAGAGCCTGATCCATAATATCAGTGGGCAAGTCATCGCTGTGTGCAAGATGCCATAAAAGCCAGAGGACCTTTGGGAAAGAACACAACCCAGTCAAATGTCATGATCAATTGTTAGCCATAATAACGGAAACGAAACACCTGGTTACTATGACGTTCAGTCTTGCTCACATTGTAAACTAGAATAAAAAGTTGGTAACATTTGAAGACATAAATAACATTGATCTCGCTTATAAGGAGCTCTTGAACAAGTACTACCATTACCTTATGGGCAATGACACCTTCTTTGTCATCTTCTGCCAGCCTTCGTATTAATTCAAGCAGCTTCTCCTGCTGTTTTTTATTGGCTTCTTTCCAACTCGCCTACAGAAAGTAAAATATAAATTAGGCTTGCAAAAAATAGGATCATGGAAACCTCTTGTTCTGGTACAGCCTGTTAACAAAGGACGAAACTTTTCCATGACGAAAATGGACGAAAATGGAAAAAACTTTTCCATGATGAAAATAGACGAAACTTTTCCATGATGAAAATGGACAAATTATGGTCATAGAATTGGACTGAAAAAATGGCACTATCAGACATTGAAATGGATGCCGCTTCCTGTTTTAAAATCAATAGAATCTTTCCGCTATCTTATTTCTGCTAAAAAGATGCTTCTTTCTTAGCCCTTCAAATACCTGTTTGAATTTATTCTAATGATGTAAAAAAGGAGCATAACAAGCAAGCATTAAATGTTTCCAAACCTGAAACCGGGAGAATAAGTGATCTAGCTGCTCAGCTGAAAAATCCCAAGCTAGCTTCGCCAGCAAATCGTGTACATTTTTCACAATGGCTTCGTGTTTTCCAATCTAAAATGTTTTTAAAGCAATCAAAAAGGCAAAAATTTCAAAAGAGCATTACGTTTCTGGCAAGGCAACTTAAGGTCGCATGTCCAACAACGCAAATTGTTCTCTATCTCCTGTCTAATGGGATCTCATTCAAACTTGTCAGTTTTCTTTCCAATAAAAACATGTCTCAGTTCACCTAGATATGAGAGTTTCTTCCCATGGCTATCCTTTCAGATCACCTTTCGACTGATAAATAATTTAATCCTCTCCTAAATATGTCTAGCGGTTAAATACATAACACAAGACAGACCGTGGGAACGCTCGCCTAACTTCGCACGGGTTCGAAACCACTGGCGAGACACTCTCGCGTGACATTAGCATCACTTGAACAAATAATGACTCTCTATTCAGAAATCTAGTATCCTGCAACTTTTCTACTATGAAAATTACTTCATATGGTTTATAATATCAACTAAACATAATATCTAAACGATTTCATTACTCCAGTGATTAATGGGCCCCTCAGCAGATAACTTGTGACTCATGTATTTGAACTCAAGTGTCACGAATATACTGGAAGGTGTATTCGTTGCAATCATGAAAAAATGATCTTTGCATATATTTCTGTGCATATATCGTTAAATGTTGACGATGCTAAAAAAGCCTAAGGAGTGGCCACAAAAACCCTAGTATATTTAAGCCTTTTCGTGTGCAATGTGTAAGAATGAGACAACCACATACCTGAGCATTCCAAATGGTATCAAGATCTTCCAATGTCAACGTTTTTACTTTGATTGCAAAGCGAATGATTTTGTCCAATTTCTCGACGTACTGAGGAAAAGAAAAATAACAATGCATGATGATTTAATAACTGAAAATAGTAAATAATGATAGAGTATAAAAAATAAAAGATTCAAAAAATCACTAATCTTACGCTGAGTGTAAAAGAAAATTCCAAGATTTTGACTTTATGTTGTTATTAAATTCTTTTGACATAAATATGGATCTTCCTAAATGATGTATCAATTCATAGAGCTCCATACGGCACAACCAGGGGAAGATTCATCTTCATCAAAACTTGAGAAGTGGGCACAAATTATTTATATCCGAGTTTGGATAAAAGAGAGTTCTCTACCAATGAAAGAAGTTGAACACGTGTTTGGACTCAAGAAGACGGTAAACCCACCCGTTCTTTCCGTCACTCTAACGCTTTGAAGGCCCAGCAAAAAGGGAATAGTTTATAACATATAATATTAAAGGGGTCCTTGTGGGCTTTTCGATGCAGCATAACCGCAGAATGCAATAATGACAGCAAAATAATCACAAAAGATTCCGATAGGTGAAAAAGCCTGTGCATAGTGCCAATCAGAAATGAGTTTCTAAAACATTTAGATCTACGATAAAATAGCACAACAGAAGTTAATGTTATCAGTGGCCTCTTTTAATCTAGACAAAACGGTCACATTGACATTCTCGTACGGAAATGGTACCTTAGTATTCTTAGCAATACAGGAATTGAATTTATGTGGCAAACAACCTGTTTGATTTGATACTGAGCGGATTACTATTTTAAACACTTTTTTACCATGAAAATTCTGTACAATTACCTGAGGTTGGTGAAGATTGTCTTTCAGAACAACGCTGAGAACCCTGTTTTCTTGAAGCCATTCCTTTAAATTGAAAAAGCATCGCTTAGCTCAATGTGTTTATCAAGGCTTGTAGACAAAGTCAATACGCTGAAACTCATTTAACAATCTAGCCAGTGCAAGACAAGTTATTGTTACTTTGATTAGAAAATATCAGCGCTGTCCTTACTGTTGGGCAGTGCCCTCGGCTCCAGCGCGTAAAGTCATGGTTTCGAGCCAAGTTCTGGCCATTCGGGGAAGTTATGCTCACTGGGACTAGGGTTTGCTTATGAATTTGGTAATCGTTTTGGTATTGGCTTTGGAAGGAGGGGTAGTGATTGGGCTTCGCGAGGAATTCAGAATGCATCAAACAATGAATAACAAATGTTACTCACGGCAACCATTTCCATGGTGAGGTACTCAATATCATCATAACCATGATGCCTATGTCCGTAATATGAGACATTGCTGATGACACGATTAATCTGTATGAAAAACGCAATGATCAAAGCAACATATGCTGTGATCAGACCTTGGACGAAGAGTGTACTCATTACACCTACACCAAAAGGCGAAATAAGTAGTGGCTCTTGCTATTGAAGATTGAATGAATTCAATTGTAATACGATAATAAGTAAACGCGTGTTCAATGATTAAAGCTTTGTTCGATAATGCCTGCACATAGAGCTTTAATGGATAAATTTTTGTTCATTGCCCCAAATATAAACATCGAAAATCCGAAAAAATTACATTTAATCATAATCCATTAACGCTTATTTGCAACAATCAAATGCCAGAATTTCACAGCATTGCAATTTTGCATTATTTGTGATAATGTTAACTTTCCCTGCAGAAACTGGGAGTGTGTTTAGAGCAAACGTTCCTTTGATTAAATGATGATAACCCACTCTTGCCTAAGGAAACATCAAAGGAATTTCATTTATGCGTTGTTTTAACCAAATATATTCTTTAAAAAGTAATAAGGGTATGAAAATATAAAAAATGAATGATTTATAGCCAATCGTCTAGCAAAACAGAAGGAAATAATATCTTCAAGGCAGCTGGACAGTAAACAATAGGTATATTTTCATAAAACAAATAATCAACAATCATATAGATTGAGATCATTCATAGAAAGATTCTTTTGCTTCAAGGAACCTAGGCTGTTTTTAATTCAACAACTCAAGGTAATAATTACGCATCTCTTAACATGCAAAGTTTAATAGGCCACTTTAATACGCTAATATTAGGGTTACAAGTCAGACCTTTATGGCTCTACAATTCGTGTGGATCAATAAACACGAATGACGTGTGGACCAATAAGAACCTCAGAATACAAATTGCAGTTGAACTTTGAAGAATTTTAGGATCAAGACTACTCACAAATGCAATTTGATCTAAAGAAAAATGAGCAATTCACCAATTGTCGAAAGAAAGGTGCACCGTAGGTTAAGTAAAAATAACATTGACAATGCTGGTGCAATAAAAAGCATGTCCTTGTCCAAGTAGGTTTTTTAATAATTGAATCTTAAGATGACAAGAAGTTTGAGTCGACAATAGACCACCAAAAGCTTACCTCGTTTAACGCATTCATTTTTCCGTTGAAAGAAGATACCTGGAGTAGCCTAGACAAAAACCAATACATTAACTGGTATTCGTGTGTAATTACAACACGAATAATTCATAGTCAAAATAACATAAAATATTCATTCTGAATAATTTTCTGCGTCTTTCAACACGTCAATGCACCCTTAGCTTTATATCATTGCTTAACGAAATGTTATCAAATATCTGATTACATAGGTCAAAATCAATGACTGTTGCTTCCACTAGGTTATCATCTCTTTGAAAACCAACATATCACAGATCTGTCTCATGAGATGTTGGTTACCTCTCATAAAACATTAAAGAACATCATCTGGTATCATAATGAACAAGTAATTGCTGTCTGTGAGACGAAAGCAACGTACCTATGGAATATGATGTTATGATTTAGGAAGAGAAGTCCTTTGGTTACATACCTAAGAATCATCTGCAACCTTAATTTTTCTAGCTGTTTACAAAACTCTTCTTGGTCATTCAATCTAGAAGCAAAATTCTTCATGCTCTGGAGGAGAATAAAAAATCATTACAAAATGAAAGAAAGTAAAATCATTGTTTTTCTATTTCACCCTTGGCAAAAAAGAGAGCAAGTAACAAAGTTATCTTAACTTAACAAAGTTATCTTATCAAGTAACAAAGTTATAGACCGGCTGTTCGAAAGCTGAAATGATTTTCGATTTGTAGCACGCAAAAGTACCCTTGCTCAATTCGAAGGTGTACGCCTAAACGGGATTCTGTTTCAATAAAATCCTTTTAGAATTGGGTAATGGAAAACTCTTTGCTATTAAACACTGCGAAATTACATAGCAGTGTACATACTATGATACAACAGCGTCAGTTATTTATGATGGCATTCTTATTGAAGAACTGCATTGCTCACCCTTATTATTGTTGAAATAACTTCGTTTTTAGACTCCTGTTTCGATTCTTTCTTGAGCTCTTCGTCTGTGAGTCCTTCCATGTATTTCTTTATAAGTTGCTTTTGAAACAAATTAAAGTAACAATGAAACAGTTTGCTGGGAATGGAACTATAAACAATTTGGCAAATACTGCAAACATCTTACATCATGCCAGATTTGATAAAACTTTTTAAAAAGCTCATTTCTTACATTGACTTGCTTATTTCATTCACCAGCTGTAGAATTGTTTTTATTTTCTTTGGGTCTGCCTTTCATTTTATTCAACATGTCAAATTATGCCTTTCGATATGAAACAAACCTTCAGACAAATAACTCGAGTAGCTTTAAAGGAGACTGTGAAAAGGAAGAAAATTCAAAGGTTTCAAAGCCTGACACTGATTTTTTTAAGTTTTAGCAGCTGATTACTCTAATAAGAAAAGGAGCTTCGCTTACTACACACGGCATCAATGAATCTTCAATGGTCTTGATCGTAAGGAAGTCAGCACATTGTCCAAATGGCCTGAAACAGATAGATATGTGAAGAGGTGTTGCTCCACTCAACTAGTTTAAAAAATCGACATCAAGCAAAAAAGTAAACTGTTAAAGAAAATCGAATGATAATACTACATTGAATCATAAAACAACTGAAAATTGAGTTTCTAGATAAAGAATTGCAAATACATTATCAAATTGCAAATACTTAAATTACTTAATCACAGTCTTTAATGAGAATCAAAACAAACTTGTTATAGTTATAAACATCATACCATATATAAAACTTCATACAATAGATTCAATATCATCACACGATACAAAACCAAATAAAAAAATTACCTAAGGTGGGCACAAATCACGGGTATGTTAATGTTTCCTCCTTCGCAAAGTCGTTTTTTCAATATGTCAAAACCACCGAGGCTTCCAAATTTGTTGATGAGGTCAACGAGCCAACCCTGCAGAAAAACGCAGATGTCAAGCAGGGCATCTACGATTCAAGTCTCTTCGTTCGCAAGCTTCGAGGAACACTATATCTAAACACATTCATCGCGTAGGGTCACTACTTAAAAAGGGTCTACAACAGAAAATTGTTTCTACTGCAGGTCAAAAGAGCGTTATGCTATTCGCAATTCAGCCTGATATATAGATGCAATGCTATCTGTCAATCAAAATTGTCATCAATCCTACTTGATAACAGAGTGGCGAAAATTACCCTTTGCTGACGATGGTCCGATGGCTTGGCGTAACAAGGTTTATCCTCTTCAGCGCCAGCAATTGTTTCTGGCGTTCGTGATGCATTGTACTGGTGGAATCTGAAAAACCACGTGATATTTAGTGTACTGTGCAAATCATTTTGAATGCTCTGAAAATAATTGGATACTCCCTTTAAATCAAAGAATCCAGAATTTCTGCTTAACATGTATCTTCTGCGTGAACATACATCGCTTAATAGAGCGGGAGTTTTGTCAAGTTTACAAGGATTTATATCAATAAAACATGATGAAAAGGTCAAAGCTTATGTAGTATAAGTGGGCATTGAACAACATTCAGATGAATTCATTAAATATTGACAGGGATCGACATGCATAGCTCATTTGAATTTCAGTTCCAAATTGTATTTTACGATCGTGAAACATAAAAAATTTCAAAGGAAGGGTTAAAATGAGATTGAACTTGCCTGGATTTTGGATCAAGAACAACGGCAAGTAGGTCGAGCAGAGGAAACCAGTCTTGGCTCAGCTTGACCACGCAAAGCTCGATCAGCTTTTCTGCATTTCTCATAATGTATTTCTACAAACAAAGGTGCCGAAATTTATGGCATTAACAGAAACTCTAATTACCATTTCAAACAATCAAATTGCAACTATCAAATTATATAACCTTTATCATCAACGTCGTAGAAATTTGGCGAGGAACTTGGGCCATTGAAACATAAGCAAGAGCATCCTATAACAGTGATATATCTTGGCCTACACGTAATTATCGTTAGCAAAGAGATATCCCCAATAAAAACTTGACATCAAAAGACAAAAGATAGCGATAAGATAAAAACTTGTCAAATTTTCGTTAGACGATGAAGAATAGAGGAGTATCATTATCGCTCGTATCAAATAGTGCTTCATGATTGTTTGAAAAACCAAGATAATGGAAATGTTTGCTTACTGGTAACGTAAAACGACATTCTTCATTAAAGGGGACAATAATGAACAAAACTAATTAAGATTTAAGTGTGCAAGAACAATTTGATAGTGAAATATATAATCATAGCAGCGGTAAATAATCAACTCATACTTGATTTGAAATTACAATTATCTGAATGTGAGAAGGCATACTCACATGAATTTCAAACTTCCAAGTGCTAACAGCATCGTCAAGAAAAATCTTGTTGAACGATATTGTCATTCCATCCTTTATGAACCTTTGACAGCTCTCGCTTTTTGTATCCAACCCTAGAAAATCGATTTCATTTTTGGAGATTTTGCCTGTTTAAATAAAATACACATTGTGTTGCAATGCCAAGATTCAGTACTGGACAAAATATGGATAAGTGATAATCTTTTATAGGAATAGAAATTAAATACAGATTTTCAAGAAGCAATGGCATAAGCATACAAATCGATAACAGTCACAAAATTTGCGAAGATAACACCGTCGAGAGCGGATTTTAATGTTGGATAAAACTATGAGGGTATTCTTTGTGGTTTTACCCATGTTTATAGCACGGACAGACTATTGACTGTCAAGGAGGTAATAAACTTTCTGATAATGTGTCTTTAAAAAAGCACCAGCAAACTGTTTCAAACAACAGACGTATAAATGTTAGTATGTAAGTTGCATGCATGCACAGAAATCTGTTACCTTTCTTAGAGAGCTTTATAGCAGCATCAATCAACACCTCAAGCTCTCCATTAGGAAGAACTGGGATCACCCACTTTGGTCTGTTCACCATTTCATCAAGTCGAGCCAGTTCATTGTTGGGAAACACAGGTTCACCATTTTCATCAAAATCGCTGTCGAGCACCTGTGTTTCTTTGTCAATGTCAATCCCTTCCAGCTTCTGTTGCACTTCATCTATTACCTGATAAAAATTCAAATCTCAGCAACAGAAATTCACGGGTTCGAATTCAGTGTCTTGATCAAATGTCATACATTATAATTCTAAAGCAATCATTTGTAAAGCTTTGTTAAATTTTGTGGTTTTTTCACTTTCCTTGTCTTCTTCCTCTTTTCTTCGAAACCAAGGTCTTTTAAAATCTAGTAAATAAGTAACACCGCAACGCGACGAGAATGAACAACTACAAATATACATAAATCAGTTGTTATAAGTTGTTATGGCTACATACCTCACTGGTCTTTTGAGGTGATTCCTCGTTTTCAATTTCATTCTGGGTAACTGGCTTTGACGTTCCTTGCCCTTCAGAAGAGGGGGTTTCTTTTTGCTGGTCTGGCTGGCCTTGCTGATCCCCAGTTCGAGGTAAAACAGTCATGGTTTCTTTATTGCCCTCTTGGGGGCTAAACTTAACCTTTCTCGCTATCTTTTAAGTGAAGACAATGAATCCAACATTCAAATCTGTTACACATTAATGTCAAAGCAATTTCAAGGACATCCACGACCTAGAAAAGAAACCATTGACGAGAGTTATGAATAGCCAATCAAAAACATGAAGGAAGTTGATGCTCAACATAGAGAATGTATTTAACTGGGCACAAGTCACGAAAACCCTTTCCCCAAATTAATATGACGTCCTTAGTAGTAAAATTACTGATTATTTGGCATTTCAAACAACTCAAACCAGATTAAAACATAATAAAACATAATTGGACAAATTTTGCTTCTTTACTGTACACTAAATTTCGGGGAAAAATTAGGAAAGAATCATGGGAGGCACCAAAGGGGGGCTGGGGACTTCAGCATCTCACCCAGTTTTTTTGCAAAAAAACTTTTTAAGAATAATGGAAAAGAATAAAAGTAAAGAAATAGAATAGTGCAAAAGATCCTTTTATAAGCCGAGATGAAGGGGACCTCATAAGTAATGAATTCCATTTTTAGACTGAAATTAATCAAACGCAATAATATCGTGCCTACAAAATAGTAACATCGTGTACTAATTCTTCGTACACAAAGACGATTGCAAGAAAATGCCTGCAAGAAACTTTCTGAAATGTATCTTGAGCTAATCTAAAGGGCGTGGTCGAAAGAATTTTCAGCTCGCTTGGCTCGCAGGGGGGCCTCTTCTTTCAGGTTTACCTGAGGTCTTTGACAACCCATCGGCAACCCTTACTATGTATCGCTAGCATAACGAGCGCCCATAAAATCATAAGCATAAAATAGCGTGACGCATTTTAGTGCATTTTCAAAAGTTTGTTTTTAGTCAAATAACGCAATCAACTCCAGCTTCCCCCCCCCACTTTTAATTACTCAGTGTCGCCCCTGGGAAGGGTTGGAAAACCTGACTGTCACTGGATGTCTTGAGGCAAAGAGAGGAAGAGGAACACTGTTTGATAAAAGAACAATTTGCTGGGGGGACTATCATTTAAAGACGTCAAATCAAGGTAAATAAGCATTAAGGTCATCTGCTTTTAGCGTGATCACAATAGTCTTAAATGATCTAAGCAGACATTTTTTAAACAAAGCCATCAAAATCTGCATTAAAAATCAGTATGAGGCAGCTTCCATGTGATCAGTCTCCACTAATAACATCAAAGCATCTAAATTGAGACTAACTCTGTGTATTTAGGTGTACCCTTTTATCATGACTCAGTGCCTTCAACATTTGATACGGGACAATTTGGACCACAAATCACATTATAGAAAAGTATTGGTTTCAGGAGCTTGAAAGCATTAGCTACAAGAAATGAAAACATCAAACATCCATAAGTCATGTATTAAGGTTATTTGATGTTCTTCGCAAGAAAGCATTAGTAAACACTAAGGCAAGCAGCACTTTTCAAGCATCTTTGTATGTCATAATGTATCATAATTCATCATTCTTTTACTTTAGATATGGACTGGATGCCAGAATAAAGGTTTCTTGTAAGTTTTTTTGATGCTAATCCTCATATAGGACAATATAAAAATTCATAATGGATGTATGATTAGCAAAACACATGTTCAGTTGTGGAACAACGTGTTCAGTTGAATCCTTTTTGAGTGTTTAAACTCTATATGGACATTAAAATTACAATACAAGCACAAACAAGATGGAGAATTTTATCCAGACTGTTCCACACAAACAACATGGAAAATTCAATGCTAAGCTCCACAAATTCATAAAATGAAGTTTAGAATGAAGTATTAGGCCAAAAATTGCATTGGCATATTACTGACAACCACTTTTGTAAATTTTAAATTTTTGAAACACAATACTGCAAGGGGCTAGTGTAAACTGTGACTTCCAAACAAATTTAATCACCTGAGCTAATGACATCGATAAGTCTCAATGTAAAAGGTTTACTTTGCATAGTCACAACAATATAATGCAGTTAATGTGAGAATACTTTTGCTTCTGCCAATAGTTGGAGCCTGGCATTCCGATTTGGCTTTGTTTGGCAACATCTACTAGATTATAATCAGATCACCTGACCATTGGTCCCACAAAATATTTTGGACTTCAGAAAAAAATCAAAAAGCAAAAATTATAAAAAAGATACTAAAGCTTCAGAAAGAATCTTCAAAATCAAGAAAGGTTATGAGAAAAAGAAAATTGACCGATCAGCCAGCAATGATCAATTAATCTTAATAATGAAATGTAGAAATACCCTGAATCAGTGTTTTAAGCTTAACAAACTTTTGTGTTCAATTCAAATGTTGCTGCTTAATTGGAGTATAATGGTATTGTTTCATTGGAAAAAGCAATCAAAATTAACAATTTTGTTGCTTTGTAAACCAGATCAGTATCTTGCATAGTAGCAGCAGCTTACTCCAGAAATCAATCTTTGAAAAAGTCAAGGGAAAGCAATATTGTCTACAAAAGTCAAATGTTCAATTTAAAAATGGCAGTTCTCTGTACTGCTAGTTTGTGGTGCAGAAAATATTTGTTCACACAGAAAGCATGTCCATGTTCTTATATACTATCCCATTTGTTCATTGAATTCCAAGCAATTGAAAATTGCACCAACTTTTCACACTGAGGTTCATGATTCTGCTCTAGTACACAGGAGCAGGCCTAGACCTGGTCACCCAAGCAGTCCATTGTGTCAAAGAATTGCTTTGAAGTCATATGTGTATTCTAAATATTTCTATCAAACTGTTAAGCTATTCAACACCTTTCTAGTATACTGATTTCCTGAGCAAAGAACTTCATGCAGCAACAGCTTTTATCAATTAATTGTGTGCCATACTTGAACAGCTAGTGTTAATGGCTGTATTTATAGGCAATAAGTAGAAAAGTTCACACAAAATATTATTCAACTGACCACAGAATATTCATATTATAATTTATAGATGATTTATTGTAAGCAAAAGTTTAAATAATTGCTGTTAAGTAAAGGAATAAAAGTTTAACTGAGTTCATTTATATGTGATAGGGGAAGGAGGAAGTATTGGAAACAGAACAACAGAGAATGGTGGAATTTTGGTATTGAAAATTTTTAATGCTAATGCATTCAGCTAGAAGCACTCTGGAATTTGATCATGAATGCAGAAATTCATAGTCAAAGAAATTCCTAACCTTTACAAAGTAGTAAGTCACAAGAAATTCAAAGAATGAAGGAACATCCAGCACAGTCATTAACAGAGGCAGATCAAGAGTGAGTTCCTTGGTGCACAAAACTCAGTCAGTTTTCCAACACACAGTAAATTTAAGCTCAGGCTGACAGTTCTTAAATTTTTCGAAAATATGGGGCTGGCTTGTTCTTAATTTGTTCTTAAATTAACAGGGTGTTAGGCGATTGCTAGCTTTTTTGCTCTAAGGGGTGTTCAGCCTCCATTTGCCAACAAAGACAACCTTAATTCGCTGTCAAGTTTGAATATTAACAGAAAATTACCCAAACATGGCTAAAAATCCTTTGTTTATGAGATAAAAAGTTGTTTAAAATTGCCTTTTACAGGGGCTCAGCCTCAGCTTGTTTTTAATTTGTTCTTAACTTTTGACCAATTTTGAGGCTCGTGTTCTTATAAAATTGTTCTTAAAAAAAGAAGAGAGTTTAGAGCTAAAAATAGTGCTACATGAAAGAAGTAATATTTTTACTAAAAAAGTGAAACCTAAAAACTCCCCATCTCAGGCATACTCAACCACTCCCCATCTGAGGCTGTAACCAGGTGGTATAGACTATTCTTTATCTCCTTTTTTCTCATTTTTCCAATTTGGATTTGACACTTTTATTCACACATTGGTATTTTAGTTTCTTCATTATATACTGATACAAGTTTATCATAGTCTCTTCAAAATCTTTTAATTACCAGTTTGATACAATTTGCTCGCCCTTGTTGTCCTTTCTTCTTTGTCAGGATTTAGAAACGATTTCCCAGACACTAAGGAGGACTAGAGGTCACTAGCTCTGATAACAAAGGAAGCCAATCCTAAACCTTGGAAAAAAATGCTTTGTTCCACAGAAGTGAGAGAAATAAAACAATGAAATTATTGTTTGGAACTCAGATGGAACTCAGTCAGAAGAGCCTGGAATTCCGAAATGATACCATATTTGAAAGAAAGATTTAGTTGATTGGCTGCCTATTGCTTCTGTTCTGGTATGGGACTGCCTAACGTTTAATTCGAAATTGCAGATGCAGGGAGTATTTACTTGTCTTACATTTGCCACCCTTGTAGCATTCTAGCAGATTATCAAGCATTTGAAATAAAAACCGGGAAGTATCCATTAATTTTCCAGGAGCATTCCCTACCTTGAATTGCAGTCTTAGATGGTAGGGGAGACATGCTCAGATGGAATAATAACACCATATTTTGATGCATTGGCTGGTGTCTATGGAGGCAAAAACAATAAATATATGCTTAATTCAAAAGTGATTGGATTTTGTTATGATGCAAACAAAACAAAAAGGAAAAACTTTGCTATGACATCCAAGACAAACAAAAGAGATTTGAGAAGGGGGGAGGGAGGGGGGGTTGCAAAAATTTTAGTGGCACTTTTAATGATGTTGTCTTAGGCACAGTTATAAACCATCAATCTCATTATCTGAAAGACCCTAGCCTTGGCCTGGAACTCAGCCAGGTATTTTGCTGCCACTGATTAATATTCTTTATACATTTCTTTTTAATTCAGCACTGTTGATATACAACAACAAAATATTATGAAGCTATATATGCTCAAAATCAGGAAAAAGAAATAAAGTTGACTAATAAGAAACAGTAGACCAAGAGAAAGATAAACAGCAAAAAAACTAGTGAGGAAAATAGCAGAAAAGGCGATAACAGCAGTGGTTTTAGTTGCTAAATAGACACAATAATCACCTTAACTGCATAAACAACCTGTTTGAAGCAGGAGTAATCTAAATGTGCTATCGACAGCTCACATGAAACATTGAATGTGAAAGGTCTGATACATATCTACTATTTCCAAATCAAAATTTACCAAAGAAACTTCCAGAAGCAAATAACAAAAAGTGTGGAAATAAATATATTCACTCCATTGATAAAGCCATAGAATAGGGTGCTCTTTTGGAAGTGCATGTCAGAATGTATTTGATGCTAACCAGATTTGCCATTGGCAAGGAAGTTCACTCAAAATAAAATTGTTATGATAATTGCAAAAGAATAGTAATTCCTATGTTAACCAATTGCTGTTTGCCATAGCAAAACTTGGATAAAGTATGATCGCATGGATTACTATTGCATATAACTCCTTTCTTAAAACAAAAATAAACAAATGAAAATTGTTCTCTTCACATGTTGTCTGAGCTATGTCAGATATCAGAGAGAAACACCCCTCTAGGTCATCTCTAGGGGTTTTTGTGTAACCATGGATAAAGGTCTGGTTTTGGATAAAGAAAACAACTTTTTTAATTGCTTTTTCTCTGACAAATTTTAAAATAGTGCCCCTTATTACAAGATTTCTCTTACAATCACACTGGAAACTTTGTTTCTTGCGCAGACAAGTTCATTTTGAAAATTGGTGACTGTGCACCTGAAATCATGCACAACTTGAAATTTGTAGTAGAGTTAATAATGTAGAAAGCCTGCCGATTGAAAATGTGTGTATGCAGGGAACATATTATGGACAAGCAGCAAAGTTTCCAATTTGGTCTGACAATTCTACAAGATTCAACTTATTTTTAAGGGACGCCAGAATGAGCAAGGGCAATGAGGCAGGCTTGAATGAAAGGGCATTTGAAAGATGATTCCCAACATCTACTAAATGTTTCAAAACTACTATTTTCTCTCATCTTCTGTAGGTATCTCAAACATTTTATAGAAATATCTTCCTTAATTAGGTACTGCAACTAATTTGCTTATAAAAGGCCAGTTTCAAGGGCAGCTTCGTGAAAAGGGAACTTTTGCCCCCCTTGCCCTTCCTATCAAAAGGCAACAGGGGCAAATGAGCCCTCATGCCCCCTTCTCTGGCATCCCTGACCTATTCAACTATGGTGCTAAATCAGAGCATTTTTAAGAAATTTTCTCTACTGGGGAAAATTTGCAAAAAGGGCCCAATGAGAAATAACCAAAAGTAATACAAGGATCTATGCTGCGGTGAAACGTTTATTTTAAACCATAGAAAAAAACAAGCACACCTAGCAAAATTAAGAAAAACAATGTGATGCCAGCCTCAGCAAGTTCACACTCGGCACTGTCACACAATCTTAAACCTTGAGGGATCCAGTTACTAAGTACCCTGGGTACTAAAACCACATGAATTCAAGCACAGAAATAGAAGATAGGAACGGCAAGTGGAGGAGTGTCTTCCTGAGAAGATTGAAAAGTGGCTCTGGGCTAACCCTTCATCTCAAATAGATGCTCCTTGTTTCTGCTCCTATCTTCTATTTCCATTCACGAATTCATGTGGAATTTATGTGTTTATGATACCCAGGGTAGGACCCAGTTTGTTATTTGAGTATTGTGGCTAAATAAAAGGAGCATATGTCCACTCGACTATTGTGGCTAAATAAAAGGAGCACAGCATCGCCATAGAGTTATATGTAATGTTTCTGATAAAAGCAATGTACTATGACGTTGTAGTGTGAGTAGAAAGGATTAATTTGAGTAGGATATAAATGCTGTTATCCTTTTTTACAGGACCAGAAAAAAGGTGTGATACAAAAGGTGATACAATAAAAATCTAACTCATAAATTGCAAAAAAAGAAAGTACAAAGTCAAGATATACAGATAATATCATTTAAAAGTTTACTTTAAAAAAACAACAGAGGTAATTGCAAATCGCCAGGGCCCAAATATACTGAGGAAATTCTGTGATTTGGGCTCTCACTACAGTGGAAGGCATTGGGCCAACAGGGAATTTCCCCCAGTAGTTACACTGTTAAAAAATGCTCTGTGCTAAAATATGGCAAACATTAACCAAAGGTTAGATAATGCTACTTAAGTACAGGTCTTGCCCACATTAACATGGAGCCTCTTCTTCCAAGGATTATTGTTTACAAACAATTTACAGTCTTTGCATGACTGTCTTATGTTTCTATAGAATCACAACTCCAAAATGTAAAATACCTGAGTTACAAGATCACTGGGAAAGCAACATAAAGCAAATCCTTTTTAATTTATTTCCAAAACTAATAAGAACCAACTACTGATATTTTGTGTAGTTAATTACAAATATATTGTTAAAATAGTGAGTTTATCTTGAGATTTTTTTCCTTATGACTGAAAACGCTCTGAGAGGGATCTGAGAAACAAGATAACAGACTGACACTTTTTTAATAGTTTCGCACAGGATGTATCATTATAAAACGTCAAAGTGTCAACAATTATTTGAAAAGGTCGAAAACTTAGTAACACTTTTGTAGCTGTTGTGACAACAGTTTCAGGAAGCAGTATCTGTATCCGACTGAATTACACACTTAATAAAGTTGAAACAGACAACGAACCATTCAAATTCTGTTTCCCTTATAATAACAGTTCCATAACATGACAAAGGCGGTACACATCGGAGTACCAACCTGATAAAGCACTGACTGATACCCGGTTTAAGTTGTTGATGTCTCACTGAATTTCGTATCTCTATAAGCTGAGAAGCACCAAAGTTACAAGCCATTTCAAAAAACTACAAATAACAAATGCTAACTATCACTTCAACCACAGGGTAGGAACCTATCCAAATTCAAGGCCAAACACGGCCGGGTTGCGAGATTATTAGAAATAATTTTGCAAGAATGTGGCAACAATTAGACATTACCTTCGGTAAATTGCAGCATTAGGCCTCTAGCAACGCTCGGATTGGCTATTTTATTATCAAAACAGCCAGAAGGCAACATTTATCAACATTAATTCCTCGCTGCTTCAGTTTCGCATTTGCTTGAGATCAGCTACAGCAGCTTTTCCTCCAAGACAGTGGCATCCTGGGAAATTTTCCCTATGCCTTATGTCATAGCCTCCTTTACGTTGTCGAATATGAGACATTCTTGTCTGGTGCTAAAATTGAAGAATTTATTGAACCAAACGGAACGGAACTCAAGGCCCGCGTTACGAATTTTAAAGTGGGAAAGTGGGGGGGGGGAGGGGAAGGCTTTTTTCTCCTATTATTGCAGCTTTAAATGACTTTCTTCGCAAAAAGTTACGTACCAATTGGATCACTTCACCTGTTCACACGGACACAAGAACGGAACGGAACGGTTCGATTTAAAATGTTCCCATCCCATGTAAACGCAGCCCCTGAGCTTCCATTTTTTGGAATATTACGGAACATTGCGCAATCGTTCCCGTTTGTACGGGGCCTTAGTTTTTACCTTCAATTTTGCTTCCCCATACTTTAGAAACATTTAAGCACAGGATACTTTAAAAGAGAAATAGCAAAAATTTATCCATTCAAGCATCTTGAAAAAATATTTGTCTCGATAGGAGCGCATAGTATTTGGAAATATCGTCATTAGAAGTGCATCGGTTCTCTCTTTTAGTTGTACCAATCAAATTTCTAAGGTTTTAAAGAGTTACTTTTATGATATTGTATGATATCATGTAATACTTAGTTATTTTCAGTCATTGGCATTATGTGGCATGAAACCTTCCACCCAAAACCAACGGGATCAATTATATGCCGTACCTCAACGACAGAGCACAGGCATCTTTTTTCCGAAACGTTAGGAAATGCCGGTTCAGCATGGTAATTTAGACTTTATAAAATGAAAAAACACATTGCACATGGTGAGAACTATCTCCAATGAAGGCAGACATGGTTATGTACTCCATTAAGGGACCACGCACTCTTGATGATACTCCTCAGCTCATGAGTTTTGAAATTTTTGAGATGTAAATTCTTTGTCCATATATGATTCATATTTTTTACAATATGTTGTACATATTTTTCTTATAATTTTGCATTGCAAGAGGAGGTGGCCCCGGTTAAGCGGCAGGCACACATCCCCCCCCCCCTCCCATACTTGTGGCAGGCGCATCGAACTCAACAAATGTTCAGACTTATTGATAAAATCATACATACAAAATTAATAAAAACTTTTAACTTCATAGTAAAATTTTCAAAAATTTGAGATGCAGTAAGTGTGGCTCTTGCTGCCATTATAAAATAACCAAGACGGTTAAGGACCCACACCCCCCCCCCCCAAACAGAACTTCAAGTCTTATGGTATTTTGCATTAAGTAAAACTTGGAAAGTTCTGTAGATTATGACAAGGATGTCGACAAAAAGACAAACTTTCAATCGAAGAAAAATTAAACTTAGATCTAACATAGAATTATCAAAATGCATCTCGAAATAAGAATTCCAAGTTAAGTTATAAGCCAGTGTGTGTAAAATCTGTTACTTTCCTGTCGCACTTTTTTAACGCTACATATCTAAAAATCTCTATTGCCGTGAAATATTGGAAAAATTACCACTTTTCAACTATAAAGTCTGTACGATTATTCGCAATAAACTTCTATTCTGCTTCTTTTGTTTTCATCTTTTTATCTTTTTTGTGAAACCAAATCATCAGCTGGGTACATTTATTTCCTTGCAAGAATTATCGACCTATATTCTGAGGTTTTATACTAGGAAGCGTTTCAGAAAAAAGGACATAAGTATGTTTGGAAACGTTTGCTTTTTCAAAGCCATTATTAATTATTTTTGCACTTGTATTTGTACTTATCATAAGTCAAATCAAAAGAATCTTCCAATGACATATACAGTATATACTATACAATGACAGACAATACAGTACATACTATATTATTTAACAGAGTAAACTTTTATAGTTTGCAAAAAGGCACCAGAAGTCTCCTAGATGTAAAATTGTCTTTGGAAAATGCTCTTCCGTATCACTGACCCCAAGACGGAATTTTCGGCATCTAGTTTCGTCCACCACTGATCGATAAAATTAAATATGGCAAATGATTTTAGAGCTAATGGTGTATCAATTTGCTCAACTTCGTTAACGAACTTTGATAATTAAGATCTATTAGGATGAAGGTCTACGATGCTTGCTGTTAGAGAAATTTTGAAGGAAAACTTTTTCTTGTATCACTCCTCAGCCGGGGGATTATTTCCCTGCCTATGTCACTGGTCAAGAAGAAGCTAAAATGATGAGACCCAGTCAAAGCAAAATGGTAATATATATTTATATATATGTTTCGATAAAGACTTTAGATAATGTACAATGCAAGCGAATAAAATGCATTATTATGGTACAGCCATAAGTAATCTGGGTTTATATCGCCTTTATATATGCTCTTAAAATATTACAAGCACTGGGCAAAAACAGTCTTATAAATGATTCACTCGAACTCGCCCCCCGAACTTTTTATCCAAACTTTTGCTAAATAGTATTCCTAGCATCAGATAAGAGCAGATTATCTAACGACAAGAGATTTCATGTGCTTTCTGACATGACTACACGAGGGACCTACAAGTGAATCGTCTGAAATCGTCTTTTTCCATTAAATCTCTCCAAAAAGGTTCCTCTATAAATAACATCGAATTCAGGAATGACTGTAAACTGATCAGGATCGTTTAGCAGTAGATAAATTACGAGACTAGATTTAACCTTTGGGCTGAGATTTCATAACTGAAATGCAGCCCATTAAAAAATTTCGCTGGCGATCACATAAAACTATTAACATAAAATTCTGTCCATTACTAGCGCATTCATTCCAGCTCCATAACCCGCTTCATCGGTGTAAATTAAAACAAACCACATACTCTTGGTAAATCAACAAGAGTAAGTCTGTTCTAAATCATTGGCGTAGGAACCTGAGGGCTGAGGGCTGAACTATTTTGGTGAAAAGTGCCATTTTCATCTGAAAAGTGCCTTTTTTTGCATGTTCCTAATGATACAAAATGGTGCCCTTTTCGCTGTGCTCCCTCCCATTTTTAACATGTTCCTACGCCTAAGTACAATATATAATCGAAGAAGTGCAACTTATTACCAACAAAATTCCAAACATTAAGATCGACTTTAAGGTTAGTCTATTAAGATAACTTTATGACGATATGTACCCCGAAAATATATCTACTTCCATGGGGTAAGTCTTTATCACCTGGTCAAGTGAGTGTAGGCCGAGTTATCATAACCTCGTTTTCAAAGATATTATCGCCAACGCTAAATTAACCGAGAAAATCGTAATCCTGTTACCTAAATGTGAAAGAAAAAGATAGTAATCGCAAAGCATTAAAGGAATGTCTGGGTATCAGCAATGGCACCAAAAAATGATACAGCTGTTGAGAGTCATAAACGTGTTAAATTAATTACGGTTATAAAAATGAGCTGTAAAGCTTATCAACATTACAAACTCGATACAGCATACAGCGCAATTAAGAAAAATTACTTCGACTGAAATTCAAATCGTTAAATTCAATATCTAAGATTTTTCGCTCAAATATTCGATATAGGTCTTATGCTAAGAATTTCTGTTTTGCATAGAACAGAATGAATACTTCAAAATGACCAGTCGAACAAATTTCGACAGAGGTCACATGTGACGCAATTGATGGGAATATTGGCGTTTTGTCCTTTTGATTGGCTCAAAGCTGACGCCGACAGCTGCCGTCTGTCACTGAATACGGAGAAAAATTAGGATACTGATTAACCATCGAAATTCATACCAACAATAATTATCAAGGTTACCGACTGCAACTTATTACTTCGGTCGAAATTTTAAATTATATTTCTCTGCTTCTTAAAATAAAAAACAGCAATGTTTGGCGCCAAGAGCAGCAAAGGCAAATTCTTTTGACGCTGAAAATTAACCAGGAAATTGATGTTTGCTTCTATGTTACAGTTTCTGCCAAAGATTTTCCCAATTTCTACGCGTTTTCCTCTCGCACATGCTCTCCTCTCACGCGCATGCGTGCAAACTCTTCAAATATCAAGTCATCGTCCTCCGCTCTTCTTTCTGGGCCACTGTTTAAAAGAAAAGATTGTTATTACAACGGAGAAGTGGCTGGTGGAAATACAGTAAAATATCCAGCTAATTCCTCGTGACACATTTGGCAATTCTAAGTACAACTTGCTAAGCTGAAAAATATCAATTAGATGAAAAGAAATTTAATGCCTTTAACAAGTAAAGCATATCTCACCTTGTGTCGAACGTTATCAAGTCACTATCGACTGGGGGCTCGTTCTCGTCTCCTGGAAAGTTACCACATATGTTCATTATTAACATTAGAAGGAAATTAGACGATACAGCTAAAACTGTTCCAAACAAAAAGTGATCCAGAAGAGTGACCATGTTATCGCAAAAACAATTTTGCTTCTTCATCTTTGACTTAACATGTATAACCTTAACATGTATATAGCTGAATTTTTTAATTTTTTCCATTTGAATATAATAAATATTCTCTGAAATGTTTCAGTAAGACAGTGAGACTATATTTGTATTTTTTGCTTTGAAATACTTTTACCTGAATAATTATATATTCATTGTTAATAAAATTTTATTTGCATGAAGATAGCCAAGTAGGTAGTTGGTGTGACAACTCGATGCTCTGGGCAATCGAAGAAATTCATCACTGCAATCAAAGTGCCTAGAGACCACTGAAGTGCCTTTCCAGGCAATTTATCATTGCTGTGACAGGAATGAATAACAATGAAGAAGCATGAAATACCTCCAATCTCTGACGGTCTTCTCTGAGGTACTGGAGACGGTGATGGCGAGACATCTTCAGGTGGCTTTGGATGTGTCAGCATAAAAGGCAATTCAACTGTAAGGTCCCTACGTTTGGAAGATGCCTCTTAGTGGAGCCATGCAATCTTTGAGATTCGCTTACATACTTGGTTAATGTTGGGATTTTAAGCAAGGGAATAATTAAGAAAGTGGCACCGGCTACCGTACAGGGGAATAATACAGGGCACTATATAATTTTCTCTAGATAATATTTACGAATACGTAGCATACCACAAACATCTTCTTATATCACAGAAGCATCGTGGCAAGCACATTTTTGCACTCAAAAGCCAAAATTGACACTTACCCGCCAAATTGCACAATTAAGCGGACTTTAACTTTGTAATGAACAATAATCCCCAGATTTTCTCTTGACACAGACGGATCAGTTCTACAATTGGAAATAATTATCAACGATCACTAATGAAATATAATATACCGATCTAATGAAAGTATAAATCAACATGAGGAGTGGCTTTTGGAGCATTTGTGTAAGAAGTTCTCTCCATAGCATGGTTTTTTCTCTCAAATAAGTTTAAGATAGTATAATGCTTCTGGTTGATTGACTAGATGGCGAAGTGAAAAAAATATGTAAAATATCACACTGTACAATACATTATTATGTAGAAAAAAGGTTAAATCTGTTGACTATTGGCTTGGGTAGCAAGTAAAAGACAGGGGAATTACTAACGGATTTGGCTTTGCATAGAACGATGTTAGGGCTATTTTTACTTTACAGTGCAGAAAAAATAAATGGCATACATTGTTGATGATGCAAGATTTGTATCTTCGTGTTTTAGCTGTCCATCTAATGCTAGGCCCCTCTTGTCCTAAAATATGAGTGTTAAGGAAAACTTTAAGCTGAGAATGTTTCAACATTTTATCTTGTACATAAAAAGTCTTATACATCAACAAGTCCGGGAAACTGCATCAGGAAATTCAATTGAAAGTCTTTTAAGGGCTAAACTAAACTTACAAACAAGAACACAAGCATTCAGATCGAGTTTTTATCCTTACTGGTTATTCGAATGGGAAAGGTTTGACCCTGCGATCAGACTATCGAGCTCTGTAAATACTTTCAAGAAAATCCGTCTACCACCAAAGCCTGTCTATCGTATTCACAACCCAAAAGGATTATCTATATTAACACAGCTACGTGTCGGGTTAATTAAGTTGAACTTTCATAAATTTAAGAATAATTTAACCCCTTGTGATACGTCGAGCCCCTTGTGTGCAATTAATGACGGTGTCGAGGACACGGAATACTATTTCTTGCTCTGCCATACTTACGAAGCAGGTAGACGGGATTTTCTCAGCAGTATAAATGCGATACTGTAGCCTCATGGTTTAATAAAGCTATCAAATGCAGATTTGTTGAATGTCATCCTGTGCGGCCATGAACATTCAAATGCTAGCTTATATCCATGCCTCCGAACATTTTGAATAAGAAACAAGACTTGTAAGAAGATTTTGAAAGAAGACTTGTAATTCTTCTTTCTCGGAATATCTCGTAAGTTGTAATTCTTTCTATTTTATTTTGTAAAATCATTCTTGTATTAAATAAGTATCATTTTGTAGTTGTGTTTTAGATCCATGTTAAAAGCCAGGGGGTAGTCATGATATTTTGCTCCTCCTGGTATCGTCTTCGTAGTGTCGTATAGTAGTAGTTCGTTGGATAATAATTCGTTATTGTAAACATTTATATGGGATAGAAAAAAAACTTACCCTGTTGTTAGCTAGAAGTGGTCTTACACTATAGACCTTTGACAGGGTTCCACTTGAGCCGACCGGAAATCCATCCCTGTAAGCAAGAGAGCCCTTACAATCAATGCAGGTATTGCAACAAATAGGGGAGAGACAACAAGGAAAACATGTAGTTTCAAAGATGCACTGAAGGTGGTGACTGGAAGAACAACAGAATGTACAACATGTACAACATGAAACATGTAAAGCATGTACAACATGAAACTATCTGCAACATGAAAACCTTTCCCAGTAGTGAATCTTCAAGTATTTTTCAACAAGGCTTTTATAAAGAAAAATCAAACAGAAATAAATACAGAACGAAGAAAATTGCCTAATTAAAAATAACTCAAAGCTTACTCTGATTCTATTGTCGCAACTGGGCATTTGTACTGTGCAGTTGAAAATAAACAGATATCCGCATACTGCCTCACTATAATAGGAAATATAGAATAGTACTTCAAAGCTAGAATGACTGAGTGTATTAGAAAAGCTGCCTGAAAGAAAGTTCTTAGGAGGAAATTCAGCATTTATTCTGGTTTCAAAAAATCTTCCACTTTAATGTAACTCTTTCACTAACACATAAATAGAGCTGCCAGCAAAAATCAGTTTTACCAATAAATACGCATTCTAAAAATGTATAATTGTAAACAATTAGTGAAAATAATCAACAAAGCATAAAATAGTGCCTTCTGTTCTCTACACTGGCAGGAAGCGATCAACAACTGATTTTCGAGCAGGCTTGATTAATATGGCCTTTGGTGCTCAAATAAACGAGATTTGAATACTGCTGACTCAAACAATCGCATGTCATCCAGAGTTGTTTATGACCCCAGCTAGGTCTAATAGTTGCACTGACTTCCATACTCTCTCTTGCATTTCAAGGCCATGTGTATACCTATAAAGCATTGAGCAAAACAAATACCAGTCAGTTTGATCCCTTTCAGCGTCTTTCTTGACCTGTTTGATATATGTACGTTCACGTTGATTGCTTCGCCATGGTAGTACATCTAGGGAAAAAAGGTTCAGAAATCAGCTAAAAAACCAAAAGAAAAATTGTAGAACACCAAAGTTAAAAAATGACCAACTAGAAACGAGGAAAGAAGGAACTGGAAATAATCTTAAAAATTGAATGCAAATAATTCATCCAGCGCTAATACGTAGCCTGGAGCCAAGGACTTCTAAAATTGACGCTTGAAATCTGACGCTTTGTCACTCAAATTCAAAGTGTATCTCCATTATAAACGGTCTATGGCTGCACCGGATAATAATTGCTCCAATAACCCAGCGCCTATACAAGAGCTCATAAAATATTTTTCTTTCTGGGAACCTGGGAAACAGGACATACATTTTTCTGTTAGGTGAAAACATTGTGTGTTACCAATAGTACGCAAACATTTTAGGCAAGGGCTTCTAATTTATTGGGTCTAGAGAAAATTTCCAATAAAATATATAATTTGGTTGTTTATTGCATATTTTTTGTCTATGCGAAAAAGTCAAACTGATTAATGAACCAAATGGGGATATGTTTACTGACTGGCAGAAAACTTCAACACAGTTGGTGCTCTCCACAATTACCTGGTGTTTGGGTAAAAGATGCCAGCTTTAGGGAAGATGAATCTGGTTACCTGTCTATACTTATCAGCCAGCTTTTTCAGCCTTTCATTTCATATGATGGGTACACATGTCAACATGATATTTTGCAATAATAAATGGTGACATTTCTATATACAAATGATGATCTTGAAAAAACATCAGGATGTAATTCAGTATCAATCAAAAACTGCCAAGTCTGCCAAGAACTCAACCAAGTCTCGACACTGTGCCAAGTCTATCAAGACCTCAGTCAAGACTCAAGTCAAGTATTGCATTGCTAGCAGGAAGAAAACTTAGGATGCATGTAATTTTTATTGCTATTGATCTTTAAAGATCCAAAACAATAGCCTGGTATAAGGCAACTAAAACAACAATTTTCAAAGCACATACATTGCTTACTTCAGGTATGCAGCTTTATCTGTTAAAAAAGTCCTAGACATAGAAGTTGAAGGTTGCTTCCCAGTTTAACAATTTTTTTGTGATATTTGACAAAGGAGCTGGCTTTTAGCAAGTGTTGCTGAAAACTTTCTGCCAAGCCAAAAAAATTTCTGGGAATCTAGTTCCCAGGTTCCGATACTTTTTGCAGCTCTGGCCTATACATCGCGAGACTTGGACTGACAAGCGATTTTTCTCTCACTTCTTCACAACCAGAAAAGCGGAAAGCAAAGTTTAACAAATTCAGCCACTGTTAATTCAGGCCTTGCACTTTGTATTTGGACAAATTGATAAAGAATTCAAACAAAAATTGATTCTTATTACAGAATTGTTTCAGAATGCATTTTGTTTCAGGGATGCTTTGTTGGCTATAATGGCGACTTTTCATTTAAAGGAAAATACAAGTTAAGCATATTCAAAGAGCTGGTGTTCCCTTGAAAAGATTCTAGCCATTAGTCATCATGTATGTTTAAAATTAAACATACCCCTTTATCTAAACTTGCTTCTAAAAACAGAGGATGTGGACACATCATAAACTCTTTGGATGTCTCAATCATGGGCTAGAAAGAAAAGATAAAAACAAATCGATAAAAACGGGGTTCTTAAGCTGAACAAATGAATGAATAAATTACTTCACATTCAAAGATTTTAGATTGTTACCCAAGAAAAAGGAATTGTTACCAAGATCAACAAATAATTCAGCTTTCTTTAAAAGCAATGATGAAGATATCAATAATAGCCAGGCAATTGACTTTTTACAAATTCAGCTAAAGTATAAATAAAAGGGTCGGTTTGCTGCGGCAACAGCTGAAAGAACACCTTAGCGTGGACACTGTTGAAAACACTTTACACTGAAGAAAAATTCAACATAGTGCGAGAGAGTTCAACTAGTTTGACGATTCACGAGACGTTGGACAAAACTCATTGACAAGGAGATACAAATAAGCATTAACAGAAAAAATTACCTGTGGGGCAGGAACAGGAGGAGCATAAGTTATTTTCCTTATTGCCAGTCGCACAGAATTTCTAAAGAGAAACATTTGAAAAATTATCAATTTTTCCTCTCTGGCGCTCAGACAGGACAACAGCTTTCAACAAGGGACCACGCATACAAGATAACACTACGCCCTAAAAATCCCATAATGCACGGCTTGACTGTCCCTTTCATTTAATGCCAGCTTATAGTGGCATTGGGTGCAGATTCACGAATTGCAGAAACTTAATGTTCATAAGATTGACGACATGTAGTGCGAAGCAAAACGGGTACCTTTTATATTCTTTTTCATCTGATGTATCGGACATGTATACTTTCAACTCGTAGTCTACGCCGCAAGGCTGAAATCGAATTAATTTTGTTACAACGAGAAAAGAACGAGAAAAGTAACATAGTACATAAAATGATGGTAGAGACACAGAGAACACCACAAAGTCTCTATACTAGTGTTTACTCAGAAATAAACTAAGTAAGAAATAGACGCTTTCATGCAACTTTGACAAAGATAAGGCCTACCGTACTCTATGTAAGTACCTCGGTTTACCATTTGCAAAGATAGGAGACAAATTTCCCCGTTATCAGAAAGTAGGCAACTGAAGCAATTATTGTCATTACCTTCCCGGTATCTCCAGGCGCTGGCTGTAAAGTGACTGATGATGGAGCACCTTTGGTCAGCTAAAATAATAGTAAGCAGCAATCAATTGGAGAAAGCCTGTACGATTTTCGAAAAAAAGCAGGTTTTTAAAAACATGTCTTAGGAACAATGCCGAAATAAAAGAAAAATGGATAAAGTGAAGTCAAATGTAGCTTGAAAAGATAGTAAATTTTTAGCTTTTGCAGTTCTTCAGACACATTCAGTCAATCCAGATGTTGCGTTCTTAAGATGAATTCTTCTCAGCGGACATTATCACCAATTATCAACTGGTTTAAAAAGACACCCGCTCCAGAATTTTCATTCGGGATTTCATAAAAACCAAACATCTAACAAAATCGAGGGAGAAGAAACTTGAAAAGCAAACCTGAAACTTGAATGGATAAGCATTTTTGCCGAGCTTCTTCAGAAGTCTCTCTTGAAGCCGTGTCATTGGAGCATCATCCTCGGGTCTTGGCGGGTAAACCTGTTGCCGTGCCTGTGAACAAAACGCTTCAATTAGATGAAGGTTGTCACTGTGTGACGAAAAAAATTGCAACTAACTACGCGGGTTTGCAAGAGACCTCATTCAGTGATTTCATGTGGAAAGATCTTTACATTCTATGGTCATACACTGCAAAGTATACAACATTATATCTTTTAGTATCAGTTACACGGCAAGATATGCAATGACAGCTTCGTTGAATTTTCTATAATTATTTGCTACAAACAAGCAGTTCAGATATTTTTAAAACACCAGCAGCTTTGATACTTATTCATCTTATAGGTATATGCAACCAGAACCATAATTATGTACACCATTGAAGGAACATCTAAAAGGACAGATACATACAAGGAACAAATCTTTCCGGAAAGTCAAGCCAAGCACATCCAAATCTTCTCTGCCGTACCTTAAGAAATAAAGTTTCGTATAAGTGTTCATTTCATTATATATTATATCCACTGTGGTTCAAACATGACGCAAAAATGTAAAAGACTTCATACTTTTCAAAAGATCAACAACAACATACTAACCTGAATGCCGCCAACACATGGACAAAAACTGAAAAATAAATAATCTGAATCATTCCTTGAAATAAATTGAATTGTACATAAATTACTTCCTTTTAGACCTATTGAGAAATAGATTGCAAAGGGAGAGAAAAGGAAAGATTTGAAAATGGCCATTTTCACCAGATTTATAAGAAAGTAAATAAGCGGCACTATTGTAGTTACAAATTATGGAATATTTCACGCTTTTGAAATGCTTGGATTTATGTTTTTGCAAGAAATTTTATGAAAATATAATATGCGATACTTCTCATCAATTTATATCAACAGTTCATTTCTTTTTACGGAATAACCCAGCGTTCAAATGAATAGGAAGCTCTGATGAATAGGGAAATCTTGTTCAGCAAAAAGTTTATATCTAATGTTTAATCACCGTATTTTCACTAATAAGCACGGTTTTGGTTTATGGAGAAAGGCGAGAGAAAGAGAGGTAGGATGCTACTTTGAAATTGAAAAACTAGTCTTGAGATGAAGAAACATCTAGCAGATAGGCCAGGTGGCTTTGTCTGAAAAATATCGGGTAAATCGTTTAAAGATGTTTAGACCATGGAGTTATTTAAATTAGCGTGATATTCAGCATGAGAATTGGTTGCCAACTTAAATATTCTGACACATAAAAAATTGGATGGCTATTAAGTGGTGTCATTAAGAAGCCATTAGTATTTCACGAGTTAATATAATCCACGCAATCTTGCTTTATCATGTCCCTTTGAATGACCAGTCTCAGGTTAGATCAATCAAATACATCTGCGATCACAACTACTTTCTATTCTTTCAAAAAATACGAAGCACGTGGTCATAAGAAGCTAATCAAATTTGTGCAACTTAACAACGCAGGATCGTGGTAAAATTTTGATACTGTGTTTAGAGCGTGGAAAATAGCATCCTGAACGTAACATAAAACTACTATTTTGATTCTTTTAGACAAAAATAGTTTGTTCATACATCCTCTAAATATTTAATGAAAAACGCAAATACGCTTCATGTTCAGCTGACAATTTCAAAGCAATACTAGCCTAAGGGCATTGAAGTTAACATGAAGTGGGCCAGTTTTCACGGGTCACATCGAATTCGGAAGTGTTTACGCGAGGACGCGATTTATCCCACTCAGGTGGAATGGCCTCTTATTTGAAACTTGTAAATGAGACTTTTTTAGTTCTTGGCGGCACAATATTGAACATCAGTTTTCCTCAACGATGGCGAATAACAATTTGATTCCTTTTCTTACTGTTAAATTATGCGGTATGCTCAGATTCGTACTTCAGTTACACGAACTTTTGATTTTGTGCTCGATCTATAAAAAGTATGCAATCAACAGGTTTGCGTCCTTTCAATCGTGAGAACAAAATTATCTTTTGTTTCTTTATACTTTTGCTACGGTTTTAGCAGAAGAGCCCGAATTGTTGCTGCCGATTCGTACGACGTTATTATTTGGTTTAGCGCTAACTTCCTTTACGCAAGCGCAATGACATTCAGTGAGTGAGCTAGCCCACCTGATTGCGCTTACATGGATAACTTCCATCCCGCCTGACGCAGATCCCACCTATCCTTTCTCGCGTATCTCACCTGAACGGGCTGGCCCACTCTCCATGTAAGGGTAAAAAACCACGGACGTTTACATGGTTTTATATTAATTCCGATCAGAATGCAAAGAAACTATCGATAAAAATTGCGGATCTACTAATAATCAAGGATTTACTACTCGCGAACCAGCACTTCAAAATTAAAATAAACGAACCATTCTTTTTTCAGTTGCTACAAATTTCCCTTAAATACCCTGAAAATGTATTTTTGTTTGTTCCTCGATCATAGATTTATTGGCCTTTAAAAATTCATTTAAATTTTTTAAATTTGGTTATAAAATATTTCTACCGAATTTTTTGTCAATATTCATTTTAAACCTAATATTTAACATGCAATTCTCCTATATTAATAACAATAACATAATTTAATCGACCATTTGATTAACTCTACTTGCGCAATATCAATGTCCTTATACTAATAGTTGACGTTTCGTTGTTATTGTCAACTTGGTCTGCTTTCTTCGCAAAAAAGAATTCAAAAAATCATAACCAACGTATATCTGCAACATCAAAAACGAAACACCATGCATATTTATTTTTATTTTGTGAAAATATCAGAGAGGCAAATTTCCCAGTATTTTACCCTAACATTTTGTTTAACCTACGTAAGTTAGAAGCAGCGACGCTTTAATTAATATCTCTTGACACATAGAGTTGGATGTATTGTATGCGACCAGGCAAACTTATCGAATTGAACAATGGAGAAAGAATGAACTGACAGTAATTATCTAGAATTAAAATACGACTAGAGGGTCTAAGAGAAAGGTATTTTTGGAAAAATGAAACTGGCATGCTAACTGTAACGCGTACAATGGCTCGACAACCCAATTGCGCATGCTGTTTGACTACAATTGTGGATAATGGCCTAGTCAGTAAAACATGGTCGGTCGTCTCCCAAATGATAAACAGTGTAAATGTGGTGCTGTGGCAAAAGGAATGACCAAGAGTCAGCCCATGCTAGAATGAATGGGAACGAGCCACAAAAAGCCGTTGTGTGGACAGATATTTTCTTCGTCAGCGACAAAATTCTGAATCGACAAAACTCACCATTTTTCGCCCTTACATGCTCAGGGTCAACCAAAACAACACCATCTGTAAGCAAAATAAAACAATTAGAATTGAAAAAAGTGAAGATTCAAAATATGTCAATCAGCCTACTACAAAGCCCGCTTTGACAATTTTCGGCCTTCAGAACTTACAGAAAAAATACTTAATTTTTTTTCTGGCTTGAGATGCACTTTAAGAAAGTAAATGCTTACTCCAAACCAAACCCTTGGCTGCACAACCCCTCACACGTTCAATCCGATTTTGACAAAATGTCGGGCCAGCCGATGTTTCAAAACTAGGGAACTTGCATCTACTCAAAACGTAATTTGCTCTATTCAGCTAAAGCCGGAAGATGGGTTTTCAAAACCCGCAGAAAAACGGAAGAACATCTAAAACAGTTTCTCATACGACAACAGTGGTCATGTCTGGTTGAGAAACGCCCAAACAAGGATGTTTATTTGACGTGTGAACAGGGACGAAAACAAGTCGCTAAATTTGGGGGTTGTAGAACGATGAAAATTTCAACTTTAATTGAGTAATTTTTCTTTCGACCTTTAAATCTACTGTACCTACAGAATAGTTTTTGTAAATACCCCTAATTCCAGATTTCTTTATTATAACCAACATTTGGTTTTATAAGAAGCGTTGAACATTTCTAGTACTGAAAGATTCTTAATTTACTGTAGTTTTATCTACTGAAGTTTTTTCCTTTTTTCTTGTAGCTCCCACTTTAAATTTTTTTGATCAGTACAGGATATTAATTTTTCAAAACTGTAGGCTCAATACTGATTGTAAAGTTTCAATTTTCTCATCCGGAAATTCACCTTGCCTGTTAAAAATAATTTAATTCAATTTAAATCCCGCCAAAAAGAAAGTAAACGATGCAATTGTGCAATTCAAGATCCAGTTGATACACAATAGAAAACGATTACTGGATGGGTCCACTCCACCCTGTCATTTTAATAAGATAAATGTATCTACATTTAAATTCCCAAAATTCCTAACATATAAAATTTACAAGTTTGGTTTAAAAAAAATCCAAGTAATCTGTTAAGTTTTCCAACTGAAATTGGATTTTCCAAACTTCGGGGGACGTCACACCCCCACGCCCCCACGCCCCCTATTATCTACGTGCCTGCGTGTGAAGCAACACAAAACCCTAGAGTAATAAAAAGGATGCGAGGTGCATCTGAGGATGAGAAACGCTCTTTGTTTGTGCTTTTCAACCACTCGAAAGACTATTACTGCATAACAAGCCCTTCGTTGTATTTCCAAAAAAGACCACAGACCTCCCAATATGCTCGCATTGGTGAAATTTAGCAATTTAGACGATTATTATCCTAACATGTAAAGTTTATATAACATTGTTATAAAGGTTAAAAGTCAGAGCTTTATTGCTCTACAATGCCAAAGACTTGAAAGTCAAATCATATTTCAGAATTCATATGGCTACAAAACAGCAATGAGAATAGATGGATTCATGGGATTAAAACTGCTCGTAAATCCATTTCGTTCTGTAGAAATAAAAGCAAATCACCAATCGTAAAAAGAACTCTAACGAATGCTAAGACCCCGTTTACACTGTGCCGGATAAAATTTATCCGCATAAAACTTGTTCGGATTGATTTGTGTTTACACTGTGCCGCACAAATTTTGTCCACTTTGCCCTCCCGTTTACACTGTGCCGGATAACTGCAGTCACATGAGCTAAATCATGCACAGAACGCCCAAAATGAAGTCTTCTCTGGGCAACAAAATAAGAACAAAATTCCCGCCAACGTAAAAAGACTTCATTCGCTCTTCAGAATCATCTGCTTCTCTTTAGACAAATCCAAAGATGTTGTCAATACAAATTAGACCTAGTTTGTTTTAATAGTTTGTTCATGAAACAAAATGACACTGAACTAGCAACGAAAGTAGGGAAAGCTGACAAAGAAGCCAATTTTACGTGGACTGGCAAGATACTGCACTTTTAACATGAGTATTTATCGACAACAAGGCAGCCAAGATGGCGAAAGGTCTTGATTGGGAAACATAAAAAAACTAAATTGGATGAAATAGCCAATCGCTTTCGAGCAAGATACGATGTGGATAAAATTTATCCGGATAAAAGCGTTTACACTGTACCACATAGCTATCTGAAATAATTTAATCCACTTTCCTAGGTGAACTAATTTTGTTCGGATAGCCGCTCTCAAATTCGTGCGGATAGCGTGGGTCTAGTGTAAACGCGACGCCTATCTGAACTAATTTTGATGCGGCCAAAATATATCCGGCACAGTGTGAACGGGGTCTAAGAAAATAAAGAACCCTGTACCGATTTCGTACAATAAAGAAACATGCACCTACACAGGTACCCCTTGAGACTTGCTTAGCAAAGATTTGAATTTTTTTTTGAAGGAAATGTGGACATTCGAAGATAAAAATCATTTCGATAGTTTAATCCAAATACATTTTGGCTCCAAAAAAGTTAAGAATAGAGGTAATTGCGTTCGCACGGAAGGTATAGTATACTAATTCTTGTCATATACCGCATTAAAATTTTACCACACAATCGCAAGCTTTTGATCTGTTTAAGAAAGGACAGCGAATCATTTCGGCGGGTTTGCAAATAAGCCAATCGATTCTTAGAGACTTCCAAAAATCATAGAATTGCTTTGACAAAAAAGGAAAGGTTTGCAATGCATGACAATGGCTATATGATTTGGATTGAATATCGTGTATTTGTTTGTATGTACTGTCCAAGCGGCCTCTTTCGATATGACGCGTCCTGTGCAAATTTTTTTCAAGACCTGTATTCGCTTATCTTCAAACATGATTGAAATGATAACGCCAGACCACCAGCCTAATGATGCGATCTGGTAAATAAAAACTGCAAACTAACGCATAGAATGTAGGCAAACGAGTCCTTACTGCTCTGTCTCGTTTATTTTCGAAAAATTCCAATAAATTTCAGCAGACAAAGGAAATAGCGATAATTTATGGATACAGCTCTAGAGAAACTTATGAGTCTGAAAAGACACAAAAATATAGACGACTAGCATGATTAGCCAAATTTTATGAAGTTTGCCAATCGAAAGAAGGGCGCGGGGCCTTAAAAACGATAAGAAGCAGTGCAATTAAATGGTTCTTCTAGCAGCATGTTTTTGCAAAATGTTATAAAGCTCAAACGAATTCTTAAATCTTGATTAGCTGACCAATGATTTTTATCATATTTTTCACAAAATTCTCCGCAAACGTTTTACAGGCAGATTTTTAGATATAACATGGCATGGATAAAACTTCCATTTGACAGCTGGCTTGATGTTGGAGCGCTTGACCAACATTTTTAAGCGCTTGACCAACAACTTCATTGCTTTTGCGACAGTAAGCTTCTATACAACGCAAAATACAGCTGCACTGGATTTTCATTATTTACCAAAATCACACTCAAACGTTTGAGGCTAGGGGGCCGACAAACGCACTCTAAAATGCAAGATTATGCTGTCTGCTCATAACAAACTACTATTACATGTATTATTATTTTGCGTAGACGAAATATTTTTAAAAAAAAGTAGAGAAATGACTTGTGTGTGCTCCACCTAATGCTTTCAAAACAACTTGATTTAAGGTAGAGCGAATAAATCTACTTACCAATAGGTTCGATGTAATCGATATGATCATAAAAATCACGTTTCCCAATATAGACAGTTAACTGCAAGCAAAAGAAAGACCTCAGTCAAATAAGAAAATGTAACAGTAATTGAATTTGAACAAATTAGAATCATAAAATCCAATGATATAGTGATGTAGAATGAAATAAGCTGATAAATTTTCCTATCTAAAAAGTTTGTTGAACAAACTACCACAAAAGCGGAGGGCTGCATGCGTTGGTGACACCATTACCCACCCAGCCAATAAACAAGTGAAAAAGTGTCTTGTTGTTCTGAATAGTTCTGAATTCATTTTACTCTGTTATTATTTTGAAAACTTTTTGGAAAAAACTGATTTTTGCTGTTTATTTAGATAAAACAGGCTGGAAAACCGATGAGTGTTCCAACTTATAGGCCAAAACGATGGCATATCCCCGAGGTTTAAAAACCATCCACTTTCGGAGTTTAAACTGTGTTAAAACTGTATTCACGCCATGATAACATTGATCTTCTAAATTTCATAACACACAAATACCTTATAGATTTTTAAATATATACAGAAAGCTGCAGAACAGTAGAAATTTGGTATACAATAAATGTGGATAAATTTGGATAAAGTACAATACCAACAATAAACTTGTAAGTCATGATACAACATGAGGTCAATCTTTTGAATTGAAGAAATAATGAAAAGTAATAGAAAATTAATCCAATTGACAACAAAGTCAGCAGATATTTAATTAAAGACACTAGATTGACCAGTAAATGTGTATTTCAATTTTAAGCAATTTGGGTATCACAGTGTTTAACACAAGGTGAAGTTTCTTGGATATAATCTTTGATGAAAAATTCCATACGAAAAGTAATTTCGTTAAAAAGCTACAGGTTTTCATTGAATACCAAATCCTGCTTGACCTTTGGTGAAGTTTTATGAGATTATGGATCCAAGAAGGCTTAGTATCACATAGGCACTTACAGAGTTGTGGCCTAAAATGGTGGCAGTTGTAGCGAATTGCTACCATATTTAATTTTTTCTTGAAGAACAATTAAATGTCTCTAAACAGAATTTTTATGTTTCATGAAACATAGCAGATAGCAACATGGTATAAGGCATTTAGATTGCAATTTCATTATCATTATTTTTAAGTGAATACCCTAACACAATATACCAACAAAGCAAACACAATATACCAACCAAAAATTTTCATAGCAATGGTAGATATAAACATACTTTCCCATTTGGTGTGCTTTTCTTGAAAACCCTGATGAGAAAAAAAACAATTTAAGAAGAACAATAAAGGACCATTCCAGAAGAATACAGCTAAAGTAAAAATTCTCAAAAATTCAGTAAGGTTTTTCAAGGCTTGTGCATGGAATGCAGAATTGTACAATGGTGGGACACTGATGCAGAAAACCTGCTTCTCAAATCTTGACTTGAAGTTAGAAAAAGCTATAACCAACAAACAAGTAGAATACCTATTATTTAAGAAAATATTCAAGCAGAAACAACCCTCTGAAATAAAACTGGACACTGATCTTGAAGTTCATCTCATGTCAAGTGCCTGACAGCTTAGTTTGCAAAATGTTTGTGCAACCATTTTAACAACTATCATTTTTAAAAAAAAACTCATGTTAAATAACAACAAGCATTGATTGGTTAATTCATTTTTAACTGTGTACATATGATTTGAGAAAACTAAACAAAAGGTTATTGAGCTTGTTGCTTGTACAAATGTTTAAGCAAACAACTACCTGTCTGGATAAGGAAATAGAATACCTTTCTATTGACATGATTGTCAGTAATGCTGCTTTTAAAAATTTACCTATAACACTCATAAGTAAAACACAATAACCACTTTGATTATTTTTTGAAAATATCATATCCCAAGCTATTAAAATCTGCTTAGCAATTTTTGCTTTGATTAATTTAATCAAGGCCAAAAAAATTACTTAAAGTAATAAAAAATCTTATTGGCATGGCATTCAGATAATTAGTAAGAGGAGGAAGGTTTGTTTTTAAAGATTTTACTGTTACAGAATTACCACAATGACTTGAAGTTAAAATGTTTCATAACATAGAAAAATGAATGTTGAATGAAGAAATTTTGCTAGTCCTTTTCTATAGGACTTAGACACAAACATGAAATTTATATTCAAAATTAAAAGCTTAGCTTGTCCAGACTCTGCTAGAGTCATCAGTTTGCAAAAGTGGATAAATCCAAAAACTATAAGGAAAACTTACAAAATAGTAAAAGACATCTCTGTTCATACGGTAAAGCCCCCCCCTCCCCCTACATAGGATCCAACCCAAAAAGATCTTCACCCATGCCAGCAAAGATTGGCCATGCTTTTACAAAGGACGTGATGGGCAATACCACACTTTGATCTGCTGGCTATAGTTAATTAGCTCTGGGTTTGATCTCAAAGGTCTGGCAGCAACAGGTAAAATGAAAATGATCTAGCATAATCAGCAAGTATATGCTTATCTAAAATGACACCTGGAGTTGATCTTGTAAGGCTGTAACTTGCAACAAAAAGGAAATTGTTGCATGCTTGGGTACAAAAATCGTTATTGGGCTCATGCTCATTTATCGCTGTTTGTTAGAGCAAGAAAAGGAAACACTCAAAAAGTTCCTTTTCATTGACCAGACAAACAAACTGCCATCTTCACAATATCAAAAGCAAACAGATCCAAGGTGCCCCAAATTGAGAGTGGTGAAACAAAAGTATCAAACAGACATAGGGGATTTCAGTCTTCTTCATAAAGATATTGTAATGTGTGTGGTAAATCGCACAAATAATATATTCCATGTGTGTGATTCACACTCTTACCCAGGGTCTCCAATAACACGAGGCCAGGGAGCCATGCCCCCTTCCCACTTTTTGTACAAAACAAACAATATTTTTTACAAAATATTTTGTTATTAGTCTTTATTTTGCCCTTGTCCCCCACTTTCCAACTTGTGTCAGAGCCTATGTTAGCTATCTTTGTTTATTTTTGAAAACATTACTTTTGGTGAGCAAATTTGGTGGGCGTATGGCAGCGGATTGCATGTATTTTCAGAAATTGAAAACTTTTCCTCCAATTCTAGACCCGAAAAAGTAGCCTGTGCGCCCCCTATCCTAAAAACATATGAAGAAATTAATGCTCGCGGAAACATTTTACAGACAAAGATTTTCCGTGGAGGGAACATTTGAAACAGTGAAATTTGCGATGAAAAAGACAGTATTGTTGAAACTGCCTTTTATGGTGCTTTTAATGACTCCAAGCCACAAGGTATTGATAATGAGATTTGAAATTTTGGTACGTTAAATTTGCCGCATATATGCAGTTTTTGGCTCCTCCTAAAAGCTATTGTAAGAATAAGGCAATTTTGCTTAACTTTTGGAAGCAAAACTTTCAATATTTTGAAGAACTACAGTCCTAGAAAGGTCAAAAACAATAGTTTTATCATCCCAAACTACCCTAGATCTATCTATCTCCAGAGATTTTGGATCTAGTTTTACGTAAACACTCATCAAAAAGTTTTCAATTGACATTTAAATATATCTTAAATTTATATCTCAACGAGGAGTTTCTTGTTTTAAGTCTTTTGGTACTACTCTTTATTAAAAGTTTTCTAACTTATGACGTATCTATTTCTAATGTCATTTGAACTTGTTTCAATCAACCCTACGACAAATGACTTCTTCCATGATACCATGCATATAAAATATGTACAGGTTAACTTACTGTGTGATAGTGGTTACTCAAAACTGACACTCGAAGATAAAAAAATAAAAAGCAAAATTAACAGGCTAACCACAAAACTTTCAGATCCGAGAGACAGGTAGCCAATAGCTTTATTGTGTTACATTGCACATTTAATCAAATTTATGAATGCCGTAAACCAAATGATACTCAGAAGGGTTATATCTTAAAAACGGGGGTCTCCTACAAAGGCAGTATGTCAGGCCAGTTGCAGTAATAAAGGTTAAAAATTTCTATCAAATGAAGGCGATGCATAAAAAGATTGCTTTGATCGTTGGATTGAAAAGGAAATTACTTTTGAGTGTGTTTCGGTAAACATTAAATCTGCAACCCGATTATGAGAGCTAGACTATAACGCAAACATTTGAGAAGTAAAGAAGTCTCAATGAGTTTTAAAATTTGTTGAACTTTAGAAAAATGTTAAATTTGTATATCTAATTGTTTGTAATAATAAAAAGGGCCTAAGCTCATCAGAGAACTTTGATAAATAGCTCTGAACTTGACAATAAAGGAGGCAAAGGTTTCATCAACGAAAAGCATCATGAAAAACAAACAAGGAATTTTTGCACTGTCAGTTTACATTGAACTAAAACTACAACATCCATCACTTCGGCCAACATTTAGCAAATAACGACAAATTAGGAAAGAATGTAAAAATCACTGATACAAGAAAAGGGTGAACAAGATAGGGTTTAAGATGAAGTGGCCTCTTTAATTTCAATAAAGACATTAGGCTAACATCATTATACAATACAATAGCATCTAAAGCTAGATCAAACGGCTTTTGGGTGGGAGGCCTTTTAGTTTTCAAGGCACGTACAATATCTTGGTAAACTCACCTGGTCCCTGGACGCTTCAAACTTTGTAGATCTCCTTGCCCAGATACTTCATTCGCCGATCCGTTCGCCTGACTCATTGCAGAGAGAGTTTCCAACGATAAGTTTGACTTTTTAGTTTTCGAAACCGTACCACAAAATGACCTTGAAGCGTCCGTTGATAAAAAACGACAGGCCTTTTATCTCAAGAAGGTCGGGTTAGAAATTGAACAGATGCTGGCTATCCGCTGCTCCGCTCTACCTTCTTCTAGGTTAGGTCGTGCATGTTAACGAAGAATTTTCAAAGCCTTTTTTCCTTTCACGCGGCAATGTTGCACGCTTATTAGCCAATGCCTCTCTTAGTTCTTGCAATCACCAAGACACAAATTCTTCCTCCGGACCAACTTCATCCGTTTCCTGCCGCTTGATCATCAACAAGTTTATGAAGGGTTTCATTCTACCGCGAGGTGTTTGACCAGCGTCCACAAAACTACACGCATGCGCAGATGCATGAACAGCTTAGAATCAGAATCAGCATTGTGGAATCAGTCACGAAATTTTATCTTTCCTTATATATTAGGATCGCTACCGTCCGTAAATCTTCGAATCCCCCTTCACCTCCCCCCTAATGGCGTAACGAAGACACTCGGGGGCCGTAGCAATATCATAAAATGGGACCCTTAGATAGAGGTGGCGAAGTGAGCTTCACAGGTAAATTTGTGAAACTATGCCATTTAGAACGTCAAGAAATGCACGTCTTGTGGAAAAGATAGTTTTTGCGTAGAAAAAACCAAAAGTAAGAGTAAGTCTAGCATTGTGAATAAATTGCGTTTCTAAATATTTTGGGGGTAAAGCCTCCGTATCCCCCCGCTTCCGCAGTCCCTGCAAGATACACCACCGCTACTCCCCGCTTCCGCGATCCATGATTGATTACACATTATGCGGCGAAAGAAAAGAACTAAGATAAAGGAGACGTTGACGGAAAGACTGCCGAAGAAAATGAAACTATCAATATTTTCAAAACTAAAATGTATTTCTGTGCTTTGATTCATTCTTTGGTATTATATCATTGAAAGTGTTATTAAGTAAATTACAAATGAAATGAACTTCAATACAATGAATAAGCTACGAAGTGAGCTATTGCCTCCCAGAAATTTTCTTGGCCCCTTGCTTGGCCCCCCAGTTTTTACAAAAGCAACTATTAAAAATTTGATGTTTTTTCCAATAGCTGTTGAATCGTTTTTGACATTGTTAGGGTTGCTTTCTTCTATTTTGCTCAATGCATCCCCTTCAACATATTGTGGTTCCTTACTTTTTAGTTACTCGTTAAATCGCTGCACTAAAACCTTTCTTATTTTATCTCAACATTTAAATAGATTAAGCTGTAGGACCAAGAAATTATTAACAATTTGAAAATGTAGCCTCAGATTTTCCTTCTGGTAAAATGTATTTTAGATGCTGTATGTGTGATGAAATTCAAGTTGTGTAGTGCACAAGTCTGAGAGAGACTACTCGATATACTTAATAATATATTGCAATCAATCTTAAGCCAGCCCAGCCTCTACCAAAATCACTGCTTATACTTTTGACTGAAGAAAGAAAATTTCAGGTCACTGATGTATCCACAAATTTGCAACCATTTCAAAACTGTTGAAAAACTGTTGATAGTTTTACAGAAATTTACAATTGTAAAAAAGAATCTAGAAATGGGGATACCTTAGTCATCATCACAAAGATTTGATAATCTGTGTGAAATTGGTTGCACTAGAGCAGAAATATCTCTTGAACAGTCGAATTCGTTGAAATAGACCCTGTTTACACTAGCACGGATCCAAATGTATCCGTACCCAAACTAGCACGGATAGGCTTTTTGTTTACACTCATTTGGGTTTGCTATCTGGACCCGTGTGGGATCGCTTTCCAAGGTGTACTCACTTGGATCCGTTCCCGTTTAGGTCTAGTGTAAACGGCTGAAACCGAACCAAACCAAGCACACTTTGGATACGAGGCATGAAATTTTCTCCTTAAGAGGTCAATTGTTTGCGCCAAAATCTCGAATTTTATATACAAACAGAAAGTTCTTCTTATACTCATAATGTTAGTGTTATGGTTTAATTCCTGGCTGCAGTATATTGCTTTTCTATGTGCTCAACACAGGATTCGTCAGTTGAGACTAGCTTTGGTTATATCTAAACAAAGCAGCCTGGGACTAGGCCTACATCATAACTTTCAACAACAGCGACATAGGCACCGCAAACCAAGAAGATTCTGGCAATGACCAGGAAGAACCCGCTTTTGGTAGTTCCTGAAGAATAGTACGAGAATTTAAGACTAACTACGATCGTTCTTGCAAAAGCGAACAACTCACTTGAGAAAGCCTTTGTCTGTTGAAACCCAATGGGAGGTCAAGTAGCCGAGACAGTGGACTGGATCCGTGCTAGTGTAAACGCGATCTAAATTGGATCTGTTCCAGTGTAGACAGCAACAAAACTGGTCACGGATCCAAAGTGGATCCGTACCCATTTGGATCCGTGCTAGTGTAAACGGGGTCTAAGGCCGTTTACGCGCAGCACTCATCATACAGCAAAGTAACTACTCTCCCACCCCCATTCTTTTTGCCACAGTCGACAGCCTTTCTGAACCCTGTCTTCGTCTTGTTTTATTTTCTTTTCACCTTTTCTTTTGTATTTTTTCTCTATCCTGGATATTTGGAAAGTCCTCTGTTGCTGTTTCTAGATAGGCCTCGATAAATTTAAGTAGAATGCCTTTGTATTTCGACGTAACAGTCCCCCAGTCTTCTCCATTTTGCATTTTAGCAGCTTTGTAATCCATAACTACTTTCATCAACAAAGCTGTCTCCTCGTCTGTCAATGTAAAAAATGAGCGCTTATCGTTGCTTGCAAATGACGCCATCTTAGATGATCTCCCGCCAAAATGAAAATTAACAATTACCTTGTCTTTGCACATGCTTAGAAAAAGCGATTCGACTTTGGTCTGTTCCCGTGTAAACGCTTTATAGTTTAGGATCCGATCTCGTGTAAACGCTTGTGGATCGTACCCATTTCATCGTAACTAAAAAGTCCGGATCTTCTGGATCCGTCCCTTTTTCTCTCTTGTAAACGGGGCCTAAGAAGCTAAATTCTGCAATGATTCTTCCCCAACGGATGGATCGATTGAGCCATGTAAAACTCGTTTCAAATTTCAAAATACGAGGAAATTGGCTTTCAAAGTGACCACACCTATTAAAGACCTGGACACGCCCTACGGACCCTTTCAGAGGCACAAAGCCACCCTATAAGAAAAGTGCATGATTCACAGAAGAAATTTCCCTAAACACTTAAACGCCTTATTCACATGAATGTACATGTAACCATTAAATGTTCCTTGAATTGTTTTAGAACAACTTGTGCTCAGGCTAAGCTCAGCCTGCAATGTAGAAAATTGCCAGGGCTGCAGTGTGGTTTGTGTTGAAGGAGCTGAAGATAGAGATTTCCTGAAAAATTTGTCAAAGAAACAAAGTTTTTGAAATTTTCTGACACATTTAATGTCTTGGGGGGCTGTACCTCTCTCTGTCCCAGCCATCGCGACCCTGAGGACTCCCCGATAGTCAGCACACAATGATTTTGTTTGCTCAAAGTAAAATTGTAGCTAGATGTCCGATAAACGATTAAGCTGTTCTAATTTTACAATCAATTTCGAAAAGATCTATCAGGAAGTTTCGTCATCCTATTTCTAAAACAGAGAACCGTCACTGGGATTCAAAAAGTTATTGCCCCAATAGCTATCAAATTAAAAAAACCCTGTCTCGCGTAAAAATATTTGCATGTGCTGGCTGTTGGTAGATATCCAAGGAAAACTAGTAAATAAGGTAATAAAGTAAATATTTTTGAATTTAAACAATCTATACAAAAATATGCATTCAATACATTTTAAATGCAAAAATAATTTATCAAAATGCGACAAGCATGTTACTACAGAAAATATGATAGTTGACAAATTATAATATCGGACCTTTATTATCAAAGACTATTAATCTAAACCATTCCTGATAACGTATGAATACAGGAAAGAACACGAGAATATTTCTTAGGCCATCCGTAATTTTATTTCTCTATTATAACACCGATTTATCTACTGAACAATGACAGCTATACAAAAAAACAAGGTCGATATTAGGGCTGTACATCCTCACGATATCCTTTCTTGAAACTTTTCTCGAACTTTTCAATTAGAATTTAGTGACGGTGGAGTAAGTTTTGAGATGAAGAGGAGGCTAATTTAAGTTAACTCAACTATTTCTTCTTCACATTTTGTTGCATTTTGGCTGTATTATATTTATATTTTTGTTAAGTAAATAAAGACAACAGTTGCGAAATCTCGAAGCTGTTAAAACAAGTAGCTTTTAATTGTCAGCACTATTTCTCTTTTAATTTCCAGCGCTACGCCTGGAAGCACTGTCGTTTATTGCCAGCTTTTCAGTTGCTGACAGCAGCAGACTTCAGTCAACACGTTTGCTCGATAATGAAGACTTTCAGAATGGCTCAATTAATTTGAATTATAAAGCTTTTGACTATGGGAAATTCTTTACATTGATATGGGGCCTAAATAGCCAGGATATAGCATATCTCAAACAATCCTCTCTTAGAGACTAGTAGTATTTGCAAGTAGTATTTATAGTATTTGCAACTATTTACCATTTACTCCCATATTATGAGTCATGCCTTCAATACGAGAAAACGTGTGAAATTCGTTCGGCCTTGGTAATAGTTAAAACTATTTATGGATGCTCAATTAAGAAAGAAAGCTAATTATTTTTACATCCTTTGTTTCTCACTTTGCATACCTAGACCCCCATTGTGGTAATGTAAAGTCATAAAATATTTTTTTCTTAATCAAGGAGACCCTCCATAAATCAAAGCTTTTTTTCTTAAACCAATGAAAGATGCATTGACACCTTTACTACGTCTTTCATCCCATTCCATTTTCCCTTCTGTGTTGCAAATTGTAACACTTTAAAAATCCATACCATTACTAGTAATATCATCTCATGCCCTTAACTCTCGTTGAAAAAAATAATTTCTATCAAAGAGGTTTTCAGTACCATATGACATATGAAGCCTTTCAAGCTCCTGAGTTAAAAATGGTCCATTGAAGCCTTGTCCCCCAAGTTCAAATTGTTGCTTGTATGGTCGTGAATTGCTACTGACACGATCCTCGTAATACGTCAGCCCTGACTCCTCAGTAATGCCTTGCTCGCGGCCACTGTAAGGCACAAAACCACTATATGCAGGTTCAGACTGGTGCATGGAACTTTCACAGGGGAAGTGAGCCGGGTGTAGAACGCGGCTTGATGGCAAGAACGTACATGGTAGTGCCATGGCTGACTGGATGTTAGCAATATCTCGTTCTTCTTGGGTATCGCTTGGCAAAACTCCTCTTCCTAAATGAGCACTTTGAAAAGATCTCGGCTTTTGATTCAGATCTGTGTAAAGGCTCTCGTTGTACATACGAAAGTCAGTATTATCTGCAAAAATATGAAACGTCTTATTAAAGCAAGCAAGAAAATCAAACATCTTTTGGACATTACAGTAGCACAATTGAAGACCTTAAGATTCATTTGATCCTGTCATTCGGCTACCTATGCGAAGCTTGTATTGGCGCACATTCAAAAGAGTGTTTATGCAGATCAATATGGAGATGTTGCGCAATCCCTCAAAAAACGTTCTACTTGATAGAAGTGAGCTAGCAGACATCTTCCGATTTATTCTACATATCATATTAAAGAACAGCAAAAGAAATCGAAGCATTAATCCAGCTATATACAATTCATCCCCCTAAAGTGCTTGTTCTATTCCCCTTGAGAGGTTAAACATTGGATGTTTTCTAAAGGTCTGCTGGGCTCGCTGTAATCGAATCAGCAGCAGATGTCTAATAAAACCTCGAAGTGCGGATTCTTAACAATAATCAAAGCCAAATCTTTTCAGCCTGATTATCTAACCATAGCTCTCTATTTAAATTCAATCCTGCTGGTATTCAGGAAAAATTGCCCACGGTCGATTGGCTCACATAAAGTGGATAAACAACATTGCAGTATAATTTATTTCTAGAATACCTAGAACTAAACAGTTTTTCTAGGGAACTTCAGTTTTGCTGTCAAAGTAAATTAACAAATAAACTAAAGCTGTTGCATATTTAATCAGGGGTTGGAACCGAAGAGAATCATATGTTGAAGTTGTTTCCACACTACAGTGATCATGTTGGATTGTCTGAACTCTCAATTAACTCTCCAATCAACACAAATTTACTCTCAGATAAAGTTTTCGGGTAAAAAAATCGATTCAGCTTATATTAAAATCTTCATTTTTTGAAATGATCGTTGAAGTTTCACAAGATTAATAGGACTTACAAGGACGTTAATATCAGGCTAGTGAGGGGAGATAGATAATTCAAAGAAATTCTAGCTCAGATTAAGCTGCCTATTGTCCGTGCAGCAAACTATTTCCACCACCCACATACTTGAGAAATTTCTTTGCTAAACCTGCTGAAGACCTGCTCAAGAAATTTCTTTGCTAAACCTGCTTCTTTTCTGTATCAAAATATGGCAAGATGGCTGATCCTTTAAACAATAGCAACCACACTTTGAAATGTCGGCTAAAGGACATGTTTTTGTGAACCCGGTCATTTACTTCTATGTGCAAGTAACTGGTTTATTTCAGAAAACCAAGGCTACAATTCCGTTTACCTATAAGAAATATTTTTAACTGGGATTGAAAAAATTCTTCTTTATTCCAATTCTGTATGCATCACACAAAAAACAACAAAGGACTAAATCCTATGAGGACTAAATCCAAAGGACTATGCTCCCCATGAATCCTATAATACTCAATTGGACAGAGTACGTCGTGTACAGAAATATTAAAAACTGCAAAAATGAATCTATTTTACAAACCTGAAATTCGATTTCGTATTATTGAAAATTCATAGGAGCTATCTTCGGCGTCTTCGGAAACAATGGCATGTGACTCGATCAAGTAAAATATGTAATCGTCAAACAGCATTTGAAGCAAATGAAACGATCCTATAAATGAAAGCAGAAAGGTCTCAATTTTTTAGACCATTTATTACATTAATAGAGAAAAAGTTTCGGAATATCCAATGTAATACGAATCTGTAAAAGTGTCTTTGCACCTCTGGTTTCTTCGCAACGCTTGTATTGTATGCAATGCCATTAAAAGTGATAAAAATAACAAAAATTCTTATTAAATTAATTCTTACTTTTAGCCCAAGCATTTTTGTAAATTACTTTTTCTGGTCATGATCACTGTGAGTTTAGATTTACTTATCATCTCGATTTCACGCTTCAAAATTCAATTCTACAAAGGTCTATAGACTTGACAGCTCAGCTTTTGCAGCAACAAATTAGAACAAATTTAACACAACAGCATAGTTTCCAATGATATTTGTTATTCGTGAATATAATGAAGGTAAAGGAAAACATGTACTCGTCAAACCAAGCTATATAAAAGCAAAATATCAAAATCTATTTTGTCTAAAGCAAAATATCTGGGTTAAGCTTTTTATATAGTTGGTATATGGAATGCGCAGCTGTAATCTTTACGTAAACACACACATGGAAATACACTAAAGTTCAGTTATGGGCTAGGTAAGACACAGGCTATAATGGACGGATTTCACATCCTTATGCGAGGTGAAAAAAGCACAATAAAAAATGAAGCGAATCCAAGATGCAGGCAGGTGTTTCAACATGAAAGATAAGTGTATCTGGATAAATTATTAAGTAATGCAGCGACTGTCAATTGTAGAAGCTGTGATTTGGAGAGACGCACCTGTCAGCCCAGTGGTAATGATCTATGTTGCAAGGTGATTAGCTAAATAATTCAGACGCTTGAAAAGCCTTAAGTTTACCATAGAATATGCAAAGTACCAGCTCATCAACTGGTCACACCTTCCCAAAGAAAAATAATTTCTTAAAATTGAATCAGTCATCAGTTGTGACTATTCACTACAAAGTTAGTATTGCAATGTATCGCTGTTTCAGTTGCTTCAGGGTGACTATTATATTTGACGCTTTATTTTGATATGGGCTCATCAACCTACAAATAGTCAATTCAGTAAATACAGCAGTTGATTGCACCTTTGAAGAAGGCCATCTTCATAAATCTAATCTTCCAGAAGAAAAAAATGAGGAAAACATTGCAAAAGGTGCTTGGAGGAGAAAAACTTTGTTTTCGCGTGATTTATGAAGCAGGAGATGCTATCAAAAAGGCCTGATAAGGAAGAGTTTGCTTGACTATTTGACATTGAAATAAAATTAAGCTTACCAAAGCTTTTTGCACTCCTAAGGGTCAGTTCTTGAATAACTTTTGAGCAAACGAATGACCATATAAGCAGGAAATTCTGAGCACACGACTGAAATGACTTCTCTTCTTGTTCACTTGGCTAAAGGTTAAAAACATAATTCATAATAAATGCAATTCAATCAAATAGCAGTAGGGAAGGAAATTCTTTCACTTTAGAATCAATCAATGTCTTTGTACTGGCCATTTGAAGGGAGAGGGTAAGTGGGCCTTTCTGTCCAATAATGTCTGCTAATACTATCAAATCTTTTATGTTTCTTCTAAGTAATCGCATTTAAAGAACGTCGAAAAGTAAATAAAAAAAGATAAAAATGAAACTGACACAGTTTAATTGTTTTAAGCTCTGCACCATATTACAAGCATCAAAGAGCCGACGCAGTGATACAAAACTATTTATCTAAGAATGAAAAATTCGACAAGCTCAGTGTGCTTTTGAAAAACTGACAATTGGTGGGTGACTTCCAAACTAACCTTGATGACACATCTATTGACGAGGCCTGAAACCCAGTCTGTATACTGGTCGACAGTAGCTTGTTGCTCAAGAAGACTTGCAAACTCATCAAAATCTAAGATGTGCAAGAAACGTTCGATTAATGTCACCTCCGAGTTTCAGAAATGGCAAATTTGTTAGTTAGGAAAATTAAAGGCTTAGAAAAAACAGCCGAGCATTGAATGCAACGCAAAGGTATATGGAAAAAGGCCTTGTATTATAGTGGCAATGAACTGATAATGATAGAATTTATTCATTTACCATAAGCGAATTTATTCACAACAAGCGAAAAAAGAAAGTTATGACAAAGTTTGTTAGCATCGCTTTAAGATAAAACTGATTGCAAATCAAAGAAATCAAAATTCAATACAAACCCATAAACAAACTTCAATATTATTTCACCTTTTCAAACACGTAACAGACCAGAACATACCTAATATTTTCAATATTTTATCGCGAACACTTTCAAAGATTTTAAATTTTGGCATCTATAAGATCTAGCAGACAACAAAGGACTCTGGATTACATCTGCTTTTTCTAAGTAAACATTACCATTCAATAATAAATATTTTTCTGCGGGCGCTTGCTTTTGACTTGAAAATTACATACAAATGCCTAAAGCTCTTTTGACAGGTGCAAAAAACTAAAACACTAGAATTGAATCTAAATTGCTGAAATGAAATGCTGAAATGAAATGTCTATTTCAAAAGATTTTCAACAATTTCGTTTGCCCAATTGCTTTTGATGACTTTCATTGTTATTTTTTCCATTCATTATTCCTTTGAATCAAAGTATTAATTTTTCTAATACATCTTCCTTACTCTTTGTGTAATGTTTAATGTATCCTGTACTTCTATTTGTCGATAAGACTATGTCATGCACGTGTCTTAATTGACTTTCCACGCAGTGGCAAATGCTAAGCTTCAAACAGAACTAGCCTTAAATAAATTCATTGAGGATTTTTTAAACTTACATGAATAGATCTGTTTGAAGTCTTTTTCGGGTCTTTTCGACGTCATCCATAAGGTTTGTTCAATTATTGTTGACACTTTTACTTGCCTCAGGTCCTCTGCCATTTGGCTCACTGGGTCAGTGCTATGCAACACGGTTCGGGCAGCCTAAAAGAATGAAAATTCATTAATAAAAAACCCATGAATATAATAGGCGATCAAAAGGATAAAGGGCTTATCTATGCTAAAAAGCAAGTTGCTTTTTCAAATCACTTATACCAATGCAGGATGCTAGAATTAGCCCGTCGCTTTTTGTGTGACAATCGCTTTATTTCAGAGAAATTAAGCCCAAGGAAGACAGGAAAATCAAAATGATTTTTTATCTATTCGACAAATGGTGGTACAAAGTTACTGTTTCGAGTTCATTGTTGTAGAAGATCTAATCAAAGTGCTAAGCTCCGTTCACTTTCTTGATTTTGGCAACCGTTCTACAGAATTACCTTAGGTACATTCAAAACATAGCGTCTAATTATTTAACACAAGAAAAATATTTAACAAGGACTTCAAGAATACATTCCAGTCAGTCGATATAAATATAATTCAAAATGATTTAGATCTTAACACACATCTCTAGGAATCAAGATGTTTCTACAACAAATGTTCATTGATAGAAACCATCTGCAACGAATGTACGTATGAACAAATGAATAAGAAATGTGTTTACGAGATTCTATGTTTAAAACAAAAAGAATAAATAAGGTTGTTCGTTGAAACATGAAGCAGATTTATGATTGTCTTGACACAACATTCTTTTGAAGCCCTTTAAATTTAGATCAGCATTGTAAAAAGATGGCAGCTTCAGTAAGAGCAGGCAAAATTCAAACTAAATCGTTAAAAATGCTGGCCAATTACTTGCATCTGGAAGCAAAAGGCCGCAATAACACGTGAAAATCTGCTGCAAATTGCATAGACAATATTAATGTGTGCACAGAAGTGGTAGCTGGCATAAATGTTTAATAATGAAATTATCAAAGACAAAGTTTACCTGCGCTAAATGGGAAAGTGAAGTTTGTCTGCATAATATTTGGCAAAAGGCTTTTGCAACTGAAAGAAATTAAAACATGATTGAAGTTCAGACAAATTTTGAACAATAGTTTATTGCTGTGCGCTCTACTTTGTGCAAACTGGTCGATAGTCAAATTGAAAGCGGAACGGAAAGCAATAAATTCAACTGTAAATACAATACGTTTCTTGTCATATAAATATAGTTTGAAAGGTGGATTTCTATAAACATTGCATTGAAAATTTTTTCAAAACCTGGACACCATTATATAAAAAAATCTGGCAAATAGGAACATTTAGGGTAATATTAGATATTCCTTCGCCAACAATCAATATTTGTTTTTTTCTAGCAAAGCAAACATAAACATAAAGAGCAGAAGTAAATTTTGTGGAAAACAGAGATCCTGCCTGGATTTGCAGGCAAATAAGGAAGAAACAAACTAGCAACATGCATGAATATAGCTCGTTATTAAAGATGTTACCTGTCAATTTTTTATCTGAAAGACTTTCAGGGACATGCCGCAAAGAGGTTTCAAGCCAACTACACAGTTGTTTGGCGAATTGTCTTATTGCTTGAGTCAAACTGGCAGGCAACGGTTGCAAAGTACCGGGGATCAGAACTCCACTGACAGCCTAAAAGCAAAGAATGATCATGAAATCTTAGAAACATAACGTCTACATTATGAAGTTTTATGTGCTTCACAAAATCGCGAACTTTTAGATGCATAATACGGCAGAGAAAAGTCTGTAAATTATAGAAACGTAGAAAGACAAAATAAAGAAAAGAAGGAGGATAATGGAAAATCAGCTTTAACTATTAGGCTACAAACGCGATTCCCCACTCACCTTATATAAGATGTTATCGCAATTGGCAATTAGTTCTATAACATCTTTAATATCAAGAATAACAGCAATATGTTGTGGCATGCCTCTCCAAAAGTGGAGCAAAAAATGTTGAACCTACAGGAAAGAAGTAAAAATTTTTGAACGAGCTTCACATTTTTATCTTTCTGTTCTGTTACGGTCTTTGAAATCAGTTGCACTGACAAAAGGTTTTCTTTGAAATTATAAAAATAGACTAGTTTTTCATGTGAATGATTACATTGAATGACCTGACTTTCAAATTTCAATCTCCAAGCATTTTCTGTTGATAAAATATGTTTCATCATCAATCTATAAAAAGCCAAAATATATTCAAGTTTCCCTGTGGTCACTATACACCACAGCTCCTATGCGCATGTTTGAACTGCTAATCATTTTAACATCTACCTTTAGACTCAGGTCATTTTCCATAAACCCTAGCTCACCTTCAAAGTTGAAAACTCTATTACTCATTACATAGTTTATGAAATCGAACATAGAACGAATATATGATAAAGAACGGAACATACCTCACTAAAATTGGCTCTCAAAATCGTGTCAAGAATTCTTTGACAGTGGGCTCGATACATGATTAAAAATGTTTTAATCTAAGAAAAAGAGACATAATTACTGATTGTCTTGTTGCTTTTAAAAACACGTGCTTGATATTGTGAGCTGCTTTACATGTTAGAGGGCAATTTCTTTCAACTTTTCATTAGTTTTGCTCATTGCGAACTGTATCTGATAAAAGCGTTCCAAGAGATGGATTCTTATCTGCTTAGTGTTGTCTAACGCGTTGAGAAACGTTGTCCTTCAATTACAGACATTTAGCTTCGGTTGTGTATTTTGTTTGATTCTCCTTAACGTAAAAATATTGTCTCGTTCAAGCGTCTCTTACATTGTACAAACACTGCGAGGGAAAGAAGGCAAATGAGGAGCGATGCGAAGGTGATTGGCTGATATTCAGCAAAACAACTTTTTCCCTCTTACTAGAGTTACATTGTCTTTTATTGCATCTATTTGCAACAAATATGCGTTATTTGCATAATCCATAATTAATTTATCCTCATCAGAAATGGCATGGGCCAGTGATCTCTATAAATTTACCTTTTCTTTAGTCTTCGGATCTTTAATGCCAATGCTATCCGCAGAAGGAAAGTCAGGTAGCAGGACACTATTTGAAACAGCAGTTAGCTGTGCAGATTGGCCGTTATTTTTAGCAGAAGAGACCTAAAAGGCAAGATAAAGAAAACGTTAGCTGAACTGAATTATTGCATGTCAATCCAAAGGAAGATCGTAGAAAAAGTTCACATTCAATCAGTGACAAAGCTGGAAGGCATGGTTTGGAAATTGGTCCGTTGTTTAAAAGTTTTGTGTCCACCATTTTCTTTCAGCTGCTATTTATCTTGCTCATTGAAGTTGTCAGAAAGCATGTCAAATTATGACACGCTTGGGATTGTCAAGATATATTGAAAAATTTCTTTACATAGCTATCAATATTGACGAAAAGAGAAAAACGATTTCAGAAAGTACTTGTTCCTTGAAGAGAAAGGTGTGTCCTTTTGCCATGGCGCAGGTACCAGAGTCCCGATTGTGCACTTGTTGTGAAAACAGCTAAATATTTATACCGAATTCTTAACACTACCATATGTGCTTAGGCATTGAGCAAAGGCCTTCCAGCTTACAATGCTTGGTTATAAAAATGCCCTACCTGCACGTTTTCATCTGTTGCCTGCTTGCTGTACGTTTGGTTAAAGCCCGAGACACTCTGACGAGTAGAGTTGCAAACCGAATCGTGATAGGGAGAAGATTCTTTTACGCTTATCCCATAGTAATGATACCTGAAAAAAGAGTGGTTCTTACATCATCTGAGATAAAGAATGCACCTCCCTTCATAAGCCACGAATTTGCCTTAATCATCATGTATGATGCATCACCTTAATCATCAAGTATCATGTATCAATGTAGTCTGACAGGTTCAGGCCTCGTTAATGTTTTTCTACTTGAAAAATGATTTCTCTGTAGAACTACATGAACTATTTGTTCCAAGGAAGAGGCTAATTGTCAATTTGTTGATACATGTATTCAGAAATGACATTTTTACTGCAGACTTTAATCGAATATTTGAGCGTTAGGTATTGAAGATAAAAGGGTTATAGTCTGACATCTAATGTTTGAAACAGGAATGTTGATCTTTATTTCATCTCGTGATTTGCTCAAACTTTAGATGTTATGAAATATCGGTTTATGAAATTCTCAGCGTTTTCCTCAATGTAAATTGGACGTATCTTAGGAGATCAAAAATAACAGAAAATACAATTGGAATCATACTTTGATTGGCCTCTTGTTCCAAGTCTTCTTGTCTTCAGAGTTGGAAATGTGTTGCGGATAACCTAAATGTATTAAAATACTATAGTTAATTCAATTTGTTGATCCAGGCCCTGAATAGCTTTAGAGATATGTTTAGATATAGCAATAGCATTTAAGCATAATTTCAGAGATACGTTGAACCCCTTGTGTGCAATTAATGACAGTGTTGAAGACACGGAACAATATTTCTTGCCCTGCCATACTTATCAAGCAGATAGACTAAATGCGATATTGTTGCGTCATGGTTTAATAAGGCTCTCAAATGCAGAGTTGTTGAATGTCACCCTGCCCGGCCATGATCAATTATCTCTCGATTTAAATGCAAAAATTCTCAAAGCAACGCTAGATCATATTCACGCCTCCAAACATTTTGAATAAGAAACAAAATCTTTTATTTTTCTCTCTCTCGTTAAACATTTAATTTCTCTTTTATTTTGTAAAATCGTTCTGGTATTAACTAAGTATCATTTTGTAGTTTTGTTTTAGATCCATATTAAAAGCTAGAAGTAGTCACGATATATTGGTCCTGGTATCGTCTTCGTAGTGTTGTATAGTAGTTCGGTAGTTAGTAATTCGTTACTGTAAACGTTTATATTGGATAGAAAAAAAGCATTAGTGATATACCCAGCTGGTTTCTCGGGTGAAATGAGCTCTACCTTGTTAAATCCTAGTCTTTGATTGAAATTTATTTATTTCCTGAAACTAGTGGGGCCATTCAATGAATGGGAAAGCATCTTAAACACGACGTGACGTAAGAGGAACAAAATAAGCATGAACACAAACTTGAATGGATCCTAATGGGGCTAAGAGATGCTTGGTTCTCATAGAGTTGTTACAGCGTTAGGCAGGGATTGATTTAAGCGGCAATGTTGGGAGCAGTTAGATAATGATTGGATTTTGGTGTTACGCCCTTCTGGTGACAGGAAATTGATGAAAACGCTAATTCAAAAATCCACTTTTTAACTTCAAGGTAAGAAGATAAGTGGATAAATAGAGTAAATTTTTGCATTATTTTATTTTGCATTATTTTTGCAACAATGCATTTTACCGAATCACAGCAAAATTTACCAAAGAACACAAAAATATTGGGAGATGGGTGTCGCACCCTCTATACCCCCGGTAAATCCGTCCCTGGCGTTCGTGTAGCCTAGTACAATGTCATATTCCTCCAAAAAGAAGAATGTGATGATAAGGAGGGAAAGAAGAAACATTTTTCAAAACATAAATGGTAATTGGACAAAGATTTTGAAGAATGATTAGTTTCCAGAAGGATTTCTTTTACGGAAAAGGGAGGTTGAGCAAACAAAAAAATTGATGTTTCTCTAAACTGGGTAGATAAAATTGATAGCAACAGGCTCTAGATGATACCCTCGCGATTTTAAGATACTTGATTTGAAAACTAGTGCTTTAACAAACCTTTCCAAAGCTGGCTGCATTAACTGGCTCTAGGCCACTCTTTTGGCAAAAATCTAAATAATGGCTGTATAAAGAGCTTCTGGGCAGACTGACGCCACTGCAAATTTCATAGTTCTCGTGAAGCCTGTTAATAAATACAGAATTGTTATCATTAAAGGGGCCTTCCTTATCTCAAGCACAGTAAGCTTTAACTGCACTAAATAACCTGGATTCGTCTTGTTTTCATGATGGTTCGCTCGAGAAAGTGCAGCGAAATGCAAACTCGGGAGATGTAGACCAAGGCCATTTCTCAGTAACCCTGATACTACAATTTGGCTAAAGCTGACCCGAATCAGTTGAACCCGGGCCGAACTCTGGTAAGTTTGTCTGATATTTTCATTCTGCAAGGTGACGTTAGCAAACATTGACGAAGTCTCCTTTAAAATTAAGATCATCTTTTCAGGTTGAAAATAAGCCTGTTTTTTTAAAAAAGCAAGATTGAATTTTTTAAAATGGCAAAATTCAGTTTGAAAAATTGCAAAACTCACTCACTCAAATAATTACTTAAATAATGAAATCATGATCACATAAATTGGTACGCAGAAATGAAATAGAGCGAAGGAGGGTAATAGAAAAACGAAGAAGTTGACCTGAAACAGATTTTCATTAGAAGATCTCTCTGAAAGAACGGTAGGGGTAATACAGCATACAAATACAGGCTAAAATTTCATTTGAACGAAAAGGGTGCAAACATTAACGATTATATTTCTCGTTGGTCAGTTGAGTGAAAGCAATTTAGGTCGACGCAATTTAGCTCAACGCATTTTGAGCGACTATGAATATTTATCATTGAAGAGCAACAGGGCTATAAAAAGATACGTTAAAAATCATAGAGCATTATTGCTAGCCATTTTTAAAAAATTGAAATAACCCACCATTTTGTAGTCATAGGAGACTGGAGTTTACTTAAAGACATTTGGTGCTTTCTCGAAGTGTAGTCTACGAAGTAAATTTATTAGAATTATATTAATTGTCTGAATTATAAGACTTTAACTCAAATTCATCGGAATCGCATTTTCATCAAATTCATCGGAATCGCATGAAACTCCTGGAAATTCGTTATTTGCCAATCTAAGAAATCCTGAAAAACCTCTTACAGACATTCAGTGAAAAATGAATAAAGGTTACAAGAACAATCTCCCACAACACGCCATTGCCAGGAGGTTTCAGTAATGTCTATGTTGCGCACAATTTTGTTGCCTTTATAAAAGCCCTTTCTTTTTAAACATGATGTAACCACAGTTCACCGTCTCTAACTCTATAGAGCCTCTGGAGAAATATGGATAAACAACTAAAATACATACCATCCACGTATTTTGGCATTTTATCCAAATGTTGGTGCTCTGTAAGTAGGAAAAGAACACGAACATTACGTTTACACTCAAAACGCAGGCTAAAAACTTGACATTTGCATGGTAAAAAGTCTTATTTATTTTTAGCCGTTCGCTCGCGAATAGCCAGATATTTTCATGTGGACAATGGCTACGAGTGCTTAATCTGTTGTTTAAATTCCCCTGTGACTCTTAAACAATTCTTACTTCATTTATTTTCTTTGATTTAGGTTTAGAATCAGGTGTTTTTAGAGTGTTATGCAGAATAAAGTGGTTTAAGATATTTCGTAATTTGTAACTTTTGCTATTTGTATAAAAGATCATATTGACAATGAAATGATTCATTCCCCAATTTTCTTGGAAGATGTTGAGATTTTCTCACACCTAATGTAGCCAGAAATAGTTTAATGGAGATTCCTATAAGGTTGGGTGTGAGGACGAGGTTTTAGAGTTAAACAAAGTTATGCCAAAATAGCGTACAGCGCAGGGTACCCAAGGTCCATTATCTTCGATCACGTAAATTTCCTAACAAAAAAACTCAGAGAATTACCTATATTTTTGTTTTCTAAGGTTTTCTAAGGTATTTTTCTGTTCGAAATATACTTTCATATCTGGTAAATTTGATGGGCACATATCACATATCGAACAGGTTATGTGCTTGTATGTGAAATGGACCGTCATAGGCAATCCGTGGGACCAGATTGGGCAAGAAGCAAGCAACTCTAGGTTACCAGGTAAAAAATATGCCTCCCCTAGGTTACCATTACCAAGATACGGAAAAGAATCTTTAGCTCCGTCTTTAGCTAGCTCTTCTGTCGAAATGGAAAAGAAGCAGAGAAAAATGAAAAAAACGAATTTACCTTCGAAAGTAGTTATTCTTAGTCAGTATACACGAATTCCAGCCTTGTCAATTCTGCTTTCTCAAAAGAAAAATCTTGCCCCCTTTTCGTAGACTGTTGAAAAGAAATGTAGCCTCTAGATCTAGAAACAAAAATATCCATTTCTAAGCAACCAGACAAAGTGCTAAAACACGCGTTACGATATTCTGAGGAACAAAGCCCACGCGTGTCCAGGGCGGTAATTGTCCCGGAGACAATTGTTATCGCGTAGCATTCTACTTCAGAATGTAGAGTTGAGTTGAAGTTGAGATTTTTGCGAAGTTTTTACAAGTTGCTTGGACACCATGAAGACGACATGCAACGGCCGTAATGCAGGCGAAAGCCCAGTGTGACAACAACAGTCACATCTACACTATACTACAGCATATACAGAATTTCCTTCATGAAGTATCTGGCTCATGGGAATAAAAAGAAATATGTCAACCTCTGTTTGGGATTTAGTCCACATGATTTAGCAACAAAAGGGGAATTTACGCTGGATCATAGCTCGAATATCAAACGAAGTTTCTTAAAATTTAAAATAGTGAAAAAGAAATTTCAAAGGTTCTTGAGCCTGTCCTTGTCATCAAAAAAGCGCCTGCGGCATTGTGTCATCTTCATACCACAGTCAGTTGAAATCAACGTCAATTATTGTAATCTAGTTGCAGTGAAATTGGCGTTAATCATCAGCTGCAACATTTCAGCTTCATCTTCAAAAGAAAGTCAATGCAACACGCTTACTAATGAAATCGTTCACATTATTGTGCTTTTACTATTAAGCCAAATTTGGATCTTGAAAGATCCTTGGCAAAATTTTGTTTACTTATAATTCCCTACTACTCGTGCCCCTGGACAAAACATTCCCACCTACCTTACCGACGAAAGTATAAAACAGCTAGGCAAAAGGAGTATGGGGAAGACTTAAGTAAACGACTTATTCTGTTTAAATCAATTATTTGATATGCAATTAAAGGTTTCAATAGAAAAGCTACTTTTGGAGATGTTTGAAAATAGTTCGTTTACATGTCTCCTTGAAAGAGGCCTCAGAAAACATAAGCAACAACAACTTTGATTTTTGAAGAACGTTTGATTTTCTGCGATTCAAGTGTTTATTTGTATACGTTTCTACACACGTGCTCCATTATACTTCTCAAGGTGTTGTTATAATGCGTTTTACAAAGGAGACATCACGTGACTTTAGGCCAATCGCATGTTTGCATGAAATTGATTACCACGAACAATACGCCATATGCAACCTAAAGGCAGTGAAACTAAAGGCAGTGTTAACAAGCGGCTCCCCTCTGTGTACCTCCATCAAAAAGCGTTTGGTAAATGTTAATGTTTTGCAGTAACTGAGAGAAAGTAATCTTGGGAGTGCTCTGTATAGGCGAGTAAAGGTGATATGTCGACAAGATAAGGTACAAACAAGCTGAAAAAAATGACGGCAAGGACGGACGAATTGATCAGCAGAAATCCTTGCAAATATGAGTATTCCCCTTATTCCCCTTGCCAGTATAATAGGGACGTTGCCTGATGTTTTCGAAAGAGGGACATTCAGAATCTAAAAAAAGCCAGCGATGAAATATTTTAAAATTTTACCGGCTTAAGGGAAAACATGAATGAGTCATTCCTAACAAAGTCCAACTATTTGACCGGTTTTATGTTAAGTAAAACAGGATTGGCCAAGCAATCTAATTATTCAAAACTTCCATAAGGATAGTAATTTACTCGCCAACATTAATAGCAGAACAGAAATATCTAGCACAGATTCTTTTTTAAGTTTAAAAGATCGCATAATTCTGCTAAGCACACACCTATAGAGTAAGCTGAAAAGTTTTACTTCCAATCTTCGGTGAAATATTTGCTTTGACAAAAATATCATTAACAGGCTGACATCCGTCCTGGTTTCAGCATAGTCCATAAAAGCGAGGACGGGCTGATGCCCACCATTCTATTGACTATGGTCACGATCAGCCTCGTGTAAAAGCAGCTCAATTCACAATATGCTGTCCCTTCCGAGGTTGCGATGAAAAAAGATCTCTGAAAATATTTTTCAATAAGGCTAGTATAACCCCTGCACTGCAAACTGGGTATCAATATGACAGATATAAAGAATGGGCGCAAATTCTGTACTTTAGCGACGGTGCTCTCTGAAAACAGGCGAATTAAAATAATTTCATTGGCGATACCTGCCTAGCACAATGAGCTGCAGTGTTACTTTCTGCAGGATTTAATTACTGCCTTTTAAAGACTAGATCGACCGCATTGACTGGCTATATGCAAAATGATCACGTCGCTCCTTCAGAAGCCGCAGGACAGCGCTGAATACTCGTCTCATAGTAAAAAAGTTTTTAAAATTTTCAGAATTACGTAACCTATAGCGACACTGTATATTCTGTAAACAGTGAAAAATTTCGGCTTTTCGGTTTTCTAAAACATTTTTCATGGTTTCACCCAAGCATCGTATTGCCTTTAATTCTTTTCCAATACAGAAAACCTTTGATTTCTACGATCAACTAACAAACACGTGCTTCTTGTAAAGCTAGCCTAGTTCTGAGTCAATTGAAACAATCAGAACACACGCTTCCGTACACTTGAGTTAAAGAAGCACATGGTTATCAAACTGGCTGAAGTTCGAGGTTTTTGAACAACTTTAACTGCAGGCGCTTTAATCATTCTATCAGGCAATTCTCTTTCACTCATAATATGCATTCCATAACTTGGATTTCGATATGTGGAAACCCCTTTGTATTTGATACTACCTAGCGAAGGTAGTTTTCAGGGCACCAAGCCGTGTCTTGTCCTTCCTCTCGATTCCACCAAACCTAGTGAATTCTACCACAGAGAGCTGGCGACTTTCCTTACACTGAGCGAAAGTTTCGTCAAGTCAGTGACTCGCGCCACAGTTGGATATGCTGTCCACGTTGGATCTGTTGTCCCTTTCCACTGACCCATCCTCAACCTTGTAGGTGTGATTACTCTATCATAGACGGTTAGGATTTTTTATAGAAAAATTTGCGGTAGCTCCTTCAAAATCTCCTTTTCCTGACAACTACAATTTACTATTATTCATACCTTTGATTAAGTAGAGCAAACGATGGCTAGGCTGTATCATTTTAGATCGTCATTGAAAGCTCTTTCTTTTCTCACTAAACTAAACGTGTAAATGTCTCGAGTACCATGAACAATTAGGCAGACATTGTATGTTCAACATCGCTCGACATGTACTGACGACATGAACAGAGAAATGTACTGATAAAATTGTTTACTTAAATAGAAGGAATATTCTGTCTGTCTTTCGTTCTTTCTTTTGTTTTTCTTTTCTTTCTTTCTTTCTTTCTTTCTTTCTTTCTTTCTTTCTTTCTTTCTTTCTTTCTTTCTTTCTTTCTTTCTTTCTTTCTTTCTTTCTTTCTTTCTTTCTTTCTTTCTTTCTTTTTTTCTTTCTTTCTTTCTTTCTTTCTTTCTTTCTTTCTTTCTTTCTTTCTTTCTTTCTTTCTTTCTTTCTTTCTTTCTTTCTTTCTTTCTTTCTTTCTTTCTTTCTCGAATATTCATTATTTTATTTCTTTCACTCTCGATTTTATTTCCTTTATGCTTTTTTCTTCATTTATACTAGATTCTCCAATCTTAAGCAAATATTGGAAATTGGCCAGACAAGCATTACTGCAGCCATCAATAAGAATTTCATTACAACAGATAGTTAGGCTGAAGATTACTTGAGGCAGGAATTTTTCACTTATCTTTCAAAACTATGAAACACTTATATTAATCCAATTGCTACCAACGGATACAATAGAATGTAAAGGTCAATTTCACGGACCCATTGAATGAGCCTATCATGAACCATTAGACGTTTAACGGTTTTAGCTCAAAGTGACTCAGGTAGTTTCAGACAGTGACGTCAACGATAGACCTGCAGCAATAGATTCTTTCCATAATCCAATGGAGAAACACCGTCCTTGGAGCTGTTTAACTGGTTTAAAATAGTTTAAACCAACAATTCAAATCCTAGCGACAATCAGTAGAGAAGTCCTCTCATTCGGCGGCCAATTCCGTGTCTGTCGTAGGCCAAGTTGAATTTTGTGATGAACTACAAGGAAAGAAAGAAATGTTTACTTTCATTACCATTGATTGGATTGGAAATTACTGAAACACTCTAAGCAGAACAGTGGAATTAAGAGTATTACTACATATATGAACTTACAATTGAAATCGCAGCTTAGAAAAATGAGACCTTGTAATTATCGACTTCTTAGAAAAATGAGACCATTGCATAGAAAAGTCGATAATTACAAGTTCGACGAGTTTCCAAGCAAATCAAATCAGCTAATTTTTATAGCTTCCAAATACTTAGCCAAAGTGTTACTGTAACTCCGTCAATCAAGAAAGGATTCTAGCTGCAACTCGTTGTGATTTCATATCAACAGACCACAGGAGGTATGCAGCAAAACTGCAGTTGACCACGATTTTTTAGCACCGGACATAAAAGGATTTTAATTCAGGGAAAAAAGGGGAAAAGGGGGATCATTTTGGTAGGAGAAAACAGTTATCCATTGCATGTACAGCAAATATTGGTGTCAAAGGTGTGTCACGGAGAAGTTGGAAAAAACGAATTCTACTTACATCACTTGCAGTATTACAACCCTTGTTGATTGTGACCAAATACGTCAACAGCATAACATCATTGCATTGCTAAAATGAAACGTCAATCTGTTTGTAAATCTGCAGGTGTGGATGTAAATGCGATCACGTGGAAAGATATCTGGAATAGTTAATTGATGAATTCAAACAAATTCACAATTCATAAGCGCGGTTTATTTCGCAGAGAATCCACTTTATCTACTTCAATGTTAACAATTAAAAACAGCTGTTAATTTTCCGCCCTTTAGAGATCTTTTGGTTTTTTTGGTAACAGAAAATCAATGAAGGTAAAATTTACATTCACGAGAAGCTTTGCTGTGCTGCGAAAAACAAAATCTGTTAGAAATTCTTGAAAAGGGGCCTGAATGTCTTAGTCTGCAGCATTCAAAAACTCCTTCATCGGAAACGATTCTATATGAAGGCAATCTTAAGTGCCTTTTGAACACTTCAAATACTCACATCAAAAAAGTCTTCTTGAAATTGTGATGACTCAAGAACAGGCAATCTTTGACAAAGGCTTCGACACATCCTCATTATCTCATTGTTTAACGGAATTTCACCTGCCTTGACAGCTTTCACGTACTGAAGAATGGTTTTTATACGGTTATGCAGCATTTTTATCGCGTTATGTTGTGTTTGTAGGTGCTCCGCAGCTACAAAAAGGATTTCCCAATTCAAAACCAGTTTGTTTTAAAACAGTTGAGTCTAAAAATGTATATTATAAAATCAACGCATTTAAAATCTCTATTGGGTGTCCAGGAAGGTCTTTTATGTCCACTGAAAGACTAGTCCTCAGACAGACAAAAATCTTATAAATTCGAAACAGAAATTTCTCAGTATTCACCTAGAAAGCATTGACATGCCATTACAGGTTGTCAATCGACTGGGACTGAATGAGAGGATGGTCAAGACGAGTGCTTGCACAAGCAAAAAACCAGATTGCAAACCTTACAAAAATTGCAAGATCGCGCAGAAAAAATTGTCACCAATAGGGCTACCGTTATAAATAAAAATGACGTGAAATGAAAGTGAAGGTATTTAACCTTTCGGTCAGGATCTATAATGTAAGACTTTTGAAAAAATATTGCGTAGAAAAACCGAAGTTTTGGCGAAGTATTCTTGTCTCTAGTGTACACTTAGTGAGCAAAAGTATTGCACAGGCTGAAACAGAAAATTTTTCAGCGAACCAAAATTCAAGTTGCCAAAGCAAGATTCATTAAAGTTATAAGATGACTTTTTAACTGGAATATGTCAGGAAATTTATCAAGGTTTGATGCTGAAAATAGTAATTGCAAGAATATTCTTGATTTTTGCGTATTTCTAAACAATATCGACATTTGCAAAATCACAAAAATTGAGCCATAATGATTGAAGTACCTGTGAAATATTTGCAATAAGAAAGTTCATCCTTGCATCAATTTGCGATGTCATATTACAATGAAGTCGAGGGTACTTACTTTATGCTTGGGTATCTAGAACTGCTCGTTTTTTAACTTTTATTCACTTTTTATATCCTAATCATTTTGGTCGAAAATTTTGAGCTGCAATGGGCCTAGTCGCAGCGGCCGATTCGTGATATGTTGCGGCAGAATTCAACTGATAAAATGTGTCACTAATCGTCAAGTCCATCTTCTCCAACCCATTGCGATGTTATAATGGGAACAAATAATGTTGCAAATTGCGTAAAAAAACATTTCGTCCTCTCATTAAATGAAAATACCAAAATTCCCGCGATAAACAGGTTCACTTAAGTGCCTCAATAGCTGTAAAAGAGTAGGCTTAATAAAATGGCTTAAAACATGCCACTTTCCACCAAATACAAGTCCATTTATGATCAACTTGGTACTTCAACACCTAAATGTGATCTTGCAAATGTTTTTCTTAACATGTCGCGTCGCGATTAACAGTACCTGTTACAAAGCTTTTCGACAAACTTCTAGCAAGTCTCATAAAGGTTTCAAAGCCGCGAGACTATCCAATTAAAAGTTGAGAATTTTTACTTTTGAAAAAGTAAATTTTTCCAATCTTTAAACCAAAAGTGTTGCCAACAATTTAAAAATTGATTTGATTGGTTTTTAACTATAAAAAGATGCCTAATGGCTTCACAAAAGTGGTTTTAATATCGATCGCCTTGTTGTTTACAGCGCGGTCGCCATTACTCATTTGTCAAACCTGTGCAATACTTTTGCTCACTAAGTGTAAGTGTACTATTCATAAACAGTGAGATGATATGGTGAAAAATCTTTGCTGAAGTTCCTGTAATTCGAAAATGATAGAAACCTGATGAAATTTCTGAGTTCCCAGCAGACGACACTCTAGCGACGTGATCTACTCCAATTCTTTCAGCCTCCTCGGTTGCTAAGGTGTATGGTACATCAATAAAAAGAACTCTAGGCTGTAAAAAAAGAAGAAAAATCCATAACATTAACATCACTCTCAGCAATATACTGGGACAAGTTTGTTCACTACAAAGTTGCCAAAATCAAGGAGCGTTTACAAAACCCTGGAACAATGGTCAGAAAAATGTATAGAAGTCTCTCCAGAGGAAATCAGAGAACTGGAAACTCCTGCTTGTTCCAGACTCTTTGGACTGCTTAAAATTTTTGAATTTCTAATTTGGATCTTACATGACAGGCAACTCCCCAGGATACTGAGGGTAACTTCTTTAAGCCTGCTGAATTGTTATTTATAGATAGAAAAGGCATCAGCAATTGTTACACTTTAGGAGTAGTTTTGTGCTTGGACATGCCATTACATTGTACTTTACATCTTTATAACAATAAGAAAAAACCAGACTATCGAAGTCGATTTAAAGTTATGGAACAAGTAACTTTTATACAAAGCAACCTTTTAGGCACAAATAATTAAAACGAGTTAAGAGGTGGAGAAAAATTGGTGGGAAAGTTATAAGGCAGTTGTCTAAAAAAGCACAAAACTGACCAGGTTAGAATACACATTGCAAAGATCTGCAGTTTAAAAGTGTTTTTACTGCTCAATAATGTAAGTATACAACTACTATTAACATAAAAAATACTAGATAAATGACAAGTAAAATGAATAAAACTAGCGTAACATATTTACTTCTTTGTCAACCAAATCGATCACTGACTCAAATATGTTTACTGGGAGCTAGAATGAAAATAAATACAGTAATCATCATTTCACAACCTGGAACAAGAAAAGATAGCTTTGCTCATTTATATATTTGTAGGCCTTAAAAAATTGAGAGATATACTAAACAAGAAAGTAGTGCGTTTGAAAATGAATTTTGGTAAATTTAATATAAATGTGCACACCAAAATAAGGTAATGTCTAAAATAATATGCAGCAGCAGCCGGAATAAGATGCACCAAAAATGCTCAAATTATGACAAAAAATGCTTCAGCCCACATTGCTTACTTAAGCCAAAGTGATCTTGGTATAAAGTAACTGCAGTATTCCCAATCCAAAGCCCTCTTTAGGAAATAGAACTTTCCAGAATGCTTTTGTTTACAACTCCTTTACATATCAGATTAAATAAGTGCATTTCACACACTTATTTGTGGCAGTAAATAAGAGCTGCCTCTTTCTCAATCCTAACATATTCAACATTTGGAAAAAAACTTGCAAGGTTGGTTAATCAGGTTGAATATACAAAAATGATGGACATGATATTCTCCCATCTCCAGTTTTTCTGCTGTTTTGGATGGTACAAAGGAATTTGGAATTGAAATTTAAGCCATCACAGAACCTAGTCCTTACATTTTTTGTTACCAAAAATTTGCTATAAACTGCTGTTGGTATCAGCTTACAATAAAATTTCTTGGGTTAGGGTTAAAACTGCACAATACAGAGGCAACATCTCAACCAAATCAGACCTAAATGTACATATAGAAAGAATGAGAATTATGCACAAGTTTTGACGTGTTTGGTTCAACATTTTTTAAATAGAGCCATAGTAACTTGTTGATGTGCTGACAACATTTCTATATCTAACTCTTTTAGTCAGGCATTTACAATTGTCCCTGTCCATCAAGATTTTTTGCTAACCTCTGCATTCTTTTAGGTTTGCAATGCCAACATGAAGGGTTCTTTGGTTTGGATAAACAAAACCTTACAAAGAATGATAGCTATTTTCTTAATCACAAAATGTTTTTTAAGTTTTCGGTTTTTGGTTTCAAAGGATTGAACATCTTTGTAAAAAGAAGAGGCAATATGTAAACAAGTAAAAGAAGAGCAGGAGTAAACAAATGAGGATTTTCTGCATTTTTAATTATGCAAACAAGATCATCAAACTAAACATTGAGCAAACTTACATCAGAAGACTTTGAAAGTGGATTGAGCTTGAATAACAGTGAACTTTCATTTATTTGTGACATCTGGAGAATAAAAACTTCTAATCAAGACAACAGTTGGTATTCAGGTTAAAAATGCCAAAACCCTTTCCACAAAAATGTCTGATTCAAGAAAAGTCAGTACAAGCTAATGTCCTCTTACTGGAAACTAGTAACACCAATAAAACTTAATTTCTTATGAGTTTGGCTGCACATTTCTAAAGCTGCTTTTAAAACACTTTGCATAGACATAGCATAGACATCAGTTTGCTCCCCCAAGATGCTCACTTTACAACCATAAAGTAATTAAATAAAAGTATTACAGCAGGGTACAAATTACAATAGCTATCACCAGCAGAAAGAAATTTACATAAAAAAATGCTGATTGAAATCATGTTCAATTTTCAGACAAAGTGCTTGGTATAGTTACAAGTTTTAGGATGTTATAAACACCTCCAATAGCATGTAAATTTGTGTAACAAAAATTTTATACCAACCTGTTTATGGATATGAACATCACCAGGGTTTGGGGGACCACCATTTGTGTACCAGCCAATAAAATCCAATTCCTTGAAAACTTGCCTGACTACAAAAAATTACTTTTTTATAGCAAAGATTATAATTTGTAGAAAAATATTTCTAAATTGATTTTCAAATATGATACCTGAAAAAAACTGTAACAGCATTCTAGATAAATCATAATCTAATAATTTATACATTATGGATCTCCTAGTTCAAATTAATATTTTCATTCTGCAACTATATTTGTGACTGTTTACTGGCCTTCCCAGGAAAAGTGTGCCATTGCACTTGCATGTGCTGGTACATGTCTCTCCACACTGAGGACGTGTTAAATTGTATGCCTATTTTTTTAACTTTTTGTCTGTTTTTTACCCAAGGTGTTGGAAACTAATAAGTTGACAAAAACAAGAAATTTTTTAATTTTGTTGTGTTTCACCGGTCTTGTCCACCGTCCTGGGTCACCGTAATAATTTTGAAGAGCTGTTGTGCCACACTTGGATGCAATCAAACACGGACCAAATGCCCATAGTATTGGGGCTAGTAGCAGTCCACTAAATTTCATTCTTACATCTAAGGTTGCAGAAACCATTCTAATACAACAATTTGCAATCATCTTCAAGCCCAGTGCTCGTGAAAACTAAGTCGCATTTTTATCATAGACCTGTTTCTAAAATGTACATGTTTCTAAATACCAATTTCATATGGTAAATTAGGTTGAATTTTCATACAGTTTAGATAAGATTTATGCTGTATTTATTCTGATTTAAACTCATAAATTGTCTGTCTTTAGCAAGAAAAGTAAAGGGGTCACAAAGTAGCTTGCGATATTCCTGAAATGGGGCAACAATGACATTTTAGTTCATACCATTTAAGCCCATGGCAACAAGCAATATGTAACAAAGATTTGGTGCAAGTTGTGTGCAAAGTATCGTAATCAGAGGCATCCATCATTCTAAGGAGCTGCAGTTTTCATGTGAGAGCCTTTGCTGATGGCCAATGCTGAAAAGCTCGCTTTCTGGTGCATGCTATTGGTTTTTTGCCCATTGATTTCAGTGTCCAGTTCTAGCACTAGCTGGGTTAAATATAAGTGACACACAGCGCAGTGCTAAACAAGTTGTTACAACCCTCCCCAGAAAGGGTTATGCATATTTGTCCGAAGGTAATGTCCCATTTTTCCACAAATTAGTCAGTTTACAGACAACAGGATTTTGAAGATAATTAATAGAGAGTGCGGGAAAATAACCGACCCGAGCGAGGCTCGAACTCACGACCCCTGAAATTAGTCAATGTGATGTTGTCTTATATGTAAATGAAAAAGGCATGCCCTTCTTTATTTCATTGACAACGTTTTTGTGACCGGTCAAAGTGAAAAAATATGTAAAAAGTCAGGTTGCGACAAAGGCACGTAATTTTCAAGGGTTACACTTGGAAACAGACTGATAGTGCTCTGGATTCAAAGAGAGGGAAAGCTGCAAAAGACTTGTTCTGTTCCAAGAGTTTGCACTAAAATGTTCTGTGCTGTTTTATAACCGTGTCGTTTCAAAATTGTTTTCATACTCCTTTTGAAGAGATAAGATTGAAAGTGGGGGCCAAAATATTAAAATTTTTAAGGGTTTCAGAGAGCTCCCATTAGCGGCAAGAGGGATTGCGGGAGACTGCATCTAAATATTTTAAGCATCAAATTGAAGTGAAAACTGAAGAAATGATTTAGGAAATGGGGTTTTTCAAGGCTCCATATAATATGTAATTAAACTTTTGTAAAAATAAGACAAAACATCAGTAGCACGCCATCACATGCCTAAAACAGTCTAGAGCCCAGTTCATAGTTGATGCATTACATCAAAACTTTTACCCGTACGCCTTATTTCTAAGCAGGAGGCGCCAGCTTGTCTGGTGTCGGCTTGCCAAAGAGCTAGCGTACGCTAAATTTTGCCCAATATCAGAGGCATAGGTCTTGCGTACGTAAGTTTATTCTGTTTTCCGCAAACCCGTATGCCTCGAACTTATCGAGTTGAGAAATCTTCAACTTTTTTTGCCTTCCGTACGGAAAATTTCTTAGCAATGGCCTATTTTGAAGGAAAACTTTGTGAAGAGATACACAAATACGCGCACATGTATGATTCCTTGCTAGAGAACCGTCCGTCTGGAACTCAGGGTAAGAAATCGGGACAAATATTAAATTATTGGACAGGAGCGAGAAAAATGGCTATTTATACCGGAATCATTGACATCAAACGCGAATCGTTGACAATAACGGTTCTTAAACGGTTCTTAAAGTATTTGTAGGTAGAATATACCAGCATGTTTGCTGTTCTTTTTATTTTTTCTCCGTACAAGTAGAAGGGCAAGAGGAACATTCCTCGACGGCATGTCTGGAAACTATGAACCGAAAAAGCTTATGGCGTATCGTTTCAAGCTTCCCACATGGACATGCGGAAAACGTATGTGTTTACGCTTTTTGGATATGCAAGATGAAAAGGCGTATGCTTCAAAGCTTACCCTTGTGCAGAATTTAGCGTAAGCTAATAAATTCAGAACTATGAACCAGGCTTAGGGGTGCAAAATGCGGAATCATTATATACCGGAATCATTGACATCAAACGCGAATCGTTGACAATAACGGCACAATTCCCGCAAACGGTTCTTAAACTATTTGTAGGTAGAATATACCAGCATGTTTGCTGTTCTTTTTTATTTTTTCTCCGTACAAGTAGAAGGGCAAGAGGAACATTCCTCGACGGCATGTCTGGAAACTATGAACCGAAAAAGCTTATGGCGTTAAGTTTCAAGCTTCCCACATGGACATGCGGAAAACGTATGTGTTTACGCTTTTTGGAAATGCAAGGTGAAAAGACGTATGGTTCAAAGCTTACCCTTGTGCAGAATTTAGCGTAAGCTAATAAATTCAGAACTATGAACCAGGCTTAGGGGTGCAAAATGCGGAATCATTATATACCGGAATCATTGACATCAAACGCGAATCGTTGACAATAACGGCACAATTCCCGCAAACGGTTCTTAAACTATTTGTAGGTAGAATATACCAGCATGTTTGCTGTTCTTTTTTATTTTTTCTCCGTACAAGTAGAAGGGCAAGAGGAACATTCCTCGACGGCATGTCTGGAAACTATGAACCGAAAAAGCTTATGGCGTATCGTTTCAAGCTTCCCGCATGGACATGCGGAAAACATATGTGTTTACGCTTTTTGGATATGCAAGATGAAAAGGCGTATGCTTCAAAGCTTACCCTTGTGCAGAATTTAGCGTAAGCTAATAAATTCAGAACTATGAACCAGGCTTAGGGGTGCAAAATGCCACACCTGTGCTAATTTACTCCCAGGAAGGCCTGTGTTTATATACAACCATGTCCACAGATGTACAACCCTTGATGGTTGGTAGAGCACAAGCAATGCCCATTAAGATTTTAACAGGTTGCAGATTTGCTGATACAGTTGTTGCTCATGCTTAACAAATTTTAAACAATATAAATTAGTTTAATGAAGATATATCTAATATAAACCAATGTAAACAGGAAGGATATAAAATTATTAATCAATAGCAAATAAATGGTGAGATAAAGCAGTAGCTTACATTGCTCCTCCTTTGCTCTGTAATATTCCATATTTATAACAATATCCTTCTCAATTAAATCATATTGAAGCTCAAAAGAGTTCAGAATCTCTATGTTTCTTCCTTCCTGTTTTCCAAGAAGAGCTCCAACAACTAAGGGGGAAAAAATTGAAAATCAATTTACAAAATAATTAGAATCATTTGTGAGAAAAGGAATTTTCAACATCACAAATTTGCAAGATCATAGAAAAACTGTGAAGGGACTTGGAGGGAGTGCAAACGGTGGCTTTATTACACACATATCATTAGGTAAGATATAGCAATAAGGTTACATTGAGGTAATTTGTCTTCCTAAAGACATCTTTCAAAATCTGGCAACTCTGTCAAGAAAGGTTGATTTCATTGATTGATTGATTAAATGATTGATTGCTAAATTGCCCTGAAGTCTCTTTGCTCACAGTGCACATAAGTTCTGTGTCGCTTTTGTGTTTGTATCAAGTGTGCACTACAGCAGTGGCTTTGTTCCAGCTTTAAAGAGACTATAGTTAGAGAAAAGGGGATACATCCCTATCAGATATAGCAGATGAATCTTTAAGATGATGAAAACTGGCATCTTTTTTATATTTCATTGGTGCATGGTCTCCAGGTACGGTCATTTTTGCAACCTGTGATTTGTGACTCGAAATGTTATACAAAAGAGCGGGCCCCCTTATGATCATTTACTCACAGGTCTAAAAGTACAACTAAAACCTGTGATTCTGCTATCATGCAGCATTTACTAGAAAACCCAGATTGTGCAAAAAACTATAATGGCAAAATGTTTCGGATTATTGGTAGAGCCTGATGGTCATTTCATCTAGCAGTTTTGGAATCTATCTACATAAGCAAGAAAAAGGAGTTTGTTGGCTCGGCCTGCAATGCATGACAATTTCCACAATATTAGTATTTATGATGCATTCAGTGTTTGAACTTTTGAAAGATATCAAGTTAAATAGTTTCCAATGGAGATGTAATTGTCTTGTCTGTAAAATCTTTTCTTTGAAAATTCCTTAGTCAGGAATATTACATCAACCCCTATTATTTTTATTTAATTGGGACTGACCATCCGATGAATCATTCTGAAAACTGTGGTTATGTTCTTTATTATACCTCTCTCTCAGGGGCAGCTGGGAGTTTCATAGGCGTTATTGGTCTAAAAGCAATTTTTTTCAGCAAAGGCTCTCATAATCTACTGGTCATGTATTTTGAAAATGAAACGATAAACAACATAACTTTGAGGTAATCCTTGAAGCAAATTAACCTATCCCTCTCAGAAACTTTTTCACCTGATTCTTATTCTTCAAAAGGGGCACACAATTTCCAAAAAGGGGCGGCAGACTTGCTTCAACTCGTCGAGGGAGGGGCAAGTGCCCCCAGTTGCCCCCCTTAAATCCGCTACTGCCCCACTTTCAAATTCATGGTGGGGGCCCTGATTATGGCTTTGGTAAAGTGAGCAGAAGCCGCTACTCTTGAAACTGATTTAATCCTTTCAAAAAAAGACCTCCCTCCTACACTTGTTACCACACTTACTGTGATGTATTCATCGGATGGTCTCAAACAAATACTACAGCCACACCCCTGAAATTTTGCTATTAGGTTTGTGAATCCTAATAGCAACCTTCTTATCCACCTTTGTTTGTATCTCCTTGTAATACGTAAAGTTGCCAATTATGCTGTGTGAAAGACCCAATATATGTGGACTTGCTATTTAGCTGGGTCTCTTTAATAGCAAAATTCCTCTGTTCGCCGCCTTTCCATTCCTGTGGCATATTGCCCTTAAAATAAATCATATGGCCTTTTTTAGTTTATGTTGGGGGTTTTAACAACTTACTGATAAACAACCTTTCTTCACAATAAAAATAAACACACCAACAGCGACTTTGTTTAAATATATGAAGGATAGTGCTCTCTTATTATTTTTTTTGGCGTAGCACTATGAAGTTTATTCCCAAGCTCTCATGTTAGTTTCATCAAAAATTTAAATCTGCATTTAAATTGGATTAAAAAATATGGTGCTCTGGTTTGGTATGTTAACAATAAGTATTCACAGAAATATTTGTTCTCATTAAGGAGTATTTCAATGTTCTTTACTTGCAGATATGACTTTGCTTTTAAAAGAGGGCCGTTAATAGCAACAAAAAAGAGGCAACGGCTACAGACAGAGGGCCTTTTCACTGTAAACTGATGATATTTATCTGCATGCTGCAGTCGTATAATTGAAAGACTGAATGTGTAGACATGACTTCGGAACTATAGATGTATTCAAATGAAGGTTGCTCTAGTAAAAATTTGAAAAAAATGCCTCTAAATTTTATTTAGAGCTAAGAAACGTGTTGCAACTTTACAATCTTTTTGGGATTAGTATCAAAATTATTAGTCTGATAAGTCTGACAATGGGCCATATTGCTCTGGAGATCAAACATACCTCTGACCGTGGCCATAGATCAAACATACCCCTGTTTTTTTTGCTTTTCTCTTTATGACTATGAGATAGAGAGTGTTAAATAGAAAATTGAAAGGTGTCTTTGACTTGCGGCCAAGAAAATCAAGCCAATGGCATAAACTCAGGTTTTTTTGTTAACATGAAAAAGAATAAAAAATGACTTATACTCCACAGTTTTCTCTATTACACAGCTCTTTTTGTCTGGCCTACAATACTTACAGTTTTATTAACTGATAATATCTTTGGCGTACCTAAAAATGCCCCAGTGGATCTTCGGCATGCAGTTGACACGAAACGCACCCTGGAGCATGAAGAATTCGCACCAAGAGTCCTCTGCACCAAGATTGCCTAAACATCGACAAACAAATGCATACTTGTTTGTTTATTTTGGAAAGGAAAGCTTCAAATGCTTGTTCAAGTTTAGGATTATTTGATTGTCTCCTTTAAACTGTATATTAAAATGGAATTTCAACACATCATCAATACTTTAACTGGATGAGAAACTGGGTAATATAAAATTGCTCTGATTGCATCCACCCCCCTATGTTAGCAAATGAAATAATTCATAATCGATTCCCATATACACACCTTTCGCATCTCTGATCTCTCCTTGAGCTTTTGTTCGAGTGTAATGTTCCGACACATTCATAATTACCAAAGGATGCAGCGCAATGCTAACACTGGCTGATCCAGAGGGTGCCATTACTGTTGAATCAACTTCGGGTGCCTCTGATTGCATTGGGATATCTTCAGCTGTATCACTTGTCATTTTAGGCCTCTTGTTATTTGCAAACATCAGTTGCCTTCCTCTCTTTGATCTTTATGAATTTCAGCTGCGTTTTCAAAAAGGGCCTCAAAGTTTCCAGCAGATTTCATCCAATCTTGAAACGAGGCTGTGGCCAAGAGTTTCGAATTCGATCCTTTCAAAACACTTTTTGGTGATAATTTCGTGATCATCTGTCTAGATCTCTAAGAATATGCTCGACCTAACATTAAAGAGATTTTTTAGCTGCTTAAAAAAATAAAAGAGATAATAAACACAAAATAAGAAAACCTCTAACTTTTAACAGACTTAAATTTAACAGACGTAGAACTGTCATGAATGCGATTGTACCTTAAACGGTTATGTCCCCATCCTTTGTATTCCACACTTGTTGCCTGAAATGGAAACGAGGCCACTTTAGGTCGCTTTAGCGCAGATGTCTAATGTGACCATCCTTTTTCTCTAGAGCTGCGAGGGGCGTGTGAATTCGAAGAAGAACGTAAGCAAGTTTCACAGCAAGGCAATACTACTAAGCTAATGATATCTTTTTTCTTTTATGTTAGTTACTAGTGAGGTTCTGGATTTTCTTATAAGGCTCTAAGGACACGGATGTTCTGTGTCCCGTCACATTCCACATTCCAGTATCACACAGGCCTATGGCCTATATGCAAGGCCTAGCCCCCTAGACTATATCCAATATTACCTTTCTATAACTTACTAGACTATATCCTATATGACCTTTTATAACTTACTAGACTTTATCCAATATTACTATAATTGGAAACAACAGTCAAGGTTGAATTGTCCTGGTTGGAAAATGGCACTCTCTTATTGACGTAGCAACCCACAAATTTCAAAATCTTACACTTTTAGAAAATCTTATTGCTTGAACTTCAGGGTTCTCAAATCGAAGGCAAAAACATGCTTCAAAGTGCTGCATCTATGCATACATCAAACGTAAAGCTTAGTTTTATATAAGAATTTGTATGTGTAGTAGTTATGTGACCAAGGTTGGCAATGAGGAAAGGGCCTGTCATGATAATCTCTTGAAACAATATATAAGCCTTTGGGACTCAAGAGAAAATATGTTTTATGAAAGATCTACTGATCATTCATTGAAAATTTGTGTTTTCAACTTTTTTTTAGTTTCTTTATCTTTGAAGAAAATTTGCAAGAATCCTTTTATTGAATCCAGATGGATAATAAAAAATACACAGAGATTTTTGAATATCTTGAGAAGCATTGCTTCCCAGTCAATGCTTCCCAGGATGAAAAAAGATCAATCAGAAGAGGAAGCAAAAATTTTGTCATTCAAGGTATTGCTATGTGATACACTAGAAAATACTTTTCTAAACTATTTCTATAAAAAACACTGAGCTTTCCCTCAAAAAGAAAGGTAATCTTTAATTTTAGCAAAATTTTTTAATAAATTGTGTAGATACTGCTGATTATCAAAAGAGACAATGTTATTGTTTGTGTTGAACTTCATAAAAGAAAATCATTATAGGATGAAAATTTAGGGATTATATGCTATTAAATTCTGATAATATTGAGACTAAAGTGTTAGATAAAATTAAAATTTAAATCACATTACATGCTATTTAGCAGCTTGATTGGTGAAGTAATATATGCTCAGGGGAGCGCGATGCTTATGATCAAATCATTCTGCTAGGAACAGCCCCTGTTGCTTTCCTAAATAAATCAGCTTTTTTCTTTATTTATTTAGAGTTGATATACATTTTTCTTGTGACACAAAAGCTAATAATATCAATTAATTTTAAGTACCATTACATAATATGTTGATAGTATGAATCATACAAAGTAAATGCTACATATGTATTCCTTGTTAAGGTCACAAGTAAAATTGAATGACAACAAATTTGAGATTTTTTCTTGAATAACTATAAACTTTAGGGCTGAAACTATATGACCAAATATTTTATATTTTTATTTTGTAATTATTATATGACTAGTTTGCTTTATATTCTTGGGAATTTCTTAAGTTATACTTCATTCTTGGTAATATTTTACGCATTAAAGGTGGATTTAAACAATTAAATGTTACTGGCTGCACAAATAACAGATCTATCTAATTCCTTAGGAGAGAAGCTATTATACAGAGCCACTTCGAAGACAAACAAAGGCACGCAAGTTTTGCATAAGAATAGGGAGGTCGTGAAAGGTGAAGAAAAGGCCAGGGAAGTTTTCAGAGCATTTCATTCAAGCCTCATGGGTGGGCACACTGGTCAAACAAAGACAGGAAATGCGATCGCCGAACGATACTATTGGCCAAGACTTTGGGAGGATGTAAGAAATTGGGTAGGAAATTCAATATTTAGTTGAAGGAAATGGGAAAGGGTTTTTTTAGTTATTAGGCATATTGTGAATTATTTGAATAAATCATCTCCATTCAATTTTGATTTGCATCATAGGTGAGTTGCTGTGAAGAGTGCCAGCGGAACTGTGACATCAAGGTTGTTAAAGAAGAGCTGAAGCCTATTAAAGTTAGTAGCTAGAATATTCTGGAATCTTATTCAACTAGTTCATAACACTCGTACATCAGTGACACCAAAGGTAGGACAAAATTGGCTTTAGCTCCTTCCCTTTCTGCTAGCTTCTGCTAGGTAGCTGGTTTCGTTGCAAAAATCCAAAAGTACAAAGAAGTAAAAGAAGGTGAGCATGAAAGCAAGAAATGAAAAAAGAAAAACGGGAAAGGAAAGGGAGTGACAGCAAATGTCTGCTTAGTTGATGGAAATAATGGAAAAGTAAGAAAAATCCCCTCTGCTCTCTTCCCCTTTCACCGGCCCTGTGTTGGTTGAATTGATGCTGTTATATGCCGTTCACTAGATGTATTGCCTTTGCTCCACATTCGCAAACCGAAATCGTTATGACCTACAATTTAATTCATTAGCAAAAACTACGGCTCAGGTAATAAGTCTTGTCATACAGCCACATCAGCTGATCGGTACAGTTTCCATCATCAGTACAGTCGAATTATTTCATTTGAACGAAATATGACGAGGAAAATAACAAAAAAACACAATATTTCTTTTTTGTTTTGTTTGAATTTCCCAGCTCCACATTTCGAATTACAGCTCCACGAAAGGGGTTCAAATTCAGCTCAGAATAAGATATGGTGTTCATGATAAATTACCTTCATCATCGTCGTCATCAGCATTTCGCCCAAACGTCTAAATCCCAGTTCTGTCGTCTTGTTCTGATTCTTTTTCTCGAACAAATAGTTTTCAGGCTTCTCTGACCTGACCAATGTTCTCTCTTTTTACTACATATTCTAGCAACTTAGTCCTACGTTACTTTTGTTTGTTCACTGTGGTAGCTACACCTTTTTATAAGGTCATCCCTAATTTCAAGCAATTTTCGCAATGACATCCACAGTAAATCCTGGTCTTTCTTTCTCATGGTCAGTCTTTCGGCTCATATCTATAACCTCAACACGACAGCTTCCGCGGTGTGAAATAGATTTGCTAATTTTTGCAAAGACGGCAACCCTAGACAAACTTTTTCTTTTACAGTAGCTTGAAAGAAAATACTTCATTGTGTTTTGTAAACCTTTTTTCATAGCAGCTCATAAATTTGATTATTTCTCCTCCTTTTTTATTTGACAGATTTCATACCCATTTGAAATGATTGGTATTGACCTCATTGGTCCGCTTTCAAAAACTGAGAGTGGGAATACGTATATTTTTACGGCTACAGACTTTTTCACGAAATGGACCGAGGCATTTCCAATCGTTAACAAATCTGCTGGAGAAGTGGTGAAATGTATTTTGAAGATATTTTACAGGCATGGAGCATGTCATGCTTTCTTGTCCGACAATGGGGGTGAATTTGTAAATGAGGTATTGAAAATCTGCTATATATCTATACACATTCTTCATCCCTCATTCTATGGATTTTTAAGTTGTATTTCATCCCTTGGTAGCCGGTTCTCCAGATCCCTAGCTTCAAAGTAGACTTCTATATAAAGATTATGTCATGCCAAATTCTGTTTGCTTGAAACGATTGAAAATTTAGCTTTGCGTTCGGTGGCGAAATTTCATTTTTTCAGGTGGGGTGAGGGAGGCAATGTCAAGGAAATTTGCCGAAAAATGACATAATTTACCAACAAAAACGTGTCTCAACCGACAATTTAGCAAAAACCTAAGTTGCCCCCTACCCCCTCCCACACACAATTTCTGCCAGTATTTTTGTTGTAATTAAGCTTATAGCATTTGTTTTCTTACTCTTTCATTTGCTCTCTCAATTCTTAGATTAATGAAACTTTGCTCCGGATTCTGGGTACAAAGCACAAGAAAACTGCCGCATATCATCCCCAGACTAATGGTTTAGACGAAAGAACCAATCAGACCATTCAACGGTATCAATAATTTTTTTATGGCACGGCCTTTCTATTCACACGTAGTTCTAAGTTCTAAACCAAATGCAAGTCCTATATATGCGATTGTTTCTTTTAATGAATAATCAATCTTTTTATTGATATCACACCGCATCAATATTTGGCATTTGATCTACCTGATAAATTTGGCTATAAGACTGAGAATTTCGAAGCTTCCATCACCTGTAGGGTAAGGATAAAATTTGTACCGAGTCAAGAGCCTTTGGAGAATCTAGGGTTAAAAAGATTCAAAGGGCCTGAGCCCCAAAAGGGGCAGTTAAAATTTGATACACTTTGCGATATTATGCATCTGTTATTCGATCCGAATATCTAATGATATTTTGAATTCGTGAATTTACTTCAGTTCATGCTAATAAAAGTATCTTATACAGGCGCTTAAGAACATTGGTTGATGGAAACCCTGCTAAGTGGGATGAGTACCTTGATGCAGCTTTGTGGTCAATGCGATCAAAAAAACAAGCTTCGACAAGATACTCACCGTTCAAGGTGCTGTACGGGCGAGACCCAAAGTTTCCAATCGAGTTGGAAGATGTGCCAGAAACGTTGGAGGTATTCAATCCTTGTTATTATTGTTAATTACAATCGTTGACTTTATTGGCGCTTTTTGCGACCAGATTCTGGAGTGAAGAGGCTCAGAAAAATGGCTAGACTTGAATGGTAATTTGCTACCATTATATTTGATCCCAAAACCACTAACATACTCCAGCAAAAATGTGAGGGGCTACACCTCTTCCCCCCCCCCCCCCCCCCCTAAACCTTGGCTCCGATGTGCTTGTCACCATCCAAGTACAAAGTAAGGAATTAGCTTTCTCCATATCTGGAACGGCGTTATTTTGCTTGGGAGACAGCTCATCAAGAAGTTTGTCGTTAAAACATAATTGATTTTCCCACCAGATGCGGTTGATCAAGGTTATAAACACCGAAACCATAACAAGGATGGTTAATGGGTCAGAAGGTAGTAGAGGCACAAAACGACAGACAATGGTAGGAGTATGTCACATGTAGAAATGGCACAACATAATAAATCTAGATAAGGCATGAATGCATTCAAATATTTTCAAAGGATATATACATTACACAAAATATTTGTAGAAAGTGTTGTTCGATAAACTTGGTTAACAAAAAAAAATCATGCCGTATGTATTACAACTAGATACTTTATTAATTATTTGCTAGCTTCTTGGTATTCGCCAAACTATTTTCCTTGATATTCTCATTCAAAAAAAATAATTTTCTTTTTAAACAATTTTTGAGATGGAGTGTGACCATCCTGTAATTAAAATACTTTTTTTCTTTGAAGGAACAACTTTTTAATGCAAACGTCTGCCTTGGGTGTCTCAACAAAACAAGAAATCATTGGGTATTACTCGTGAGTAGTTTCAACTTCGCTCTTACTTGCACTGAGAAATGAAAACGATAGCTTTGCTTGTCATATATGCTTTGTAGTCTTGAAAAGACAGCTCTACCTGTTTTGTATTAAAAGTTCTGCTCTTTCAAGGTGATCTACCCAACGAAGAGGAGAGTCACCTACATTGACCCGCTACGTCAAGCGACAAGAAAAGAACTAAGAGAGCACGAAATTGAATGGAGGTAGTTTATTGTCGACTTTATCATAGTATTGTAACTTTTATGCTGAATTATAAAACAATTATCGCAGCTGTTACATGATTTTTAATGTCGAAATTTCGCACTCACTAGGTTAAGCATGAATGCGAGGTGCGATCCTCAAAGCGACCAATGGATATTTGCGAGCCCAAATTCGTACCCGCTACAAAAAGATTCAGATTCCTGTGGAATCTACTGCTTAAAGGTATGTGTTTATAATCTGACTGCCTTATTTATTTTTTCTGACACGGAGAAATATATTTTCGTTCTTTTGCATGCTCATAAGATTTCGGCGTTTCTGAAAATTGGCGCTTTGAAGAAAAGAAGATAGCCAGTTAATCATGACAACTTTCGCGTACGTATGTATTTCGTCAAGCCAATTTTAAAGCTAAAATAATATTCAACTTTTTTGTAGTACGCTGATGTTATTCTCGGAAAGAAACTGTTCCCACAGACAGTCGACGCGGCAAGGGAAAGAAATCTTCTTGGCACCTCTCTCATCACATTTTCAGGTATTATATACATAGATATTGACAAAATTTTAACATAAAAAATCAAAAGATAATCTATATTGGAGTATACGTAGAATGGTTTGCCACATCAATATTGGGTTAAAGCAATTTATTACTGCCAAATTAAAGACAAATAATAAGTCTTCTATGGATAGAATAGCAAATTTTGCATACCGCTATTCGGCAGGCCCAGTGTTGGTGGGAGAGCCTTTCAAATCTACTTAAAATTTGTGTCATGTCTGTTAAAAGCCTGTCAATGAACGAAAATAATGCAATAATGTTAACATTGTACAATATATTTGAAGGTCCATTGGTACATCTCGTAATATATTCTGTATTTATATCGAATATAAAAAATTTAAATTGCCTATTGTCATAGATGCAATAAGTGACATTTGCCGATTTTGTGGCGCAGAGGCTACTAGCGATGATTCGGTAAGTACTTTCTTTCACAAAATTGGTTTGATATCTATTTTCATGTTTATCCTTCAATGATTAAGCTGCAAAAGTAGTTTACTGGAAAAGACGTGAAAAATTGAGCTTATATAATAGGTTTGGTGTAAGAAGTGCATTGACGAAAAGCGATTCCACGTAGCCTGTTTGCCATCAAGTATGGAGCAGAAGGCGGAAATGGCAAATGGACTAGAATGCTCATCTCTGTTCATACGTGAGCAGGGAACAGCGGCATCAGCATCTTCCACAGTATCAGCATCGGCATCAACATCAGCATCAACATCAGCACATACACCACCGCAAGCCTCATCAACTGATACACAACCGTGGCACAGTCCAGAATCCCCATTCATTTTGAAGCGTTGGAGCAAACGGATTTCAAAATGCCAAGGATGCCAAGGGTCTTACAAGGACGAATCATTTGTAGTTTGCCACAGGGAGGGTAGAAGAATTTTCAACAAAATAATCAAAAAGTCGATGATTGTTCACAATAATGGCTATTACCATGCAAATTATTCTTGCATCAAAAGCCGCCACAATTACTTTTCAACAACCAGTCTTGTTGTGCCACCAACACTGCAAATTTCGATTGCAGAAAAAAATTTGTTGAACAGACGAGGATTTTTAATTTAAAATATTTATTTTTTCTTTGGTAATGTTGATTTGATGCTGAAAAGCTCATCCAATTCTATTGTATTGAACCACAAGCAAAGAGCAACATTTAACTTGTTTCAAACCTTTAATGATGATGTACAGAAATTTGTGATTCCATCATATTTTTCTTGCCGATAAGATAACTATACTTCAGCCAATCAGCAAAGGCTAGGTACCTAGAAAATTACCAAGCAATCCATCAAAACCTAACATGATCTAGATCCTAATTTAATACATTGCAAAAATTTGATATTAGCCAACAGATAGTTTGCCCTTGAATTAACAATGTAGATCATATGCAGTAGCGTAGTGAGAGGGTGGATGCAAACAATACTATTTAAAAAGGGCATTTTCTGTTTTTCCAAAGGATGTAGACCCCGATTTTTGCCTTATTAAACTGGCCTGTGTCCCCCCAATCTTACTACCTTGGCTACATTATTAATCAGTTTGTATAAAAAAGTATCAATCTAAATTAGAAACATGTTTCTGGATCACTCTCTGTAATAAAGATGGGACTAGCCTACAAAAACATTATTGTAAAAATAATGTTATTCATAATTATTTTAAAAAATGTTTAATGTCTTCATTTAAAAGCATTGCCATTCATTCTAAATCTCACATTACCATATGGAATCATAAATAGAAGACATTTCTAACATAAATCTCCTTCAGTTGTTGCAAACTGACTTTAAAATGAGATATTTTCTACATGGTACATTTCTGTTCAGCAAGACAAAATGACTGAATGAAATCACCCCATTGCTTTTTTTAAGGGTTCATGAAAAGGGCAGCTGAATTACCACATGGAATCATAAATAGAAGACATTTCTAACATTAATCACCTTCAGTTGTTGCAAACTGACTTTAAAATGAGATATTTTCTACATGGTACATTTCTGTTCAGCAAGCCAAAAGACTGAATGAAATCACCCCATTGCTTTTTTTTAAGCATTCATGAAAAGGCCAGCTGACTTACCACATGGAATCATAAATAGAAGACATTTCTAACATAAATCTCCTCCAGTTGTTGCAAACTGACTTTAAAATGAGATATGTTCTACATGGTACATTTCTGTTCAGCAAGACAAAATGACTGAATGAAATCGCCCCATTGCTTTTTTTTAAGCATTCATGAAAAGGCCAGCTGAATTACCACATGGAATCATAAATAGAAGACATTTCTAACATAAATCTCCTTCAGTTGTTGCAAACTGACTTTAAAATGAGATATTTTCTACATGGTACATTTCTGTTCAGCAAGACAAAATGACTGAATGAAATCACCCCATTGCTTTTTTTAAGGGTTCATGAAAAGGGCAGCTGAATTACCACATGGAATCATAAATAGAAGACATTTCTAACATTAATCACCTTCAGTTGTTGCAAACTGACTTTAAAATGAGATATTTTCTACATGGTACATTTCTGTTCAGCAAGACAAAATGACTGAATGAAATCGCCCCATTGCTTTTTTTTAAGCATTCATGAAAAGGCCAGCTGAATTACCACATGGAATCATAAATAGAAGACATTTCTAACATAAATCTCCTTCAGTTGTTGCAAACTGACTTTAAAATGAGATATTTTCTACATGGTACATTTCTGTTCAGCAAGACAAAATGACTGAATGAAATCGCCCCATTGCTTTTTTTTAAGCATTCATGAAAAGGCCAGCTGAATTACCACATGGAATCATAAATAGAAGACATTTCTAACATAAATCTCCTCCAGTTGTTGCAAACTGACTTTAAAATGAGATATTTTCTACATGGTACATTTCTGTTCAGCAAGCCAAAATGACTGAATGAAATCACCCCATTGCTTTTTTTAAGGGTTCATGAAAAGGGCAGCTGAATTACCACATGGAATCATAAATAGAAGACATTTCTAACATTAATCACCTTCAGTTGTTGCAAACTGACTTTAAAATGAGATATTTTCTACATGGTACATTTCTGTTCAGCAAGACAAAATGACTGAATGAAATCATCCCATTGCTTTTTTTAAGGGTTCATGAAAAGGGCAGCTGAATTACCACATGGAATCATAAATAGAAGACATTTCTAACATAAATCACCTTCAGTTATTTTCTATGGTACATTTCTGTTTTGTTCCTGCATCCCTAACTATATTGACCTCCATCCTTGTTTCTAATCACGATGGTCGCTCTATCTACGATTATCTACCAGATGTGGTCGTATTGGGTCTACTGTCTCGTAGTCTCGTTTCGAGAAGGACAATTCCATACGGGGGACGATCGCGTTCGCGACAGAACAACTTAAATTGAAAAAGTTTTTAGAGCCTCGATCCCATGCAGAAATCGAGGGAATGTAATGGCTGCCAAAAGATGTTTTGTGGAGCACCTCTGAACTGACGACTTGACCAAAACAATCAGCTAAAGGGTATTTATCTTTCTTAAATTAAATTACAGAATACCTTTAAGCAAGTTTTTGGTGATAAACTTGTAAGCGGGTTCAAACAAACCCAAAATTTCTTAGAACATTGAAAAGCAAAATATCACCATTCTCAGCATAGCATCACACAACGAATGTTATATTTTTCATTTCAGTTCGTTCACTTCATTTAAATTCACTACATATTGTAAGTGAAAATAACTAAACAAACAATTCAAAATACAGATTTATACATAAAATTCAAATACTATACAAGAACATAGAAACAAAAAATAACACAAGGATTGACAGCAAAGAAACATTTAGTTATGGCTTGCCTAATGTGACTCTCGAATCGAAAGGAAGTGTTACTAATCCATGGTAGTTTCAAATAAACTGGGAACTTTTGCAGATCAAACTTTTGAACGGCCAAAAAATTTGCGATCTTCTCCTTAGTATAAGATAAAATGACGTCTTCTGGACAGCCTTGTCAAGGAAGATCGTTTTAAGTTTTTCCAGTTCAGCGTGTAGTTTGGATTTTGAGCAGATCATGAGTGCCCTATGTACTAATGTTTTGACAAGTTTGACTTTGCATTGTTTTTGGCAAAATGAATTCCAGCGTATGTACTGACCGGTAAAAGTAGATTTGGGATACACTGGTAAGAAATCCAGAGTTAGACTTTTCGGCCAAAACATCTAAAAATTGCAAGGAATCCTTTTCTTCTTTTTCAAACGTAACCTGGAGGGCTGGGTGTAGGCTATTAAGGTGTTTTAGAAAAATATCACACTCAGCCTCTGTTTCGAAAATGGTATATGTGTCATCCACCTACCGAAAATAGACACCTGGCTTTTGGTCGCAGTCAAACAAACGCTCTTCATGAAAGCCAACAAAGATATTGGCCAAGGCAGGTCGCAGAGTTTTGCCCATAGCGACACCATCCTTTTGTTGGTACATTTGATTGTTAAAACTGAATTCAACTGAACATGTTGCAGTTTCCATCAGTTCAATGAATACTTCCTCTGGGAATGGTAGGCTATTAAGCTCGCTACGGTACAAAGCGTCAGCACATATTTTGATGGCCTCACTCAAAGGGACATTTGTGAAAAGACTACCAATGTCAAGAGAACACCTGAAAGGTGTTTTCTTTTCGATGTTCAAGTTTTGTATTATCCATTCTTTGTACATCTAGCTGATAAAGATTTTCAGATTCACTGGAGATATTTGTATCATGAGCAAATAGATAAAATGCTAGTTTTGAGGATGAGAGGTGAATCATTTATGTATATCAGGAAAAGAAGAGGACTAAGGAAAGAACCATGTGGGACTCCACACTTGACATTAAGGCAACTTGAGCTTGATTATCTTAAAAACATATTGTTTTTAGTCAGAAAGATAGGATCTAAACAAAACCAAGATTTTCCCTCTATTTATATAGTACTCAAGTATAGTTAAAAGAACTTCATGATTCACATTGTCAAATTTTTTTGAAAATCTAGAAAGATTGTACCACCAAATGACAAGCAGGGTGGCCAAATGGGCCCATAATCTTGCATTTTTAATGCTTTGTGACATATTTGGTCACATTAGCAAAATCTTCAAAAAAAGCAAAGTTGCTGGGAAATTTATGACAAATTTTACTGCAAACTGATCAACATTTTGTAGGGGTCTGCCTCCTCATCCCTCACAGGGAACTTAATTTCTTGCATCTATAATTTCATTTTGATAATTCGAGCCCACATGCCCTTAAATCAAACACAATTTTGGAGCCACACTCACAGTAAGACAGGCTCTGTTGTCCATAGCATAACCACCCTTGACAGAAGTAAGCCTTGAAGAAGTGAATGAGCCATTTAATTTGTATTCTATTGAGTTTTAGTACAGTTTCTAGCCACTTTTACTTGGCCAACTTTTGTGTTTGTGTTTGCACTTTATGGAGGCAAAGTCCCAGCTTGATCCATGAGGTGATCCATCTATGTGATAACCTCTTTTATTCATGACATAACTAGTCATGAATGCTGAAAGAAGGCCATTCCATCTACCTTTGTTTATGCTTACCCCATTTAACTTGTTATTCATCTATATTCATCTTGATTCATAGTTAGAAAGCACAGCTAAATTGCCATATTTGATTTGTGCATATTTTTATTGGTCTTGAATAGGTAAAGAGTGGTACAAACATTGCAGTCTTTTATGTATTGTAAATGGATAGAGGGAGATAAATTTTGGAGAATGTATCAGGCTCATGTTCCTAAATGCTGTGCTTTTCAATGTAGCATATTCATTACACCATATTGTAATACATCAATATCTTATGTTATGAAAAAATATAAAACCCTAATAAGTATAGCATATAGCACATCTACTAGTAAATGAAAATGTCCAAATAGAAATTTGATAAGCATTGGCTGAAAGGATCAGTGTGTTCTTGAGCGAGTAGTTGAAATTGACTCCTTTTGGTTGTTTCTTTGTCTATAAAACAGAAGGTTGATAGTGCTCAACTAGTGCAGGAGTGTATGAATGAAAGCTACAGTTTACATGTCTGTCATAAATACCCTACGCTCTAAAGGCAGAGCTGTACACACTTTTTGGTGTATAGAACAGGATGGCTCAAAGTTGCTACTTCGAGTTTCATACTTAATGCGTTTATCAAGCAACTATTGAAACTACTCTCTCTATGGTTGTTTACTATATTTAGTTGTTATGTCCCTGGAGTTTTCAGAAATTTCAATGCTTATAGGTGTTAACTATGGGGGCAGTTATGTAATTTAAAAAATTTGACTTAAATATAACTATTTAGAAACCGACCTTAAAGTTGTAAACTTTTTACATCTAACATTAAACTTTTGGTGAATATTTCCCCTACATCTTTACCTCTAGATTCTAGTAAATATAACCCTTACAAAAAACTTAACAACTTACATATATTTATATCTTAATGAACAATCTAACCATCCACCTAACAAAATCAAAAATCTGCCTGCAGCAATCTGCAGACACATATCTGACAGAACGTAGGAAAAATAGATCTTTTACCAAGCAGCACCTATGTACAGTCATTGTAATATTAGGCTTTTGATTGCAGACACATGCCTTACACATGCATCCCCACATTTTGACTGCCTATTCTTTATTTATATTTTGTTTCTTTCAATTTCTTGCTATCATTCTTTAGAGTAATTTTTTTTATATATCTTATGTGTAAGTTATCTTGATAGCATTGTCAGGGAGGCATTAATCACTCTTTTAGACCCTGTTTCTTTCTATCGCTCAGTTTTTGTATGCCTCTGTTTCCAGATCATTCCATTTCATATTTTCTTGAACAGTTCCCATTGGTCCTAGTCAAAATATGAACAGAGTTGTTTCCATTACTCCATTTCCATCCCTTCTCATATCTTTTGTTCAAGCACCTTTTGAAATTGAGAATGAATCACTCTATTTTCAAATGACACTGTTTTCGAATGGCTTTTGTTTTCTAGTCCCTCTGTCTATGCTGTTCCCAGTAAAATTATGCATTTTCAAATGACTCCTTTTTTGAATGACGCCACTTTGAACTGCTTTTGAATGACTCCAGTTTGGGATCCAATGATACCGTTTTTGAGCACTTTAATGGGAAAGCAAAATCCAAAACAGATTCATCCAAAGCTGTTCTCCTATGAAAACAGAGTAATGGAGACAGGACCTAAAACCTGTATGCTTTTTGTTGCATATTTACTTTGTTTTCACAAGAAATGTCCACTAAAATTCCGTTAAAATTATTTGGTTTATGAAAACCTCATTTGCTTTTCCAGTAATGATACACTCCTTCAAATACATATATTGCATTTCAGGTCTTCTTAAAAATCATAAGCTCTCCAATTTATGGATTGCATGCTATTGTACATCTTAACTTTTCAAGGTGTGTGTTTACAAGCATGGAAACAAAGTTCATATACCAGGACTGCATATATCTAACAAAGCCCTTAAATCTCATGGATCAGCTACATTATGTTGAAAAACGCTTTAAAGCTAACAAGGGCAAGGGTAAATGTAACATCATTTGGTTTAACCCACCCTTAAGTAAAAATGTTTCCACTATCGTCAACTGAGCATTCCTCAGCCTTATCTATAAACACGTTAAAAACACAAAGCTACAGAAAAAAACAAGAGCAGCAAAAAGAAGACCTGTAATTGCAGAAAAAAGGATCAACTCCCCCTGAAAGGAGCTTTCTGGACAAATAGCATCATATTATAAAACGCTGAGGTATATAATAAACGCTGGGGATCTGTTTCCACTGATCACAGACTTCTCCAAGAAAGTTTGTCAGCAGACTGTTTGTCTTATTTAGTCTCAGTTTTCCACATCAATTGTTCCAAATAACATTTTATCATAACAATGCCACAAAAGGGTGCTTATCAATTGTTTTCTCACCACCTTTAGTATACACTTGTGTATACACCTGATTTTAGTTTTTGTAGTGATTAATTGGTTCAGTATATTTATGGAACTCCTTTTTTGTAAATTAATTTTTCTCAATTGCAAATACATGTTGTTTATAGATTCCTATTTATATTTCAGGTGCATTCAGATTTCATATTTCATTCTGGATAAATCATGTCGTTGAAGAGGCCAGCTGCTACTGACATTAGCTTTAGTACCACCACTGTTGAAACAAAGGATGACACAACCGTGCCAGGTATCCCACCCTTGAAACTGAGAATTAAAGAGCCACTCAGCTCGTCTACACACAAGCTGATCTCTGATATTTCTAGCAGTGTGAGATTAAATGAACGGCTTAATAGTCTATTGAGGTTATCAAGCATTCCAACAAGTGGTCTGAATACTGATGATGGGGAGCAGCTTGCCAAGGTTTTAAAAGAAGTTCTTCGAAAGGAAGACAATCATGGTGTTAAAGGAAGGATCATTTTAGCTATTAGAGATGTAATGAAGATTCCAAATTTGAGTAGGCTTGTCAATATGGACGATCTTGTTGATATGGCTCAAAAGGAAGGTATGAAGTAGCAAAAACTTTTTTTTAAACTTTGATTTTTACATTCAAATAAAGTGTTCATCTTTTACAGTAGAAAGTACCATAAATTTATTCTTGCATTGATGGTCTTAATGTTATGTTTTACCTCAATTTAATGCAATGGCTGGGATATTCCATATCAAACGTTTTTAATTCACCCTCGTGAATTTTCTTGAAAATTTCTATGGGCGGAGAACTTCATAAGAAAAGCTCACGCCAAAGATTGCAGGGTTCTAGGTTAACTCGTTTCCGAGTTATGTGAGGTTAAAAATTGCAAAATTTCCGAAATTGGGGACATTCGGACTACACCCAGGTTCTCATAGCTTCTGTACTGCAGCACCTACAACAAAGGTTTTGGTATCAAATCCTGAGTCTGACTAAATAAAACACAAAAATCTCTCAAGTTTAGCTAAAAAAACAAAGTACCAACATTTCAAATGTTTTCCACGCTCAAAGGGCAATTTTGATTTCGATAATTGTTTTTGAAATGCTCCTTGGTAATTACAAAGAAGATGCAGAAAGTTGCAGAATGAGGTAAGATTGGGTTTGACACAATTACTCATCAATGGAAGGTTGGTATATGTAAAAATGCTTCTTTTGTTGGTTTTCTTTTACCACAGCAAGAAGCGGACTGGCCGGTAGGGCTACCGGGCGATCGCGATTCTTAATTTTTCTATTAAATGGCAACTCGTATTGTTTGGTAGGGGCCCATTTCTCTTGCCATTGCACCAAGTCTCTCTCGAAATTGGCGGAAACAGAATGAATACGATTATGATTTTGAGGTATTTAAGGACTGAAAAAACTTTTTCTAAAATTTGGGGCCTCGTGTAAGCCCCTGAAAAGTTGCCGTGTGTTAGGTTGAATAAGGGGTCAACCCTTGAAGTCTAAAGTTTGCATCGTTACTTTTGTTTTACTGAACCATTCGTGCTGGAAAAACCTTTTGTTGGATTTGATAATTGCCATGAATAAGAGGGTCTGTTTTCAGCGATCATCGGGATTAACTTTGAAATTGCTATTTGTTTGGGATACCTATTTATTGCTTTGCAAAACCTTTCTTACCTAAAGGGTCATCAAAGTTTCCATTGAAATTTTTGCATAACTGTTTCAAATATCGTTTGTTATGTTTTTTCTAGCAAATCACAACGTCTTTATACAGTACTTGAAGTTGTTTTGTACCATCGGGCAGTTGATACCGGCAAAGGTTTGTGGAACCCTTTACTAAGAAACCAGTACTTTGAGGGTATTACATTATTATTACATAATCTTTTTATTATTTTAATAAACTTTTCTAATACAACTAGAAGATCTAACTATGGAATCCTCGATTTTTACATAAAACATAATTTTAATGGGATTAATTCCGTACACTGAATTTCATTTGCAGGCAGACATCATACAAAAGATATTAAAGCTTTCTTACAAGGTTTGTAACTTTTTATAAACTTAGGTTATGCATGCAAGGGTCGACACGGCATTGAATGTTGTTATTACGTACACTGGAAAAAGTGTGTACCTCTTCATATGTTTAAGATAGATAATCATCATCTGCTCGTTAGCCGAGGCGGCGGTGGGTGCACCCGTGAGTGGACAGCTTGTCTTCATCCTTCCCGATCTTCAGCCATTCTTGTCAGAGTAGAATCTCCTTCTCCACTCCATTATCTAAGATAGCCATCCAATTTCCTGTATTTTAAAGATAGATATATTTTTATTACCTGTATAAGAAATATATATATTATAAGATAGATATTACCTCTATAATGACTATCATATTCATTTACCTACATCAAATCAATACCGCATATCCTGGCCTTTGAAGAGGGATTAAAACAGAAAATGCCATCTCCCCGTAATCCTGTTTTGTGTGTTGTTTTTGGATTTTGCTCCTTCGGCCATTTCAAAACAATACTAGCATCCTCTTAGAAATTCGATTATGTAACATGGGTTTTTCATTATAGAGACTGACGGATTCACACCAGGACGTGCGATGTGCATGTCTAAAGCTGCTTAGTCAGATGTGTCCTAAAGATGGCTTGCGTCTGAGTGGTGGACGTTATGTTGATTTTCCAGATCTTTTTTGCGAGTTCTCAACTGATCAGGATCCAAGGGTCCGTGCAAGTGCCATTCAAGGGATTGTAAGTTGGTTTCCATTTTGAAAAGTGCCTCCGTACTGATTGTATCATTTGTAAGGATTCATAGTTCGTATTTGAAAATTTTTGACAAATTCAACCTCTTTATTTTGATAGGTTATAAATATGTTTATACCTTATAGTCAAAAAGTCGTTAAAGAAGTGGCTGAAAATGCATTTTTGTATGGTTGTTTCAATAAAACGATCCAAATCGCTTTTTGATCCAAAATCTCCGTCAACACCGAAGACCACAAAACAGTTTTTATTGCTAAAATTGTTTAAACAGTGCTTGAAAGTATAACGAAAACAAGTGTTCGACCATCTATCCTTTGCATTCGTTTCGCCATGAAAGTATTTTTACTTTTGTATGTAACAGTGTATGTAGCAGTTGTTTGCAAATTCAATGTTTCGTTTCATCACAGCTTACTCTGCACCACCGTGGTCACAGCCTCGGCCTGAATGTCTACGAGAAAGCGTCTAATGCTTTGAATGATGATTACGAGGTAGTCAGAATGGCAGCTGTCAAGATTATTTGGGTCATAAGTCACATTTACCCGGAAAGGTACAAATTATTGATCTGAACTCCATCTAGCAATTTTTGTCGCTTCATAAAATGACACTGAAGATATTTCGCCATCCAATTCTTCACTGTTAATCTTACGATAATCACTTTGTTGTCTTTCTTTAAAGAACTCACATGAAGATAAACATTCAATTCGATGTCAGTCTATTAGGTGGAGTTGATGTAGTTGAACAATATAATGATTATTGCGACCTATGAAAATTTGCTGTTCGATAGAGTTCAGAAAACTGTTGAGATTTATAGTCAGTGTCGTAGCATTTATGTCTACCTCCAACTTCTGAAATGTTTTCCCCTTTCCAAGAAACTCCTTGCTTTTAAGCTCCCTTCTAGAAGCTTAACATAACTTTTGTAGTATTTCTATATTACGTTGGTAGTTTGTAGTTTTTCTAAATAATAGCCTTGGCTCAGGCTCTAATTGTTCTAAACAACACATCTTGTTTGAAGAGAAGTGTCCTTCTGGCGTTTGATTCGCTTTAAATTGAAGTGTAGCATAGATTGTTCTCTGATAGTGGTAAGATCGTTTACTTCTTTAGAAACAATTTAAACATATTAATGTTTTATTGCCACGTTTCTTCAATAACCTTCACTGGAGATCAACGGGCCGAAGTATTTACTTAAGATGATTTTTGATTTCATTAGGAGGATCAAAAGCTCATCTCCAGACGAGAAAAGACTGGTCGATGATGCTTTCATCAAGATTTGTAACATGATAAATGATGGGTCCATGATTGTGCGAGCTGAAGCAACAGGACTGCTTGGCTCTCTCCATCTTGTCAGCTTCATCTATTTAGAACAAACGCTGGATAAAAAGCTTATGTCGCATCTAAGGGTAAGCTATTACTTTCATATAATTCTCAAAACTAGTGCTGATTGACGAAAACTTTTGTACAGAATTTTTATCCAACAGAATGTCGCGATTGTTCAATGATTTTGACGCTTTGGTTTAAAGAATAGGTTTTAAACCTGAAGTCATATCATATAATATTCACTATTTGATTATACTAGTTTTATAAGGATTTAAGTTTTGTAGTAAACTGTTAATGTGACTTGACTTAATGTTGTTGGTCTAGAATTCTCAAAATTATAGTCAGCGAGCTTTGAGTTTTAACCTCTCAGTGGGATGTGCAACTTGGCTTGTTAATTTTTCAGGATGATGCAACGAAAGCCTTTTTGTAACTCCCCCTTCTTTCAAGTGCACGGTGGCCTCTTTTTCTAAGTTTCCTAAATTCAGCCTCTTGCTATTTTGGTTTGAAGGCGAGCCGTAAAGACAATTTGCACCTTTGGTCTTAAACAGACTATACCTTGTTGATTGAAAGCTGCAGAATATTACAACTATGAAATTCAATAATGTGTATAATCGTGCTAATATGGATTCTGCTTGTACTGCAAAAGCTGCTGAACAGTATTGCTTTCACTGATTCATTTATCTTTCTCTTGTAGAAGAGGAAGAGCTATCATGAGCAAGAAAAGGAGCGTTCCCGTGGACTAAAGGATGGCTCATCATCTAGTAGTGGTTGGAGCACAGGCAGAAAGTGGGGCGATAACGATCGTGCAAAGCACGTCAATGAAGAAGAGGTTACCTTGATGAGTATAGGGGCTTGCGGTGCCTTTGTGCGAGGACTCGAAGATGAATTCATGGAAGTGAGGCGTGCTGCTGTTGACTCTTTATGTGAATTGGCCAATCAGAATTCGGCATTTGCTGCAATGTCATGTGACTTTTTAGTTGATATGTTTAATGATGAAATCGAAAGTGTCCGTTTGAATTCGATCAACAGTTTGATAAAGATTTGCGAACACGTTGATTTGCGCGAGGAACAACTAGACACTATGTTCAATGTTTTGAGTGATTCAAACTGGGAAATCAGAGAAGGAGTTAGAGAGCTCCTTTCGCACTGCCATCTGTCGACTAGATCGTGCTTACACGCGACAATACTGGCGCTTATGCAGAACCTGAAAAAGTACCCACAGGATCGAGCTCATATATGGAGGTAAGGCATCCAATGACGTAGAAGTGCTGCTGCTAAATATCCGCGCAAAGATAGCCTGCGCGCAGACTCCAAGTATCTTACCAGAACTGTAGGTCTGGTAAGGTCTACGGGTCTGGTAAGATACTTGGAGTCTGCGCGCAGGCTACGCACAGAATCTATAGGAGAAATAAACATGGTTTAATCAACCTAGTTCAATATCTGAGGTTTTCTTATTGAAAAAGTACTGAATTTAATTGAAAACGGAAAATATATGATTGCTCTACTCGCTGATGGATGATTGACTGGTCTTACAAGCAGATTGATCTACTAGACGAAAGAATTGAGAGGTTTGAAGTATCTTCATCTGATGAAAGTTTCAAAAATAGAGAGATCGCAAGGCCTAACAAGGAAAAGAGAGTGTGCTTTCAAAATTTTCTGCCTAGGATATACATGGTAACAACTTTCAAGAGTTGAAATGCTACCGTGGCTGTTTTGATAATTTTTTCAAATTGTTACAACAGAAATAAGAAATTAGAAATGATTTAAGCAAATGATGTGAAGAAGTCTTAGCCTTGCAAACGTGTTTGCAAAAAGTTCCAAAGGCTCCAAGTTTATTTATTGGCTTGAAAAATACATTATTTGTTCTCCTGTTTATTCTTCGAATAATCATTTATAAGTCTTCTACAATTAACTTTATTCAAATAATGTATGATTTTTTACAGATCTTCTTGCCCAACCTTTCTTGCACTAATCAACTCTCCCTTTCTTCTTTTCTTCTTTTTGTAGATGCATGAAAGAAATAGGACAACGCAATGCTGAAGCTGTGTCTAGTTTAGTTTCCGAGCTGCTTTCCACCCATCCTTATTTCGCAATTCCTGAACCAAATCTAGACGACCAAGTATACACTGCGTTAGCCATTTTAGTTTTTAATGCCGCAATAAAATGCCCAGCCGTGACATCTCTTCTTCCTGAACACACAAAGCGGCATTATGATTACTTAAGAGACAGCCTGCCAGAACTCGTTCCAGAACTAAGAAAGGATGTCAGGTGCTGGACAAATAGCAATGGCGTCGGTTTGTTCTGCGTACTATCTTATTAACAAGATTGTCACATTTTACAAACACAGCTGAATTCCTTTTTCTTTGGACCTTCAAGGGGGCGGGGTGGGGGTAGGGAAATGATCCGACATTAACAAATTTCTGGCTTATGACTCAAATAAGGTAGGAAAATCCAATGGTAATTGAAAATCAGTTCGGCTTAATTGAGTACGACTTAACGGGATGCAATTATTCTACTTTAAAGAATTGTCATTTTTTATGCTTGCACGTGTTTTACCTATATTGTGGCTACATTTTCTTAATGTAGGTACAAATTCTGACCATTGTAGGTTGTTTCGCGACATACCTATTTTACATTTAATTTTTTGCAAGAAAATGTTCCAGTAAACTTTATTCTGACTTTCAATGTACATTTTTTTTTAAAATTGAGTGTCCATAGTGTTGAGGTATTGTTTTAAGCACACCATTCTCTGTTTCTGACAGGAGACACGGAAATTGAATCTTTCTATCGCAACACGCTGGAGCAAGCACGCAATCTTGGAAGCTTTGACCTGTCAGCAGCTTCAAGCGTGTTAGAATCATGTATACGGGATCTTACCCATGTTGAGCGTGTATCACAGCGTCTAGCACCGAATGCTCACTTCTATTCCACGTACATCAAATGCATCAACATTCTGTACCGAGTAAGAGCAAAGAGAACATGGGCTGTTCCGACCCCAATAACTGTCGAAAATAGCGGGTTTTTCACATCTGCAGTGGAGGAGCTTTTGTCTTTGTCATATCGACTAGAGAACACATTCATAGGCCTTGGCAACCGTGAGTTGGCCTCAGTAAAACTGGTGTGTTTTGTTTGTATAAATCATAACAACTCTTTTGACAACTAAATATTTGTTAAATATTTAAAAGTTACAAGTTACCTCCTAAATAGCCAAGAAAAAGAATTTTACAAAATGTTGCGAAGGAACCACTCACTGAAATTTTATTGACACCTTTAACGCAAAAATTACTGTTTTCCATCTTCGAAGCAAGACATTGCTTTTCATTTGACTGATGAAATCTCATTATCATTGTCTTAATGAAATTTCGAATTCATTTAATCGATAGGTTCGCGTTCTCGCACACTGCTTGCAGGTGGTGCTTACCTCAAGATCAAGCTCAATCAAATCTATCGATCGTAAACAGCATGATTTGAACTGCTTGCAGTTATTCTTCGATCGCATACGACATTTTAGAGAGACCCCTCTGTCGATCGAATCTTTGAACGATTCTGGTTTGCAGGCAATTTTAAAATGCGAGAAATTGCTCGAAGAAGGTTCCTTTTCAATGACGAGAGCAGTGTCCTACTTACAAGGACTTCTTTTGAACTGCGATCTACGGCCAATGGATGTAGACAACCCCCTGAGGGAAACCAAGGCTACCATTGAAGAACCATGTAGATTTTCAGACACTGTTCTAAGGTTCACATCTGGGCTAACCCTTGGCATCATGTGGACTGTACACTGGAAAATACAAGCGATATATCGAATATCTTTATAATGGTTAGTCTAGTCTATTTTTCTTTCTGAATCAGTAAGAACACGTTTATCTTGCTAGTTCTGAACTGCGAGTTCGTTACTTTCCGTTTTTAACGTGCAAATCTGCACAAAATATGCAGTTTTAAAAACTTTTTGTGCAGTTCTAAAAACTTTTTGTGCAGTTCTAAAAACTTTTGTGCAGTTCATTGAGAAAGTGATGAGGCACACCAATAACAGAAAAGTATGAAATATGAAACTGCGTGGCCTATAGCCACGATTCATTAATGTTGTGTCTTAAATAGGAATCAAATAAACACAAAGAAAATAAAATAAAATATTTTTATTCACCCAAAGTGAAACCTGGCCCTGGGCTTGTTTTTTAGACTAACTAGGCGAAATTGGAGAATTTTCCTCGGTACACCAGACAATTTCTCTCGGTACAGTGGTTGAAAAACACTGCTGTAGAGATTTGGTGCACGAGTTCAATTTGAATGTCTAGCAGCTATTTTATACGCCCTAGCCTTCCCTTTGTAATTGCCTGAACAAGTGGTACAAGGAACGTATGCATCATATTGAATTGATTTGAACTTTAGGTTCATGGCAGTATTGTGATATTGTTTTTATCTAATCCACAGTACGTGTAGTTTTGTGTGCTTATTTTATGTTGCCTCAGGCCATCTATTTCACAAAGATACACTGTTTAACCTTCTATGTTATTTGCAGTCCATCCGCCCCTTCGTGATGTCACAAGGCTTTCCTGTAGATGCTAATTATTTGTATTTCAGTTTTTAGCTCCTCAAACTTTTGCCTAGTTAATCAATCAAACATGCAAAGCAGTTTTTTGAACATTCGCAATTAAGTTACCAATTTTCATTGCTACGTCACGTCCTTTTCTACTGCAGTATGTCCACGTTCAAATCTGTCACTGGATGTAGCTCACGATTCAGCACTTCATCTTCTTCAGCTACAGCTTGTCATCTGCTTGCTCTCTGTGATTGCCCTTTAGAAGTGTGCCCATTTAGTATTGCCCATTAAGAATCTCACTCTAATTTTAATTCATGGTTTTGCGTAGATAATCGATTTTTATTTTGCATCATTTCTGTTCAGATGAGGGCCCAATAATTCATGGAACTGAGCTGATCTCCTTCCCGGCGTTCAATTGCATTGTCTTAACATTATTTCGACATATTTAAGTTCCCCACTGTTAAGAAACGATTTTTTTCAAGGTCATCTATCCGGACATGAAAACCGATCTTATCAAACCAAAACCTGGTGATTTTCGACGAATCAATAACTTGAAGCACCGTTTGGTGACGTCAGTCGTCATTTCCCATGAAACATGGAGTGGTATGCATTCTTAGCATAAATTTAAAGGAGTTGAATACAAAGGATATACAGGAACAAAGCAATACGACGACGAGAATCCAATGTCACGAGATAAAATTTTCAAAATAACTTAAATTTAACTCGTTCGTTTCATTTACTCTGATGAAGCCCTGTATGCCGGGGCGAAATATCAGTATATTCCTTAAATTTGATTTATTTTGAAAATTTTATCTCGTGTCATTGGATTCTCGTCGTCGTATTGCTTTGTTTCTGTATATCTTTCGTAACAACACTCATTGCAAGATTCACAGAAACCGGTGGACAGCCTATCCTGCGGTTCTTCCTTCTCACACGTTAAATACAAACCCTGTCCAATGTTCATAACACACAAAATTATAACTATTCGTGTAGTGTTGTTTTCTGAAGATCTTCAGTTCCCGCCTTTGCATTTTTTGGCTGTGAATACGTTGAGCCCAATCAACGAAAACTGTTCATTTCACCTTGAAGCCTATATCTTTAGAATGCGACCATCTCTCCATTTAGATGCCTTTTTGAGCAATTACAGAAAAATCCAATTCAGATGCTGATTTCATGCTAATTTGACGGAAAAATATTTGCAAGAAACATTTCTACCGCTGATTGACACATATTTCTCCAACAACATGCGGAAGTTCTTTGCCTCTTTTGACCATCTTTGAATCCAGATAATTATAATCAGGTTGACCTGCAGTTTTTCGCTATTCATCCGAAGCATCGCAACTTCTTTATCTTTTATCAAGTCTCATATTTGCTTCCTATCAAGTATTCCGTATCCTATCATAATTTATTCCGGAACACTACAAGTATTTTTGTATTATGCTAATAGGCTCGTGCTAAAATTGGTGAATTTCACTTCGACGTCCTAGGCAAATTCTTAATGAAAACAGTTCATCTATTTGTCTGAAACTGCAAGCATTATGATACTTTCCTTTTTGTTTACGTTTCATTTTGTTTACTTTTAGAGTCATCCTCTATTCAAATAGTACCGGTGGCAAAGCATTCAATAGATGTTAATGAAGACAAAGTTCTTGCATTTTTGCAGCCAAAGAAAAATTCGGATAAAGTTGTGAGAATTTCAAAACCAACAAAAGATGATGTCACAAAAGGACTCATCAGTCTTTGCGAGCCAGTGAAACTGACCGTGCAGCCGAAGGCACACCATAAATAGCAAAATGGCTCTTTAATCGTATTGAGCCAGTGAAACTTGCCGTGCTGCCGGACGCTTACCATTGACAGTAAAAACTAACCGTATTCCCGCTGCGGGTTTTTTATTAAATCATCAACGTGCTTTTGGAAAGTGGGCTTTGGTTTTCAACACACAAAAATAAAGAAAGGAATTATAAATGAATTATATTTGGATTTTTGATTTCTCCAGAATTAATAAAAATTATTTTCGGAGAACTCTAGGTTCAACCTTGGGATGTCCAGATCTAACTGATTTCTTGTTGAGTAGTTTGATAAAATAGATCTGGGAACAAGTCTCCCGTTTAGACTGTCCGGGCAGAGACCATTCACTAATTTATAAATCATTACTGCTCTATCATATTGCATTATATTTGAGACTGACAGCCAATTACATCTCCACCTATCCTTTAACCTAGAGTTCTCTATCAAAGTTTTAGCTCTAGTTTGTAGACGTTGAAGATGTTGGAGCTTTGTGTTCTATAAATTGCATCTCATCTTAGTGGTATATGCGATATTCTACAGATAATGTTTTCATCCCTTTTTTAGTCTCTCGCATTCTCTTTATTGAAATTGTTAATTTCTCCTTCCACCTTTTTGTATCCATTTGGCTACATGGCTTGCCCATTCGCCACTCATATTTTTTTGAGTTTTCTACGTCCACTTGTTCAACCATGTGATGTTGAACATTACTCTTCCCATGCTCCTCTGGGCCACTGGTTCATGTTTTCGCATATACCAGTGTCCATGTTTTCACACCATATGTTGTTGCTAGTATTATGATTCCATCCGTCACTTCAGCCCCCCATTTTTTTGCAAAATAACGTTCTTGAGAAAATTAGAAGAGAATGAAGAAAAAGCAATAGAAGAAAAGTTTATCATAATAAATCATTGCCTTGCTTAATATCAAAGGAATAAGCCAAGGTCTATGGGGCCTCATAAAGTAATGAATTCCATTTAAAAACTGGAATAAATCAAACGTAACAAAAGCATGCATTAAAATGGTAGAATTTTTTAAACGATTGCAAGAAAATGACTGCAAGAAATATCCTGAAATACACTTTTAGCTAATCTAAAGATTGGTCACAAAATTTGCATTTTATCTCGGCAATTTTGTTCTTGACTTCAGGTCCATAAGCTACTAGCTACTAAACTGGAGTCCACCTTTCTGTGGACTTAGACATACATAGAATATTGAAGAAATTACAGATATGAACCACAAGAATGTTCACAAGCAGTTTACCTGTATATTCCACTGATTCAATTTTGGGTTGGGCGTTTCCTGGTAACGTAATTTAAATAATCTTGCACCAGAATGTTTGTCAGAAAGTGTTGCAAAATGTTAAGAAAAATCTATGAGAGTCTTATCTATGTTAGTCTGATCTTTGTGTTGCAATAATGAGAACTACAAATAGGCAGGAGTCCTGGACCCCTTCTCATATTGCAGGCCAGCACATGGAACCAGCTAAGCTCCAATGCTCAATTACCACCCTTGTTCAACAATTTTTAACTATTATTAAAATCGTTGATACTGCATGTGTCAGGCTAATATTTGTCCAACCCTTTGTTTTCTTTGTAAAATTTGACAATATTGTAGTAATTTTTACTAACCCTCGTTACAACATACTTCGGATATAACGTACTTAATACACTGGTCCCTTAAAGTACGTTATAATCGGATTATACTGTAGCTTCTGGCAAGTGTTAGGCTCCCCAGACATGATCTGATGTCCCTATCTCCAAACCAACAAATGTTCACTGCTTAGCTGGAACTTTGTGATAGTTGAAGAGCAGTTAGGGGAAGAAAAGTGGAAGAATAATAAAGAAGGACAAACAAGCATGAAAAACTCAGCAAAAATACAAAAAATGCTAGAATTGCTTGGTTCATTTTAGTGAATTCAAGATTAAGAAAAATGGTGGAGTTACCACAAATCTCATATTAATTATTTTCAAGAAACAAAACTACACATTTTGATGTACATTTGTGTAACATTGTACATTAAAATATTAACAAAAAAATTATGCAGAATCCAATATTAAATTTCCATCAAAGATGGAATTTCATCAAATGATGTTATTGTACAATCAATTCTGAATAATCATACCAAATCCGATATGAAATACAAATGCCTTGAAAAAAGACTAAGGTAACACAACTCAATAATCTGAGCAAATTCAAAATATATACTTGGCAACCAAATACAGCACTTTCAAAATTATTGTGAAATTGTGATTTATAAGTGTTTAAATTATTTTGAGGGTCCTTTAAAACAAGAACTTGTACCAATACAGCTGACCTTGGCGACCAGCATTGCCTTGAGTTACACTGTGTTATCCTTTTTGTATTGTAATTAATGTATTGCTTGAATGATCAATATTTAGAAAACGAAACAAGGTGTCTACATCTTTGTCATGAAAACATTGTGAAAAGTGTCTTTCAAAGTAGCTTTTATGCATTGTGATTTTAAAATTGCCTTCGGAAAAAACAATATCTTCTATTTTCTGCTGCATTCAAATTGCCATAGTTTATAATAAAGACAACTTGATTAGGCCAACTTTAGAGGTATTTGTCTGGCATACAGCCCTCTTCCAACACCAAATGATAAACAAAATTTAACTGTTTTTATATCAAAAATTGGTTTTGGAAATAGCAGCTTGCTGCTAAAACAAAAAAAACTGGAATAAATCAAACGTAACAAAAGCATGCATTAAAATGGTAGAATTTTTTAAACGATTTTTAAATGTTGGCCTAATCAAAATTGCCTGTAAACTAATCATCTTACTCAAAACAGTAAGGTTAAATTAAAATTTCTCTTAGAACAAGAAATATTTCTACAAACAAATTGACATACACTGCAACAAGAATACACATTACAAGCAGTAGCTCACAATATGTTTAAAAATAGTTTAACAATAAACCATTGTTTTAAAGTGAATTAAAATTCAGTTCACTTCTAATAATTTAAGCCTCCTATTGAATGAAATAATATTAATTGACAATTGAATGCCATTAGAATGACATTCACATAATTATCTGCAAAGTATAAAAAAATCTTGATTGGACTTATCAGCTGGGTCTTAAAACTTTAACATTTAAAGACAGGTTTAAAAAAAACCTTCTTCTCATTTAAGATTGTTTATTGCATCTTTAAAATTTGGAAATCATCTTAAACTCAGTTTGCAGCAAAAATGTGCATGTCAATCAAAACAGATTTATTAATACGTCAGTGGTGAAGCATGTCTAGGTCATGAAACATTTATAATTATGCTGCCTCCTGATTGTGCCTTTGCATATATCAGAAGATAGCAGTCGATTCAATTCAATTCAAACTTAATGGCTAGGCCCCATGACAAATTTGTTCGAAGTTTGGAAACTTTTGCTTACCATAAAGCCCTATTATATGCCCTAGATGGTTGATTTAATACCGACATGGCTTGTTACAGAACAGCTCTTTTCAAAAGTTGAAGGAAAATATAGGCCTATGCCTTAATTGGTGTGTTAGCAACAAAAAATATTGACAATTTAAGTTGCCATTTCAATTGATCCTGCCTTACAAACTTCTTGAATGCAAAGGTTGCAATTATCAGATTTAATATCAATCAGGCTCAGGCTGGGTGGATATTGTCTGGCCGTTACAAAAACCCTTACTGTGGAAAGCAATTGATAATAAGGGGCTAAATAGGGCTTCTATGATACACTGGCTGTAATTATTACATCATTCCAGCATCCTGCTGTTTCCGCATAATGGCGTTGTCTGTTGTTCGAACTGCACTTTCCTCAACCTACATCGTCTTTCTCTAGCTGGAACGCCTCTTATCTTCTCTGCATTAGCAACAGTTACGATTCTTTTTGTTTTCCAATGTGGAAATTATAACACTGAAAAAAGCTTCGATTCACATCAAGAAATCTAATCATGCGAGACCATCAATGAATCAGGGATTTCCGACTTCCATTTCCACTATCAGTTTGTGGCGGAACAACTCCTACCTTTTCCCAATTAAAACGTCCTTTCGCTGGCTGTGCCGCATCCAAATCAAAGTTGAAGTTACTTAAGCATCTTGACCGTTCAGAAGCTTGAACATCAGATAACAAATTTCTATGTTCGGTCATTAGGCACTCCATACGCAATGGACTTCCACCTCCACCTTCACTTCGGTCTTCGAAGACAAGTTTCCTTCTTGCTCTCAGTAACGAAGGCTTCTTCGCCGGCGAGCAGTCAGCATTCTTTTTCGAGCAGACATGCTCTTGCAATGAATGTCCCTTTTGCGTTTCCATTGCTGTTACGCTCTTTTCAAGCTTTGGCTGCTTTTACTATGCTTACTACGCTGTTTACCGTTCTTGTGATTTGCATGTGAACACTACTCCCGGTCAGACGACTATTCCAGAACCACACCTTTTGTTCGCTAATGTGGATTATCCTTGAGTCATTGGATTCCAAAAGGACAATGGTTCCTTCTGTTTTTATACGAATTAATCGCTGTTAAGCTCCCTTTGTCCTTGAATAAAGGGACTGTCCTTTGTATTCCATTGAGATGACAACTAGCCCAGTCATATGTCTGCGATAAGCTCAATTTGTCAAAGTTGGGAATCGGAGGGGCATTCACCCCAAAATAGTTTTCAGAAACATAAAAATGCCCTTGCTACACATTATAAAACAAAATCTAGTTGCAATTTGAGCATTGAAAGCTTTGACACCCTTTTGAAGGACAAAGGAATTATTCTTTTTACCCGAGCGATAAATTAAAGCCATGTCTGGAACAACCAGAATCTGAGCACCCCCAAAAACTTGAAAACAATTTTTAAAGCTATTTTTGCAACCTTACACTCATTTTTATATAAGATGTCCTATCGACGATTAGATACCTATTTCCCGTTTAACTGACGTAGGTAAATAGAAAGAAGAGCTCCTTGTAAATTGTAGGGTGTTCTGTTTCATGTTATCTCATGTTACGTTTTACTTTGCTTTCACAGGCTTTGGAAGAACTGAAGACTTACAGCAAGTCAAGAAATTACAGCTAAAAGCCCTTCACCGGGTTCTTGAATAGCTCAGCGTCGTATTTTAAAGCCCCGGTCAAACGAACTGAACATTTCACTGAGCAATGCTCAACATGCCTGCTCTGTAAAAAGTTCAGTTCGTTTGAACACTTGCTCAGCTTTGCTCAGCCCTGCTCAGTCTTGCTTAGTCCTGCTCAGAGTTGTTTGACGGCGATCAAAAATGTTGAGAGAGTTATCAAATATTTCTTTTGTTCGGGGTGTTGTTGAGCGATGCTCAGTTCGTTTGACCACCCTGAACTTTGCTCAACTCACGCATGCCTAGCTCGGGCGTTTAGTGTAGTGGAATTAGATATAAAAACGGTCTAACCTGGATAAAAATAATATAAAGCTGTAATTTGGCACAGATGTTCTATACTAAGTTGGAAATGGCCAGGGGAATTCCTTATTTGGGCAAATACCATAATAGCGCACTGATCAGTAGTGGTTCAAAATTTTAATGTTGTTAAAACCACATAGTATGTACATCTTTTGAA